CGGCCGACCTGGGTTCGATTCCCAGCATCCCATCTGGTCCCCTGAGCACTGCTAGGAGTAACTCCTGAGTGCAGATCCAGGAATAACCCCTGTGCATTGCCGGGTGTGACCCCCCCAAAAAAAAAACCCCGAAAAGCATGCCTGACCCGGAACTATGTATTTTTTTGTTTTGTTTTATTCTTTTATTTTTATTCTTTATGCTTTTTGCTTCTTGGGTCACACCCTGTGATGTTCAGGGGTTATTCCTGGCTTTGCGCTCAGGAATTACTCCTGGTGGTGCTCAGAGGACCATATGGGATGCTGGGATTCGAACCCGTGTCGGCCTCGTGCAAGGCAAATGCCCTACCCGCTGTGCTATCACTCCAGCCCCTTAAGTATTTTTTTCTCTTTAGGTCTCACCCGGCAATGCTCAGGGGTTACTCCTGGATTCTACACTCAGGAATTACTCCTGGCAGTGCTCCTGGCAGGGACCATATGGGATGCCAGGGATCAAATCCGGGTCGGCCGCATATAAGGCAAATGCCCCACCCATTGTACTATCTCTTTGACCCTGACCCTGAACTATGTAAAGACACAATTTACTCCTGTGAGAGGTATGACTGTAACTAAAGTTAAGCCTTATTGATGTCTATAAACCACATCTTGTTTTAAACAAAAGTGAAATCCGTAGTTAATCTTGCATGGCCTGATTTGACACTTGGGAATGCAGTTTTAGAGTATAATTTCAACATCAATCTTTTACATTGTTTGTCAAATGTATTTGAATCCCACCGCCCATCATGATCCCTGGGTTCATGGCCATGACATAAACATTGGTCCTGCTCCCCTTCTATGTCTTGCTTATCTGAGCTATGATGAACTCGGCTATAACACTGGCAGTGCTCAGAGCTTACTCCTGGCTGAGCTCTCCAGTGACCATATGTGGCATGGGATTGACCTCTACATGGCAAATGCCTTAACCCCTGAGCCTCTGAACTGTCTCTCCAATCTGAGGTCACTGATTAGTAACGATTTTATCTGTTTGAGTTCCCTCCTAAATTCTTTTTTTAAATTTTTTTTTTTTTATTTTTGGGACGAGTTACTCCTGCCTCTGCACTCAGGAATTACTCCTGGGTGCTCAGGGACCATGTGGGATGCCGGGATCAAACTTGGGTCCACCATATGCAGGGCAAACCCCTATCCGCTGTACTATCGCTCCAGCTCCTCCCTCCTAACTTTACATATATGTATACAGCTTCCCAGACAACTAGATTATGTGTTTCGTTTTTCTAAGTAGGAGGTACTTAACACACATAAATATTAGCAATTTTGTAATTGCTTGTTCTAGTCCACATCCGGCTGTGCTCAAGGTTTACTCTGGCGACCTCAGAAATTAATCCTGGAAGAGTTTAGGGAACCATCTGGGGTGCTAGGGCTGGAGCGATAGTACAGCAGGGAGGGTGCTGGCCTTGCATGCAGCCAACCTGGTTCAATTCCGGCATCCCTTATGGTCTCCTGAGCCTGCCAGGAGTGATCCCTGAGTGTAGAGCCAGGAGTGTAACCTGAGTGCCACCAGATGTGGGCCCGCCGAACAAAATTAAATTAAAATGCCTTTAAAATTTTTTTTTGCTTTTTTTTTGGGGGGTCACACCCAGCGATGCTCAGGGGTTACTCCTGGGTCTGCACTCAGGAATTACTCCTGGCAGTGCTGAGGGGACCATATGGGATGCTGGGAATTGAACCCAGGTCGTTCACATGCAAGGCAAATTCCCTACCCCCTGTGCTATTGCTCCAGCCCCTAAAATAATTTTATTTTATTTATTTTTTAAATAATTTTAAAAGGGTGCAAGCAGAATTAGTGAACTTGACCTGGCTACATATGACATAACCTGATGGCAGACCCCAGGCAAGCATCACAGTCAGGCATGTGTGTGATTCCTGGGAAGTGGGGTGCAGGGGAAATAATATGTTCTGGGGCTGGGGGTATGGCTCAAGTCTAGCGCATCTGTGAGGTCCTGAGCTGGATCCCCCAATACCACTTGCTGCTTAGGCCTTGCACCACTGGGAGAGGCCCTAAGCTCCCAGCAGGTGTGACCCCAGGCCCCAAACATCAGCACAGTAAAAGATAAACATGCTTTGGCCATGAGAACAGAGGTAGATATGAGGGGATGTAAAGACGAACCTCTGGCATCTTATAATGTTACAGACTGTAATTTTTCAAATACCTGAGAACAGCTAACTGAATAAAGAAACTATGGTACACAATGGAATACTACACAGCTGTTAAGAAAAATGAAGGCAACAACCTTCACACACTTCCCTCTTACTGTGGTGGGAAGATGCTCGCTGGTTGGCTGGGTGTTTGAATACTATCTGTAATGAATTATTGTGAACTACTTTATAAAACTCTTAAAAAATGAAAGCATATTTGCTTATACATGGATGGAAAGAATGGTGCTAAGTGAAAAGAGTCAGAGGGAGAAGGACAGGCATAGAATGATGGCACTCATTTGTGGGATTAAAAAACAAGTATGAGAATGATACTCAAAGACAGTAGAAATAAGGGTGAGGAAGACTGGCCCAGAGGTGGGAGCTTGCTACAGGTTGTGGAGGAGGGCAGTTAGGACAGAGAAGGGACCACTATGACAATGATAACTGGAAATGATCACTCTGGATTAGGACTGGGGCCTCCTCTACCCAGGTCCTCCATCTTCCAGGCATTACACCCACCAACTGCCCCCAGCACTGTGTAATCCAATCAACGGCCAAGACCCAGTGACTATAAAACCCTGCTAGCGTGCGGCCGCATTTGCGGCTGTGCAACATCTCATTATCTAGGTCTTACTCTGGTGAACCTGGCAGGCTACCAAAAGTATCCTACCCACACGGCAGAGTCTGGCAAACTCCGCGTGGCGTACTCAATATGCCAAAAACCAGTAACAGTGATGGGTCTCATTTTCCTGACCCTGAAAGAGCCTCAAATGTGGCACTTTTTAAAATCTCAGGGCTAGGATGAAGGAGACATGACTGGGGCCTGCTCAAGGCAATTGATGATCAACAGGATAACAGAAATACAGTGCTACAGTGATCACTCTAGACAAAAACTCAGTGCTGAAAGGAGGTAAAGTGATACATGATACCCTTCCAGTAACAGTATTGCAAAGCACAGTGCCTAAAAGAAAAAAGAGTGGGAGAGAGAGAAGAAAGAGAGGCGAGGGGAGAGGAGTCTGCCATACTAGATGGAGGTTGGGTGGGGCCCTCTAAGGGAAACTAGGGATATTAAGGGTGGAAAACTTAACTGGTTAAGGGATGGGTTTTGGAACATTGTATGACGGAAACCAATAGAGAACAACTTTGTAACTGTGTATCTCACTGTGATTTAATAGAAAGAAACAAAAAAAAAAACTGAAACTGCCCCCCTCCCCTCGGGAATTTTTATGTATTTGTTGTTGTTTTGGGGCCACACCCAGCAGTGCCCAGGATTTAGTCCTGCCTCAGTGTTTAGAGATTACTCCTGGCAGGCCTCAGGGGACCATATGGGATGCCACGGATCGAACCTGGGTTGGCCACATGCAAGGCAAGTGGGTTACTCCTGATTCTGTGCTTAGGAATTACTCTTGGTGGTGCTTGGGAGAGCATAAGGAATGCCAGGGACTGAACCTGGATTGGCCACATACAAGGCAAACGCTCTTCCTGCTGAACTATCGCTCCGGCCCCATGTTCCATGGATGCTTTTAAAGGTCAAGAGAACATAAAGTATCGGGTGGAAATAAGCTATAAAATGACCAGAAGCGTTATACCAAGCCTGTTCTGAGGGCTCTTTCCTGGGTGCCCGTGGATTTCCCTTTTTATCATCATGTGGTAAAGAGCTGTTATTGTTCAAAAATTGCTTGTCTTCTTGTTTGTTGTAAGTACCACCCAAGGATTAAATATATAGCCATACCCGGCGATGCTGAGGGGTCACTCCTGGCAGTGCTTGAGAGACTATAATGGGATGCCAGGGATGGAACCCAAGTCAGTTGCATGCAAGGTACATATACATATATATACACACATCACAAATCACAAATCACAAATCATCCTGTTAATCGTCGATTGCCTCGAGCAGGCCCCAGTAACGTCTCCTTCATCCTAGCCCTGAGATTATATTCAAGGCTCTTTAGGAGAATGAGACCCATCATTGTTACTGGTATTTGGCATATTGGGTACGCCACAGGGAGTTTGCCAGACTCTGCCGTGTGGGCAGGCTACATTCGGTAGCCTGCCAGTATGTCCAAAGTAGGAATGAGATAATAAGATGGCATAATAGGATGACATAATAAGATGTCATAATAGGATGTCGCGCGGCTGCGAATACGTATATATATATATACACAAATATATATAATATACATATACACACATATATATTTTTTTCTGTTTGGTTTGGTTTGGTTTTTGTTGCCATACCCTGTGATGCTTAAGGCTTACTCCTGGCTCTGTGCTCAAGAATCAATCCCTGGCACTGCAGCTGGTCCCTCTGAACTCTGCCAGGAGTGATCCCTGAGTATAGAGCCAGGAGTAATTCCTGAGCACCTCTGGCTGTGGCCCCCATCCCAAAAGCAAGTTCATTAGCCCATGAGTCACAACTTGGGATTGATGGGAGGCTGAAAGCCTATAGCCTGCAGTGACAGCTGTTAGCTCCCTGCAGCCAGGCCTGCACTCAGCCAGGAGGGTCCTCTGTGGCCTGCAGTGAAACAGAGAAAGCCAGTATCCCTGGGGTCCTCACTGCCTCCTCCTGGGCTCACAGGAAGGGCACGACTATCATAGCACTGAACCTGGGGGTGCAGGAACAGAGCCAGATGGGGCCAACCAACCCCTCTGAGAGGCAGGAAAGGGGGCAGCTGAGCAGAGAATCCCAACGATGAAAGAAAATCACCCCAACTGGAACCCCACCGCACATAGTGGCTACAGAGAAAGGCCCTACGAGCGGCAGCACAGACCCGACCCCTGAGGACCCGGAAATTTGAAGCAGTAACAGAATAAATCAATGATTTATTTACATTCGTGTTTGCCCTGGAAACCCAGGGCAGACCTGAGGCCTGGGAACCATCTGCCCTTCCCCATCTCCCTCTCCCCCACCTCCTCACCACCTGTCTCACGTTCTCTTCCTCCTTTCCTCCAACTTCCCTTTTTTCTCTCCCCCCCTTACCTTGCTCTTCTCTCTCCATTTTCCCACCATCATCTCCCTATCCACATGCCACTAAGCCCTGCACTCTCCCTCCCATGCCCAGCGCCTCCTCTATCCAGCGCTGGCCGCACTCCGGCAGGACCTCCAGGCTCAGGGTGAGGAGTGGGGCAGAGGCCGTCAGACCACGGAGCACTTGCTGGTGTTCTTTCTGTCACACGTTTTCAGCTCAGTGCTGGGGGACTTGTTGTTGTTTCCCTAAAGGGAGAAGAGCAGAGAGGTGAGGGGAGGTAGGAGGCTGGGAGTCACTGAGGTGACTTACCCTCAAGGACCCCTCAGCCCTCTGCCCCGTTCAGTACACACACACACACACACACACACACACACACACACACACAGGGAGTTGTAGAAGCCACTCACTGGCTGCGCGCGCGCACACATACACACACACACACACACAAACACACACACACACTGGGAGTTGTAGAAGCCACTTACTGGCCGCACACACACACACACACACACACACACGGAGTTGTAGAAGGCACTCACTGGTCTCACACACACACACACACACACACACACACATGGAGTTGTAGAAGCCACTCACTGGCCTCCGGCCGCCGGATTTCAGCAGGATGTCCCGGGCCAGGGAGTTGAAGGCCTGTCAGGGAGGGGGGGACAGGTGAGAGGGGAAAGAGCGGGGGACCCATCTCTCTTCAGGTGTCACAGCGGCAGGGCAGCTCACCTCATTCACGTTCATACTGGACTTGGCACTTGTCTCGAAAAAACGGATCCCGTGCTCCCGAGCCAGCTGCGGGGGGAGTTAGTGGGGCAGAGCTGAACCACAGGTCTCACGACCACCTCAGCTCCCACAGCTCGGCTCTCGGCCAGGCCTCTACAATCTGACTCTCAGATGTCTCTGTTTTGTTTTGGGGTCATGCCCAGAGATGCTCAAGGGTCATTCTTGGCTCTGCACTCAGGAATTACTCTTGGAGGTGTTCAGGGACCTATACAGGATGCCAGGCATCGAACCTGGGTCGGCCACATGCAAGGCAAAGGCCCTCCCCGCTGTGCTATGGCTCTGGCCGCCCCGACCCTGGCTCCCAGGCCGCTACACAGCTGACCGCACCTTATCAGCTTGCTCCTTCTGTACCTTCCTCTTCCCTTCCATGTCACACTTGTTCCCCAGCAGGAGGCGCTCCACCCCGGCGGAGGCATTCTGGAGGAGAAAGGAGAAGCCTGGTGAGCCCTGGTCCCGCTCACCTTCGGGGCCCTGCCCTGCTCCCCTCTCTTTAGGGGAGTCGTCACCTCTTTGATGCTCTTCATCCAGTTCTGGATATTTTCAAAGGATTTCTCATCCGTGATGTCGTACACGAGGATAATGCCCTGGGAATGCACACGGGGCTCAGGGCCAAAACCTTGGATCATGCCTCTCAGCGTGAGGCTCCCCATTGCCCGCTGAGGCACCCCGCAAGGTCCCCCTACTAGCCACTGCGAGGGGGGCTTTCTGCAACCCACCTGTCGGCCCCTCATTTCTTCTGCCCCTCTGTACCCATAAACCCACGTTCTACTGTCTCGTGCCCTCAGCCCCTGTCCAAACCCACACTCCATACCATGGCTCCACGGTAATAGGCGGTGGTTATTGTCTTGAATCGCTCTTGGCCAGCTGTGTCCCTGAAGAGACAGAAAATCTTATGGGGTGAGGCCCAGAGCGATAGGACAGCGAGCAGGTGCTTGCCTTGCACATGGTAAGCCCAGGTTTGATCCCCGGCACTGTATACAGTCCCCCAAGTCCCACCAGGAGTGGTCCCTGAGGTCAGAGTGAGGAGCAAAAACCTCAGCACAGTCTGGGGTAGCCTCCAAGGAAAACAAAACAACATTCATGGCGTGGAATAGAGAAAAGGGTTTTCCAGAAAGAATACCCCTCTCTATGCACACACACATAAACAGGAGGAATTCAGTCTGTGCATGGGTGAAGCTGAGAGAAACAGAATCAGCAAGCAGGTTGGTAAAAGGGAAAAGGAATACAGATATTGGGTCACGGTGGAGAGATGAGGGGCTGGTAGGGGAGACAGAACACTTGCCTCACAAACAGTCCATTGGGATTTGATTCCTGGAATATGGCCCCCTACGCACCACCAGAAATAAGTTTTGAGTGCAGAGCCAGAAGTAAGCTTCGAGAATCGCTAAGTGTGGCTGCCCCCGACCAAAAAAAATTATTTTTGCTTTTTGCTTATGGGTCATACCCGGTGATGCTCTGGCTCAGGGGACCACATGGGATGCCGGGGACCAAACCTGGCTCAGCATGTGCAAAGCTAATCCCTACCTACTGCTCTGGTCCAAAAAAAAAAAATTTTTTTAAATACTGAAAAAGGAATTGCTCTGCTATTAACTGCATGATTATTCTCCACCAAGCACTATGCAAGGACTTTTTTTCATTTTTTTTTTCATTTTTGGGCCATGACTTGGCTGTTCTGAGGGCTTACACCTGGCTCTGCACTCAGAAATTATTCCTGGCAGGCTCATGGGACCATATGGAATGCAAAGGATCAAACCTGGGTCAGCTGCATGCAAGGCAAGCGTCTCACCTGCTGTATTATCTCTCTGGTTCAAGTGCATCTTTTTTGGTTTGTTCTTGGGTTATACCTGGTGATGCTTAGGATTTACTCCTGGCTCTGCACTCAGGGTTCACTTCTGGAGATACTGGGTAGACCATATGGGTCAGCTGCTTGCAAGGCAGCAGGAGGCGCTCCACCCCGACAGAGCAAACACCCGGCTCACTATACTGTCTCTCCAGTCCCACATCATCTTATATGTACGTTTCATTTTACCTAATCTTTTTTTTTTCTTACCAGACACATTTTGATGTTCCTATTTTACGTTTGTTTGGGCTGGAGCGATAGCACAGCGGGTAGGGCGTTTGCCTTGCACAAGGCTGACATGGCCGACCCGGGTTTGATTCCTCTGCCCCTCTTGGAGAGCCCAGCAAGCTACCAAGAGTATCCCACCCACATGGCAAAGCCTGGCAAGCTCCCTATGGCGTATTCAATATGCCAAAACATGTAACAAGTCTCACAATGGAGACGTTACTGGGCCACTCGAGCAAATCAATGAACAACGGGAAGACAGTGCAGTGCAGTGCAGTGCATTTTATGTTTTGTTTAGTTGGTTTTTGGGCCACACCAGACTGTGCTTGGGAATGAATCCTGGCTCTGTGCTCAGGAGTCACGTCTGGTGGGGCTCAGGGGACTCTGAGCAGTGTCAGGGATCAAATCCTGGTCAGCTGCCTGCAACATAAGTGTCAACTTGCTGTCCTTTACTCCAGCCCAATAATGTTTCTATTCTACAAACAAGGAAATAAATTTGGAGAGGCTAACTAGCTAATGAGGGTCACATGGCAGTTGCGTTACAGAGCAAGAATTTCAACCACAGCCCGCAGCTTCTTCTTGCAGCATAAATGCCTCCGAGAAGCCTCCTACACGAAAACTCTTTCAAGGGCTCCCACTTTCCAGAACGGTCAAACCAAACCTCTATACTTGGTCCTGTGGACCTCCAATAAATCAGACAGGCAGGATTCCTTTAAATTTATTTATTTATTGTGTTTTGGGGGCCACACCTGGGTGTTCTCAGGGCTCACTCCTGACTCTATGCTCAGGGATCACTCCTGGGGGTGCTCAGAGCACCATATGGGATGCCGGAGATCAAGCCTGGTCAGCTATATACAAAGCAAGCTCCTTGCCTGCTGTCCTGCTGTGCTATCTCTCCTGCCCCCTAGACGTAATTCTTTTTTTTTTTTTTCTTTCTTTTTGGGTCACACCGGCGATGCACCGGGGTTACTCCTGGCTCATGCACTCAGGAATTACTCCTGAGCTCCTGGCAGTGCTTGGGGAACCATATGGGATGCTGAAAATCGAACCTGGGTTGGCAGCGTGCAAGGCAAATGCCCTACCTGCTATGCTATCGCTCCAGTCCCTAAACTTAATTTTTTTTTTTTTACTTAATTCTTAATTCTGTAACCCTGTAGCACTGTCCTCCCATTGCTCATCAATTTGCTCGAGTGGGCACCAGTAACGTCTCACAACAAATTGTGAGACTTGTTGTTACTGTTTTTGGCATATTGCATATGTCATGGGGAGCTTGACAGGCTTTGCTGTGCAGGCAAGATACTCTCGGTAGTTTGCTGGGCTCTCCAAGAGGGGTGGAGGAATAGAACTAGGGTGGGCCATGTCGGCTGCGTGCAAGGCAAACACCTTACCCACTGTGCTATCGCTCCAGCCCCTAGACTTATTTCTTAATTCTTTATTCTAAATTAAGAATTTAGAATTAATTCTTTTGTTTTTTTCATTTTTGGGTCACACCGGCAATGCTCAGGGGTTACTCCTAGCTCTGCACTCAGGAATTACCCCTGACACTGCTCCGGGGACCATATGGGATGCTGGGAACCGAACCCGGGTGGCCGCGTGCAAGGCAAACGCCCTACTCACTGTGCTATTGCTCCAGCCCTTAGAATTAATTCTTTTTTTTTTTTTCTTTTTGGGTCACACCCGACAATGCACAGAGATTACTCCTGGCTCTGCACTCAGGAATTACTCCTGGCGGTGCTCAGGGGATCAAATGGGATGCTGGAAATCGAACCTGGGTTGGCCGCATGCAAGGCAAATGCCCTACCTGCTGTGCTATCACTCCAGGCCCCCTAGAATTAATTCTTAAGTTTAATCCTAAATTCCTAATTTTTAACTCTGCGGGGCCAGAGAAATAGTTCAAGGCTGACAGAGAGGCTTTGCATACAAAAGTTCCGGGTTGAATCGCAGCACCATAGGGACCCACATCACTACCAGGACCCATAAGCACCAAGCCAGGAGTAGTCCCTGAGTATCATTGGGTATGGTTAAAATCCGCCCCCAGGTTTTTTTGTTTGTTTTTGGGGCCACACATGGCAGCGCTCAGGGATTACTCCTGGCTCTGCACTCAGGAATCACTCCTGGAGGGTCCAGGGACCATATGGGATGCCGGGGATTGAACTTGAACCAACAGCATGCAAGGGGAGTGTCCTACCTGCTGTACTCTGTCTCCCACCCCCCAAATAAGTCTTAATTCTTTACTGTTTAATTGTTCAGAGTCTGTAAACGCTGTTGTCAAATTTAGGGAATACTGGTAGTCAGAAGAGGCAACAGAATTACCAATAAAGCAGAGAATAAGGGCTGGAGAGCTAGTCCAGTGGGTAGGGTGCCTGTCTTTCATGCAGATGACCTGGGTTCAATCCCCAGCACCACCTATGGTCCCCTGAGCCTATCAGGAGTGATATCTGAGCACAGAACCAAAAGTTAATCCTGAACACCGGCTGAGTGGGGGTGGGGTGGGGGTGGAGTGGGGTGGGGGGAAGGGCTGGAGCTTCAGCTGGCATGCAGGCACTCCAGGCTCAATCCCCAGCACTGCAGGGTTATTGGAGAACCATGGGAGCAACCCCCAGCACAGAGTCAGGAGTAGCCCTCGAGCACCCACAGGTAAAGATAAAAAAACAAGAGAGAAAGAAATAAAGAAATAGGGAAAGGGTAAGAAATGAAGCAAAACAAAAGGAAAAGGGTTAGCAGAGGTCCTGAGGCAACAGAATTCACTCACCAAACTTGCAGTTTGATCTTCTTCCCCTCTATGTCCACAGTGCGAATCTTGAAATCAATCCCTAGGGGTGGAAGGGCGTTTGGTGAAGCTGAAGCTGCTCTGTGTGTGGTGTGGTGCGTGTGAGTCTGTCACAGTGTGGGGTGGAGACGCAGACCCGGGCCTCAGCAGGGGCTCCAGGGGCTGCTGCCCGGCAGGTGTGGAACTAGGTTTGCTCTCAGATTCATTTGTTACTGTGCTCACTTAGATTCTGTCTCTGGAGGGGCAAGGGGAGAGGGTGAGGCCAGTCCTGCAGGGAGGTTCTCGCCTCTGCTTCCCTGCCCCCTTCTCTCCGCACTCCCCCCTCCATCCACCCTCTGGGCCTGGAGGGAACAAGGGACAGCAAGGCAAGCTGACAGTGGCTTCTGGGAGGGTCAGGCCGGGAACAAGGCAAGTCTGAGGCGCAAACAAGATTCTTCCTGAATGTGTAGTCGGGAAAAGGGCATTTTTCCCTTCCCCTTTCTACGCGGAATGTCTGAGGCTCTCTCTCCTTCTGCCCCAGACCAGAGAGGACAGTAAGAAGGATGTGGGGGGAGGAGGGGAGACAATGGTCTTAGTGGCTGCCTGGGGAACGGTCCCAGTCTGCTGACTCATCAGGCTGACTCAGAGACCCCAAAAATCCCCTCATTCCCACCTCCCTCCCTTCCCCCGCTTGGGCTTGAGCAAACACCACAGTGGTTGGGTGGCTCAGCACACCGGCCACTGTGCTCCCGTCCCTGACTGCCCGTTAACTTGAGAGCCAGAGCGCCAGGCTGGGGAGGGGTTGGGGGGGTGGGTCTGGTTCTCCCCTGGGGCTGGAAAAGACCAGCAGGCTAGGGTCAGATGTTGGGGGTGGGTTCAGGGCGGGAAACGTGGACGGAGGATGGGAAAGTCTTAGCGGGTGGCGTTGTTTTTAGAGAAGCCAGGAGCGAAGCCCAGCGGGGTCCGTCTGGGGTTCGAGGGTCTTCCTTCTGCAAGCCCCGGAATGATGGGAGGTTTGGGTACCACCCAGACTCCCACCGGGGGCGCGGGGGGCGTGGGGGCGGGGGAGTCTGGGGCAGGAACTCGGGGCTGAACTTTGAAAGCCGCTCTCGAGAGGGGTGGGGGCACTGGCCAGTGGGGCCACCGGCGAGTTGGTCCGGGGGGTCCTGGGGGTGCGGGCGGGGGGCTTGGGTGCTCACCGATGGTGGAGATGTAAGTGCTGTTGAAGTTGTCCTCCGCGAAGCGAATGATCAGACACGTCTTGCCCACGCCCGAGTCCCCGATGAGCAGCAGCTTGAAGAGGTGGTCGTAGGCTTTGGCCATGGCGGAGTGTGGGGGAGCCGGGAGCGGCGGGGAGGCGGGCCTGGAGGGGGCGGCGCGGGCCAGCCGGCCAGGAAGGACTTTTCCTGCGTCCCGCGGACTCCGGGAAGAGGCGGCCGCCGCGGCGCGCCGCGCCCCACCCCCGGCCCGCCCCGGGCCTCCCTGCTCGGCGCCCGGCGGGGACGCGGTTCTGCAGCTCCCTGCGGGCGCGCCCCTCGGGGAGCGCGGACCTGGGGGCTCGGCGCTCGGGACGCGCTTGGGAAACTTAGAGCCGCGCGCGGGGCGCGGGCTGCGGCCGACGGGTGGTGCGCCCCCTGGCGGGCAGGCGCGGGACGACCCGCCGAGCGCGCCCACCCGGCCCCGGTCCCCGGTGTCCTGCTGGACGCGGACCGCGCGGGGCAGTTCCCGGGTCACTGGGAAGCCCCCCGGGCCTGAACCGCCCGCGAGCGCGAGGCCTTGGCCTGCCCAGAGTGCGGAAGCGACTTATCTGGCCCCAGGAGAGAATTCTTCCAAGACCTGCTTTTCCAGCAATGGGAGTTCTTGGATCACGGAGTGCACGGCTGAAGGCGCCCCCTATTTGTCGGTGTCCACGTTTCCCCCTTCTGCGTCCTTTCTCTCCTCCCCCTCTCTTCGGGTGTGTTAAGAGCCTTAAGCCTCCTTTATTTCTTCTCACTGACCAAACCAGTTCTTTAAACTATTCTTCAATTTTCAGGGATTGTCTTGATTTTAAAAAAATCCAGTAGTTTTCCCTTTTCTTTCTTCCTGTCTTTTTTTTTTCTTTTTGGGTCACATCGGCGATGCACAGAGGTTACTCCTGGCTTTGCACTCAGGAATTACTCCTGACGGTGCTCGGGAGACCATATGGGATGCGGGGGATCGAACCGGGTCGATAGCATGCAAGGCAACCACCCGCTGTACTATGGCTCCAGCTCCTCTCTCTTTCTTTCTTTCTTTCTTTCTTTCTTTCTTTCTTTCTTTCTTTCTCCTATCCCTCTTTCCTTCTTTTTTTCTTTCCTTCCTTTCTTTTTCTTTCTTTCTCTCTCTCTTTTTTTTGGAGTGCCAAGCATTTGCCCAGCAAGGCGTGTGCCCCAAATTTGAGCCACATCTCTGGCCTCAGGCCTAGCAGTTTCAACCGCACTGAAGTATTTGCTCATATCTCTGACCTGACTTACACTGGTATAACTGCTGTTCCCGGATGGCACATGGATAGGACCCTCAGCCTGAGAATGGGCCCCTCCCGCCCGCAGGAATTGCTTGGTTGATGCCTAAGTCTTTCATGTTTCAGCAAGAAATGACACGTGTTTTGTTTTGGGGCCACACCTGGCTGTGCTCAGGGCTTACTCCTGGCTCTATGCTCTAGAATCACTCCTGGCGGGTTTCAAGGGACTTTATGTGGTGCCAGGGATTAAACTTGGGGGAATCCACCTGCAAGGCAAGCACCTTACCCACTTTATTATAGTTCTGGTGTCACACTTCAGAGATTTTTCTGGTTGATAACTATCATGTTGCAATTAATTCGTATTGATCCATGAGAATAAATTATGTATTTATCTTACCAACTCCATATTTATTTATTTTAATTAATTTATTTATTTATTGAATCACTGTGGGAAAGGTTACAAAGCTTTCAGGTTTAAGTCTCAGTCATGCAAATATCAAACACAATTCCCTTTACCAATACTTATTTTTTTACCATGAAGAACCCCAATAAAACCCCACCCCCACCCCTCCCAATCCCTGTGAGGCAGATGAATTCTAGTTAACACTCTATCTGCTTTGATTAGATTCATTGTTTCAGTAAAAGATTCACCACTATTATTTAGAGTTTACCCCCCCCCCAAATCAGACATGCTGAAAAAGCATTGTGAAGTGATTTGCTTTCTACAGCTGGGTTCAAGAATTAAATGTTGGTTTTGGATTTCTGCTATTTTACTTATTGACCCTGGAAGTATTTCTACTGAAAGTCAGATAGTTAAGAAATTGGTTTCTGTGCTCTGGAGTCGTGGCCGTGCTGGAGAGCCGCTCGTGGGGGGCAACTGGTGGCCTCGGTAGGGCGTGAAGGGCAGACCGAAACACCCCCCTTCCCATGAGGTTTTAGTCGCCCCCACACTCCCAGCTCATACCTGCTGTCCACAAGGCTCCCATGCGGCCGCCATCTTTCTTTCCAGAGAGGAGAAGGCGACTGGGGCAACACCCTTTCCCCTCCGGACAGACATGATGGCCTGGATTAACGCATAGTCCGTTCACTTTTCTGCTCCAAGCTGCTGGTTTCTGCATTAAGTCCTTGTGCTTCTGGGGCTGTGGCCGTGCTGGAGAGCCGCTCGCGGGGGGCAACTGGTGACCTCGGTAGGGCGTGAAGGATGGACCGGAACGCCCCCCTTCCCATGAGGTTTTACCAACTCCATATTTAAAGATCCACACCCTGGGACTGGAGCAATAGCACAGCGGGTAGGGCATTTGCCTTGCACGCAGCTGACCCGGGTTCAATTCCTAGCATCCCATACAGTCCCCCAAGCACTGCCAGGAGTAATTCCTGACTGCAGAGCCAGGAGTAACCCCTGAGAATTGCTGGGTGTGATCCAAAAAGCAAAGTAAATAAATAAATAAATAGATAAATAGCACATCGGTAGGGAGTTTGCCTTACAAGCGGCCAACATGGCCGACCCGAGTTCGATTCCTCCGCCCCTCTCGGAGAGCCCGGCAAGCTACCGAGAGTATTCAACATGCCAAACACAGTAACAACAAAGTCTCCAATGGAGATGTTACTGGGCCCGCTCGAGCAAATCGATGATCAACGGGAGGGCCTTTACCTTTACCACCCAAGACTAGAGAGATGAACCGATTCCAGGGATTCAGGCACTTACCTTGAATGTGGCTGACCCCTGTTTAATCCCACATACCCCTGGTCCATCAGCAATGCCGAACACAGAACCAGCAGTAGCTGCCAGCACTCCCAGTCCCACACCCCCTACACAGAGAATGAAACTGGCTATCTCAGGGGTATTTATAGCAGTGAAGTTCACACACTAACAGTAAAACCGTATATTCACCCTTATCCTTTCCTTCGGAATTCACAGCATACTCTGATGCTATATGAGTTATCTTCTTGACTCTTTTATGACAAATGGATATTGTTTTTGCTGTTGTTTTGTTTTAGGGTCACACCCAGTGCTGTCTAGGGGATACTCCTGGCTTTGCACTCAGCAATCACTCCTGGGGCCAAAGTGATAATCAGTGGGGAGGGTGTTTGCCTTGCATCCAGGTTTGATTCCCAGTATCCTATATGGTTCCCAGGCAGCACAAGGAGTAATTCCTGAGTGCAGAGTCAGGAGTGACCTCTGAGCATTGCTGGATGTGACCCGAAAAGCAAAAAACAAAAACAAAAAAAAACTCCCAAAAGGAATCACTCCTGGAAGTGCTGGGGGGGGGGGGTGGCATATGGAGTGTTGGGGATCGATCCAGGGTTGTCACATGCCAGCAAGTGCCCTGCCTGCTCTCAACTGGACATTGTTGAAGATGATGCATTGCCTTCATTTTCCTTTCTTCTCATTCTCTGTCAAGTGTCGATGCTGCCCAGATAAAAAATCTTAGAAAGGTAGCTCTGATTAGAATGTGAGGAAAGGGGCCAGAGTGATAGTACAGCAGGGAGGGTGTTTGCCTTGCACGAAGTCCACCCAGTTCAATTCCTGGCATTCCATATGGTCCCCCGAGCAATGCCCCAGTAATTCCTGAATGCAGATCCAGGAGGAACCCCTGAGCATCACCAGGTGTGACCCAAAAAGCCAAAAAAAGAAAAAAGATGTGAGGAAAGATGTAGGAATGCAAATTAGCATAGAGGACATGAAGATAGTACAGCAGATAGGGCATTTGCTTTGCAGACAGCTCAACCCTGGCACCACATAGTGTTTTGGGAGGCCCTCCAGGTGTGAGCCCGAGTGCACAGTTAAATGTAGCCCCACTCCTCCAAACACTTAACATAATCCTTTTTTTTTCTTTTTTGAAAACAGTTTAGTAGGGGCTGCTGGAGCGATAGTACAGCTGGTAGGGTGTTTGACTTGAATGTGGCTGACCCGGGTTTGATCCCCGGCATCCCATATGGTCCCCCAAGCATTGCCAGGAGTAACTCCTGAGTGCAGAGCCAGGAGTAACCCCTGAGCATCACTGGGTGAACCCAACCAAAAAGGAAAAAAAAAAAAAGTAGTCCTTTGGTTAATGAATTTTTCTCAGAGTATTGTTTTCCTAATCCATTAACTGTAGGTGATAAGTAGCATAACTTGGGGAATTGTTGCAAGCAAATTGAACAATAACCCTAATGAGCACTATTTGTGGGGCTGGAGATAGTACAGGGGTTAAGATACTGCCCTTACAAAAGGTCAACCCTAGGTTGATACCTGGTACCACAAATGGGTCTCTAACAAACAAGAGCCAAGAATGACGCTCAAAAACCAAAAACAGGGCTGGAGAGATAACACAGCATGCAGTAGATCCTGGTTTAATCCTCAGCACCGTATAAGATCCCTCGAGCTCTGCCAAGGGTGATATATGAGCACAAAATAAGGTGGAAGCCCCAAAACCCACCGGATATGGCCCCCAAACAAAAGTTCCATTTACATAGTGTTTCTAATTTGTGAGGGCTGGAGCTATAGCACAGCGGTAGGGCATTTGCCTTGCACGCAGCCAGCATGGCTGATTTGAGTTCGATTCCTCCGCCCCTCTCGGAGAGCCCGGCAAGCTACCGAGAGTATTCGATATGCCAGACACAGTAACAACAAAGTCTCCAATGGAGACGTTACTGGGCCCGCTCAAGCAAATCGATGATCAACGGGAGGGCCTTTACTTTACTTTTTACTTTCTAATTTGTGAAGGAGGGGGAGACACCTAAGGATACTCATGGCCTATTCTAGTACCCCCACCTCCTTTTTTTTGTTTTTGGGCCACATCTGGTGGTGCTCAGGGCTTACTCCGGGCTCTGTGCTCAGAGATCACTCCTGGTAGGCCTGGGGGGGGGCCCACATGTGTGCCGGGGACTGAACCTGGGTCAGCTGTGTGCAAGGCGAACACTCTACCTGCTGTACTATCACTCTGGTTCTGTCCCCTTTTTTTTTTTTTTTTTTGCTTTTTGGGTCACACCCAGCGATGCTCAGGGGTTATTCCTGGCTCTCTGCACTCAGGAATTATTCCTGGTGGTGCTTGGGGGACCATATGGGATGCTGGGGATTGAACCCAGGTCGGCCGCGTGCAAGGCAAACGCCCTACCCGCTGCGCTATCACTCCGGCCCCTCCTGTCCCATTTTTTTGGTTTTATTTTGAAATGCCAAATGGAACTCAGGGCCTCACGTGTGCAAGGCATGTGCTCTTCCTCTGAGCCACCTCCTGCCCCTGTATGTGTCTGAGGTCAGCATTTTTGGAAAGGATTGGGAGGAGATTAAATTGGACAACAGTTAACCTAGTTTTTGTTGTTCTTCCTCTTTCACTTTCTTCTTTTTATTGGGGGGCGGGGAAGACACACCTAGCTGTGCTCTGAGTTTACTCCAGGCTTTATGCTCAGAGATCACTCCTGGTGGGGATGCTCAGGGATCACTCCTGGAGGGGCAGACCCAATGTGGTGCCAGGGATCAACCTTGGGTAGGCTGCAGACAAGGAAAATACCTTCTCTGCTGTACTATTCCTTGGTTCTGTCTCTTCTCTTTTCTGTGGTGCTAAGGAAATCCAGGGAATTTCTCTCTTTCCCTGTTTCCTCTCTTTCCACCCAGCTCAAAGGTCTGGGGTAAATGCTCTGTGCTTGGGAATCCCAGTTAGCCCCCAGCACTGCTTGGTTCCCTCCAAACATGGGAAAAGCCAAGTGTTGACCATGATATGGTCACATGGCAGGCACCCCACTGCTCAAATTACTATTATTTTTATTATTATCATTATTATTTGCTTTTTGGGTCACACCTGGTGATGCACAGGGATTACTCCTGGCTTTGCACTCAATTACTCCTGGCGGTGCTCAGGGGACCATCAGGGATGCTGGGAATCTAATCTAATCTGGGTCTGCTGTGTGCAAGGCAAACAAACACCCTACCCGCTGTGCTATCGCTCCAGCCCCTACTATTATTTAAAATTTTTTTTGGTGAAAAATAAACTGAAATAAAAATTGTAATTTTAATAACTCTCCCTGGTGTTTTTCTCAACACTTTCACTTAGGCTCCTACAAAGTATAGCATGAAATTTAATTTTCTGTGTGGGGTGATCCCGTCTCCTTTGTGCAAAATTCTACTTCACAGAGCAGGGAGAAAGGGCTGCAAAGTTTAGGAAGAGAACTCCCAGAACTATCACCAACTGGGAGCTCTTTGGCACTATTGCGGCAACATGGGAAGATGCCATCGACTGGTTATGCGATCGACTGGTTAAGCACCTCCATGATTGTATGAGGAATGCTGAAAGATAGCCACAATAAGATGCCTGTCTTCAAACACTCTTGAGCTCATTTGCCAATGTGGCTTGGCGCAAACTTCAGGTAACTGCAAGTGAACATCCGAGCTCGCAAAGCAGTGCAGAGAAGCGATAAAGGAAGACCTCAAAGAGAGCTGGTAGATGCCGCAGAAGCTGGGAAAAGCATTCGCAATGCCCGCTTGTCCTTCACCAACTACAAGACCAAGATGACTGCCCTCCCACGTCCTGATGGATCTATCACATCTTCCAGAACGGCAATGGAGATTATCCATGACTTCCACTCGGATCTCTTCGATAGCCATGTCCACCTGCCCACATACCAAAGTCCGCAGGATGGATATGTTGTTCCCAACTTTCTCCCTTCCAAAATCCGACATGCCATTTCGTCGGTAAAGAAGCGAACAGCACCTGGCCCAGACAAGGTCAGACTCGAACACCTGAAGAACTTGCCGTCAGTACTCATCAAAACACTGGCTCGGCTCTTCACACGCTACCTGACTGAATGCAAGGTTCCGTCCAATGGAAAACCAGCAGGAATGTACTACTGTACAAGAAGGGGAACATCCATGACATTGGCAACTACCGCTCAATCTGCCTATTGTCTGTCGTCTACAAGCTGTTCACTTGAGTCATCCTGAATAGGACTGGCAGAACACTAGATGAAGGACAACCATGCGAGCAAGCTGGGTTCCACAAAGGATTCAGCACAATCGACCATATCCACATGATAATCTCTGGTTCCGGGCACATCTCTTTGATTTCACTGTTATTTCTGCATTAACATATGCCTCAGAGACCTAGGCCCTACAAACAGGATGAGAACGCTATTCGGGTTTCCCAAAGAGGAATCGAAAGAGCTATGCTTGGAGTATCACGCTTCACTCAAATGAGAGAAAGAATTCGGAGTTCCAACCTCTGTCGACGATCAAGAATCAGGGATGTTGTCTCGTTTGCCAAGGCATCGAAAATCAGATGGGCTGGACACGTAATGAGATTTGGAGACGACCGCTGGACTAGAGCCATTACCAACTGGATTCCACGGGACATCAAAAGATCGTGTGGCCGCCCACCTTTGAGATGGTCAGACTTTTTCATCAAGACCCTGAACGATCAGTTTGAGGCTGTCCATGTTCCTAGGACTAGCAGACACCATTGGGCTACTCTAGCACGTGGCAGGGACAAATGGAGAGTCGCCCGCTCGAGCAAATTGATGAGTAACGGGATGTCAAGTGATCAAGTAATCAAGCGGGGTGATCCCAGTGCCCAGGGCTCCTTTTCTGTGATACTGTGCCAGCCAGGCCTGTGGTAAGGTGTGCGATGTGCAGCTCAAGGCTTCCAAAGCTGGGGTCCCCAGGGTCTTCCAGTGGGGCTTGGGGCTTCCAGGTCACACCTGGTTATGCTTAGGAGGCTGTGTGGTGCCCTAACTCCCTACACCATTCTTGACCTACTTCTATTTTTAGAATGGTTTAGAGAACTCCTAAGGGTGACTGGCTTGATAAAAAGTTCATATAAAGTTGCCTGGGCTGGACTGATAGTACAGCAGGTAGGGTCCTTGCCGTGTACACGACCAATCTGGGTCCATCCCTGGCACCCCATATAGTCCCCCTGAGCACCGCCAAGGGTGAGTCCTGAGGACATAGCAGAAATAAGCTCTGAGCACTGGCGGGATGACCATACAAACAAAAATGGAAACAAACAAAAATAAAAAAGCAGAAGAAAAATTAAGGGGCCCCTGGCAATAACACAACAGATAGGATATTTGCCTTGACCATGGCTGACCTGGGTCTGATCCTCCGCATCCCCTAGCACCACTAGGAATAATTTCTGTGCATTGCCAGGTATGGCCCCCAAACACCAGCTCCCCCTCCCCCCAAAAAGAAAAAAGGTAAAAGAAAAAAGATAAAAGGAAGGAAAATAAAAAACAAGGGTCCGGTGAACCGTGAGATGATCCCTGAGGACATAGCAGGGTCCTCTAGGACATAGCTGAGCCCATCTCCATCTGCCCACTGGCATGGGCCCTGGGCTGACGCTGGAGCACCAGTGTCTTGGGGCAACTGCCATGCAGGCAAGAGTCTCGGGTTCAGCTTCAAAGTTCCTCATGCTCTGAGCACCGATTTGAAGCTCTGCAGCTTGTTTCTGATCACCACAGTCCGGGGTGTGTGAGAAGCATAAAGTGTGGTGCAGAATCACCGGCGCTCCCCCAGCGCTGCATCTAGAAAGCGGAGCCAGCGCCACTTGGGGTCTGTAACCTCGCGGGACTGAGGGGACAGGCGGGAGAAGAAAGCGGGTAAGGCCCACCGTGAGACCGCACGGTCCCCCTTTACCACTAGGAGCAGCCCAGCACTCCCCACCCTGTAAATATGGTTAAGGCGCAGGCACGCGGTGAGATTCCTAAAAGCTGCAGGTGCAGCGTCGCAGCCTGACGGATGACGCCCCTTCCGCAGCCAGCGGGACTGCAGCTCCACAGCATCACCAAGGAGCGACAGGGGTGCGGACCGCATAGAGGGGGGAAAAAAAAAGAAAACTAAGTAAAACCAAGACGGAGACAGAAGGCCGAGCCGCCTCGAAGGCACGCTCACGCGACGTGGCGACACATCTGTAGCCGCGTGCGGGACCTCCTGCAAATGGCAGCTTCCCTTTGTGCCTTCGCGCACAGACACCCCCAGACGACCTTCCCAACATGGCGGGGAACGGCACTTCTACGTCACTTCCGGCAGCGCGTCGAATATAAGCGGCAGGATTTCCGCTTTCGATCCTTTCCGGCGGTGACGGCCTCCCCACGAGAACATGCCTGTGAGTGCGCGCTCTCGGGCTGGGGGCGCCGTCGCCCGGGGGCCCGCACCCTCCTCGCCGCGGCGCCGGGCTCCCCTCGAGGGGGGGCCGCTTTGATTCCCCCCATCCCCCCGCCTCCCCCACGGGCGGCACGGAGGCCGCGACGGCCACGCGCGAACGGGAGCGGAGCGGGGACAAGATGGCGGCGGTGCCGCGCAGGCGCGGGGGGCGTGGGGTAGGGGGGGTCTCAGCATCTCAGCGCCCTTGTGTGCCCCGCAGCTCGCCAAGGACCTCCTTCACCCCTCGCCGGAGGAGGAGAAGCGGAAGCACAAGAAGAAGCGGCTGGTGCAGAGCCCCAACTCCTACTTCATGGACGTCAAGTGCCCAGGTGAGTGGCCCGGGTGCAGGGCAGCGGCTGCCCAGCTGGGCTCGGGCTCCGGGGCCCCCGGTCTGAGCCGTAGCCAGCCTTTGCCACTGCCTTGGGCGGACTCGAGAAAAACGGACTGTTTCTCGTTTACAGGATGCTATAAGATCACCACCGTCTTCAGCCACGCACAGACCGTGGTGTTGTGTGTCGGCTGCTCCACTGTCCTCTGCCAGCCTACAGGAGGGAAAGCCAGGCTTACAGAAGGTCAGTGGGCTCGCGGACCTTACCGTCCCGTCTCCAAATAAGAGTGCGCAGAGGGAACCCCTGTGATGTAAATAAAGGGTCAGGCTGTTTGGGTGAAGAGGTTGGATTTATTAGTTCTCCCGAGGTGTGCCTCGAAACAGTCCAGTTTGTAATTTCAAAGTCCTGGTCACAGCTGGGGTGGCTGTGATGGTGACTCTCCTAGACAGGTGAAGAAACACAAAGATGCAGGCTTATTTCTTTGTGGGGAACCTGAGCGGTTCCAGCAAATGAGCTGCTGTCAACTAACCTCTGAAATGTCTCCTTGCAGGATGCTCCTTCAGACGGAAGCAGCACTAAAAGCTCCCTGAATCGGATGAACGGGAAACCATCCCAATAAACACATTTTGGATATATCCTGTTTATTGTCTTGTTTTACGGCTAGGAAGTTCCTGCCTCCAGTATTAAGGGGCAACCAGAAGAGTGGACTGCTAGTGTCACTCGGGGCAAGTAAGTGGCCAAGTACTTGAGCACATTTGAGACATTTATCCACCTCTACTCATTGAATAGTCTTCATTGCTTCGTAAAGGTCTGGACTGCAGTGTAAGTGGGATATTTAGCAGTTTTGTATCTTAGAATTAACTGAACGCTTAAAACACAGGATCACATCAGTTTAATGCAAACAATTAAATGTCCTTTACTTGAAGTTCAAAGCTTATTTGGAGGCTTACTGTTACAGAGTTTACCGAAGGAGGCCAGGTCTTTATCCGAGAGGAGGTCTTAGTGTCTTACACTCCATAGCCAGTGTTGTAGTCGACCTCCTGGGGTTTGTGGGTTCACAAAGGGCTGGGGAGAAGGTGTGGAGGTAAAAGAGCCTAGAAGTGTAAGCGGAAGGGGAGTGAAAGGTCAATAAGTTTTTGGGTTTGGTGTCAGGGATTGAACTCGGAATTATACATGCAAATCAGACTTTGACTACTGAGCTCCATCACTGACATTATCTGAGCTTTTGAAAGAGAAAAGGTTGTAACTGTTTACCTCTCTGTGGTGGCCCTTGAGTTGGGACATAGACAACTGGAGATGTTTGTATCTTGTTGAGGAGAGCATTATATGCTGCAAAAAATAAGGGAGAATTTACCGAAGAGATTATTTTCTTACAGGAGACAAAGTTAATGCTAATGTTAGGTTTCAGTATCAGGAAAAGTGATGCTTTGGGTTATTCTGTTACAGTTACAAACAGGCTTTTAAGTATTTCAAATTCTGGCCAAAAGAAATTAACTATAGATAACAGGGTGTGGTTACTGAGTGGTCTGTTTGTCACAGCATTTAGATGGCTAGGGAAGTTAAGTCAGTTTCAATTGTCACAAATTAGATGTGATAAATGGCTAATTTTCATCCTCATTTAGTTTGTGAAATAAAATGAAGGCAGTTTGCAAGTCAAAAGCCCATGGAGCTGAATATCCTTACCTAGAAAGAGGAAAGCTGTTGATGCCAGCACCGCAAAGAGGGTAAAGAGGAGGACCTGGTAAGAACCCATGAACTTCTGGAGGACACCTGACTCTTCACACTGATCTGTACCTTGGCCAGAATGAAAGAATGTTTATATCCAGGACATAGTTATATTTAAATAAACTTGTGCGACCAGGTCAGACAAATGCCTGTCAGTCATTCAAATTCCAGCTCTTTAGGGTAATAATGCCTTTTCTTGATAAGCAAAGGGGATAAATTCTGCTTGTGGTTTTTCCTATTTCCAAAGCAAAACACCACCAATTCTTGTCTGTATCTGCTATTTAAAAATGACTCTTGCTTCCTTCACCAATTTATAACTTTCTGTGGGCCACCAGTGACCTCTTAAAATGCTTTTTTCAAGACATCATTTCATTAGGGCACATTCTCAGAAACTCAAATTAACTTGCTTTTCATTGTTTTTGACATTGTCTTTGTTTAAATTCTTAGTGTCTGGGGCCTGAGAGCCCAATGGGCCAAGTTCTTGCTCTGCATGTAGGTGGCATTGTGATTTTTTTCTCCTGAGCACTTCTGGGTGACCTCAGAAGCAAAAACTCAACCTGTAGTGGTTAGGGTAGTGTTTTGTGTACAAGAGCCCTGAAATCCCCTAGTGTGGGATTTTTACTGGGTGTGGCCCCAAAATAGTTGGTGGTTTTGTTTTGGGACCACACCCTAAAGTTCTGGCACCATGGGATGTTGGGGAATCCCAGTGGAATGTTGTCTTGACCCAACAAAAATTCTCAGTGATGGGAAAGTTAACTTTTTCTTTTGGCGATGCACAGGGGTTACTCCTGGCGGTGCTCAGGGGACCATATGGGATGCTGGGACTCGAAAATGCCCTACCCACTGTGCTGTCTCTGCAGCCCCCAGGAAATTTAGCTTTTCTTGACCCACCTAAACTTGATTTCTAGCTCTGAATCAGTTTTTGTCATGGCAACTCTTGTGGAACCTATAGGTCTCATCTGATAATTTTCCATTTCCTTCTCACCCAGTGTCCTCAACCTTTTTTTTTGAGGGGGGGTCATACCCAGAGATGCTCAGGGATTACTCCTGGCTTGGGACCATACCGGATGCTAGGTGTTGAACCCTGCTTCGCTGTGTGCAAGGCAAATGCCCTATCTATTGTACTATCGCTCCCAGCCCTCAACCATTGTTTTTAAATACAAAAAGCAAAATATAAAGTAGGAATAAAACAAGTTATGAGCAGTCATACATGTTACACTGTTAGTGAAGCACTGTAGCACTGTCCTCCCGTTCATTGATTTGCTTGAGTGGGCACCAGTAACATCTCCATTGTGAGACTTGTTACTGCTTTTGGCATATTGAATACGCCACGGGGAGTTTGCCAAGCTCTGCCGTGTAGGCGGGATATTCTTGCCGGGCTCTCTGAGAGGGGCGGAGGAATCAAACCCGGGTTGACCGCGAGCAAGGCAAATGCCCTACCCGTTGTGCTATGCCTCCAGTCCAACTGTTATGTGGAAGTTAACCAAAACAGTCTATTTATTAAAATCACAGCAAAATTTTACAAGCCTAATTTGTGGGCTGGAGAAATTCAGGAGGTGAGATGCCTTGCATATGACCAAAGCCGATCCTGGGTCCTTCCCTGATGCTGCCTAGCCCTTTGGCTGTTGCCAGGATCAGTCCTGTGCCCTGACCCAGGAATAATCCCTGAGAACAGTCCAACCTCCCCTCCCAAAGTGACTAGTAGTGTTTTACTTCAGCAACAGTAAAGGAAAAAAATCAAGTTGTAATTGTAATTTTGAAATGAAATGTTTTTGAGATCTGACAATTTGAAAATATCTGGATTTTGTTTTGCTGATGATAACTATGTTTATAATGAAGATATTAGCTTTCAGTAAACTAAATAAGCTGAAGGAGTATTTTCCCATTCAAGGGCATGGAAACATTGAATTCTGTCCATCGGCCCAAACTGATCTTGGGTTGGAGAAACAGTATAACAGGTAGGGCACTTGCCTTATAGTCAACCAGGTTTGATCGCCAGCTTTTTGTATGGTCCTCTGGGGACAGCCAGGAGTAACCCCAGAGTACTGCTGTGCTGGGTGTGGTCTGAGCTTGGGAGACCATATGGGGTGCTGTGGATTGAACTGGGTTGACTGCATGTCAGGCAAGTGCCTGTTGACTGCACTACTACTGTTCTGGGCCCTTTCAACTTACTAAAAGGGAGAAATACAGTTATGAGAATACATATAAATGCTTTGTATTTTTGGTAACCATATGCAAATATACATAAAACACAACCCCTGTTTTTTATTATAAAAACAAAATAATTTTGAAGCCACAGCAAGTTGACCTGTGGTAATTTCATATTTTCCAAAGAGCATTTTTAGCCTTCAATGAAAAACAAAAACCTAAGGCTGGGGAGAGAGAACTCAAAGGGGTTGACTATTAAGGTCCCTTCTATGGGGGAATAAATTCCATTAGGAGCTAGGAGCTTTACCATTTGCAATGATTTAAGAGAAATAATGGCTTTCCTAACACCATTTCGTGAATCTTTCCCCTTCCACTCAAACTTGGCATAATTTTTAACCTGGGTAATGGTAGGAATAATTGGGATTTGAGGGGACTGGAGAGATAGTACAGCCGTTAGGGCACTTGCACTTGCCAACCTGGGCTTGATCCCTGCCTGGCATCCTAGAATAAATCCTAACTAAGCACTGCTGGGTGTGGTCCAGACCCAACTCCCCTGCCCCAGAATTAAATACATAAAAGAACAGGTCCCAGTGCTTACCAGCGCCAGGCACGTTCATCACCACTCTCACTTGCACAGCCTCACTTTGGCTTGTGAGCACACTGGAAACGTTGATAAAAACCGGGGACTGCATGTGCTGCAGGGAGGTGAGGTTGACCACCCGCACGGTGTAGACGGCCAGGCTCGGCATGAGAGACAGGTACCTGCGGCCAGAGACTACTAGGACAGGATTGTTGGGGAAGACCTGGGAGAAGAGACGAAGCAGCACTTAGGGGCTGGAGCCATAGTACAGTAGGGAGGGCTAACTTTGCACACAGCTGGCCTGGGCTTGAGCCCCAGCCCCTATATGGTCCCTCAAGCCCCACCAGGACTGATTCCTGAGTGCAAGCCAGGAGTAACCCCTGGGCACTGCTGGGTGTGGTCCAATTCTAGCTTTGCTACCCTGAAAAGGCACTTGTTTGAAAGAATCATTCCCCCCAACCTCGCTTTTTTTTTCATTTTTGGGTCACACTCAGCAGTGTTCAGGGATCACTCCTGGAGGACTCGGGACCATACGGGATGTTGGAGATCAATCCCAGGTTGGACACCTGCCAGGCAAGTGCCCAACCTGCTGTACTATCTTTCTGGCCCCTAAAGATTGAAGATAGGGGCTGGAGCGAATAGCACAGCGGATAGGGCGTTTGCCTTGCACGCAGCCAACATGGCCAACCCAGGTTCGATTCTCAGCATCCCATATGGTCCCCAGAGCACTGCCAGGAATAATTCCTGAGTGCATGAGCCAGGAGTAACCCCTGAGCATCGCCAGGTGTGACCCAAAAGCAGAAAAAAAAAAAGATTGAAGATAGCACTGGTATTACCTTTTAGATTGGACAACACATTTTTTGTTTCGGTGCTCAAGGATCACTCTGGGCAATGCTTGGGGAACCGTATGAGATGGTGGGGATCAGATGTGGGCTGGCTGCAGGTAAGGCAAGTGCCCTACCTGCTGTACTCTCACCCTGGCCCCCATGACCTAGGTTTTGGACTCTGGGAATCCCATATGGGCTGGAACAATAGCACAGCGGTAGGGCGTTTGTCTTGCACGCAGCCAACATGGCCAACCCGAGTTCGATTCCTCCGCCCCTCTCCGAGAGCCCGGTAAGCTACCGAGCTCTCGCCCGCACGGCAGAGCCTGGCAAGCTCCCCGTGACGTATTCGATATGCCAAACACAGTAACAACAAAGTCTCCAGTGGAGACGTTACTGGGCTGGCTCGAGCAAATCGATGAACAACGGGAGGACAGTGACAGTGACAGTGAATCCCCTATGGTATTAGGATTGGTGACAGATTTTCTTTCTTTGGTTTACTTCCTGTGGTGGGATGAAGAGATGGTTTAGAGGACTGGAGCACACACTTGATATGTGGGAGCCTTGAATTCAGTTCCTGGTGAGTGATGCCCTGAGCATTGCCTGGGAGCAACAGCTGAGCTTTGAACTGTGAGAGACTCCCCCCATGATCCTGCCTCCCCAAGCACCACTAGATATGGTAAAAAACATTTTCCCTATGGTAAATTTTAGCCAGTCACTGAGTAACTTTCATTACCCTGGGCTGGGAATAAAAAAACTTTTTAACCCCATCTGCGGTTTTGTGTTTTGAGTCCTTAACATACCTCTAGTGTCTCTAGAACTCTGTCCACTCCCAGTATTCTTATCTCCCCGATATCTTGTTTGTAGCCAAGAATCAATTCTGACTGGTTGAGGTAAAAAGCTGGGGTGAAAGGAATGAGTATTCTCTGCATTCCACTCTTACTCCGCTCACTGACCAGGGTAGCCCACCCATAGACTGAGGTGTCAGCCATACTGAGGGCCTGGAGCAGCTCTGCTGACTGGGGTCGAGCCTTGATTAGGCAGACATACACCCCTAAAGAAAAGAAGAAAAACAGCAACTTTCAGAAGCTCTATTGGACCTACTAAATTAAAATCAGGAGAAATGGTGATAAGTAAATTTTTTTTTTCTTTTTGGGTCACACTCGTTTATGCTCAGGGGTTACTCCTGGTTCTGCACTCAGGAATCACTCCTGGCAGTGCTCAGGGGACCATATAGGATGCTGGGAATCGAACCTGGGTCAGCCACGTGCAAGGCAAATGCCCTACCCGCTGTGCTATATCTCCAGCCCCCCCTTTTTTTTTGATAAGCAAATTTTTGAAAAGTGAACTCAGTTTTTAATTTTCATTAGTTTGCTATGGCCACAAGGATGAGGATATCAAAGGAAATGAACCAATAACTAGGGCCTGGAGAGCTAGGATGGTGGTTAAGGTCTTTGCCTTGCACGTTGCCATCTGGGTTTTGATCCCTGATAATGGGACCCCAGAACCTCCAGGAACAGTCCCTGAGTAGTGTGAAGAGTAAGCCCCAAGCACAACGTGGAATGGCCCAAAATCAAAGAGCCCACAACTGAAGCTGTACTTCATGCCATTATCTGCAAATCACCATCCTAGGGATTATTAAAAGAGTCCAGACCAAGGAATATACAAGGAGAATCAAGAGTTGATCTGGAAAAGGTTTGTGAAAGAAAGGCAAGCTTAGGCTGGTTTAATCCCATTTATCTCAAATCCCCTCTCAATAAAGGTAAAAGGTAAAGGCCCTCCCGTTCGTCGATTTGCTCGAGTGGGACCAGTAACGTCTCCATTGGAGACTTTGTTGTTACTGTGTTTGGCATATCGAATACGTCACGGGAAGCTTGCCGGGCTCTGCCGTGCGGGTGAGATACTCTCGGTAGCTTGCGGGGCTCTCCTAGAGGGGCGGAGGAATCGAACTCGGGTTGGCCATGTTGGGGGCTGGAGCGATAGCACAGCGGTAGGGCGTTTGCCTTGCATGCAGCCAAAATGGCCGACCCGAGTTCGATTCCTCCGCCCCTCTCGGAGAGCCCGGCAAGCTACCGAGAGTATCTCGCCCGCACGGCAGAGCCTGGCAAGCTCCCCGTGACATATTCGATATGCCAGACACAGTAACAACAAAGTCTCCGATGGAGACGTTTCTGGGTCCGCTCGAGCAAATCGATGATCAACGGGAGGGCCCCTCTCAATAGTTGGCCAGTGGTGTTCTGGTTATCCTAGCTGTCTTGAAAGCCTTTTCTTCATTCCTATGCCCTACCATTCTTCAGATCTCACAGACTTATCCTCTCTGTTGAGACCTGCCTCATCTGTTAGTATTTTATTTTGTTCTGGTCTAGAGTAGAACTTTCATTTTGTTCAGGTTTTTGTTTTGTTTTGGGGCCTATCTCCAGCAGTGCTCAGGGACCACTCCTGGCAATGCTTGGAGGATTGAATGTGGAGCTGGGGTGGAGCCTGAGTTAGCTATGTGCATGGCAAGTCTCTTACGCACCGTACCATCTCACTGCCCCTTGACTTTTCAGTGTGCATTGAGGAACCTTTCATTGACGCCATTCAGTCATGCAACCAAGACAAAACTTAGATGCTAGGGACTAGGGGACTGGAGCAATAGTCCCAGCAGGTAGGGCATTTGCCTTGCATGTTGCTGATAAGGGTTTGATTACCGGCATCCCATGAGCTCCCCTGAGCCCACCAGGAGTAATTTTTTGAGCACAGAGCCAGGAGTAACTCTTGAGCATCACTGGGTGTGGCCTCACAAGACAAAAAGCAGCTAGGGTCTAGACTTCAACATTTTTATACCTGGAGATGCATGAAAACAGAAATATTACATGGAGAACTGTTCTTCAGTAGGAAAGTTGGCACTGGAGCAGAGGTGAGGGGGGATAGGTTAGGGAAGGGAACACTGGGACAATGGGGGAGGGGGAAGTGCCTGCCACAGAGGCAGGCTGGTAGGTAGGGAAACTGGGGACACTGGTGGAGAGTAGTGGGCACTGCTGAAGGGATGGGAGTTGGAACAATATAAGTCTGAAACTCAGTCACAAATATCTTTGTAATTTAATGGTAATTCAATTTCAAAAAAAAGGAAAAAAAATATGAAGGACAAAGGCATAATTTTTTGGGGGGGGTTAGGCATAACATTTAAAAACTACACTGGTACTTCATATGCTTTTATATTTATTTCTCTCCTCCTCTTTTGCTGATGCTCTGATGCCTGGAGATCCCTCACACTCTGCTTGGCCACAGGGCTGAGGCCCTCGCATATGTGCTGGCCAGAGGTCGCCTTCTGAGGCATACATGTCACGGTTGTGGTGCTCACCAACAGCTGCATTTCCTGGTCACTTACACTCCCCCCCTATATTTTTGGGCCCTGCTTTGTGCTTGGGGGCTACTCCTGGCTCTGAGTTGGGGGTTGCTTCTGGAAGTGCTCTGGGGACTCTGGTGTAGAGTATTGAACCTGAGCCTCCCCATGCAAAGCCTGTGCTCTAGCTCATTGCACTCACCCTCCAGTCCATATATTTCTTTTGTTTTTGTTTTTGTTTTTCTGCCACATCTGGCAGTGGTACTCAGGTCTTACTCCTGGCTCGCTCTGTGCTCAGGCATCACTCCTGGTGGGACTTGGGGGACCATGTGTGGTACTGGGGATCAGACCCTGGTCAGCTTAACTAGCATCAGTAACTTTTTCAAAGGCCAGCAGGAAGTGTCTGCAGGTCAGTCTTGGTCCACCAACAGTTGGAAACCAGTGGTCCAGGTCCAGAGGAATAGCACAGAGGCTCTGAGCATCTGCCTTGTAAGCCATGATCACATCCGTGGGGTCCCAAATTTCCTTGCACGACTCTGGCACGCTGATCTGATCTGATTCCCAATACCACCACAGATTATTGGCTGCATTCCACAAGAGGTCTGTAAACACCATAGAATGGATGTGTTGTGGGGCTTGAGTGATTGTACAGCAGGTAGCTTTATTCCCCAGCACCCCAGATGGTCCCTCAAACCCCATTAGGAGTAATCTCTAAGTAGAAAGTCAGGAGTAAGCCCTGAGCATAACTGGGTGTGGCAAAACAAAACAACACAAAACATAAAACCAGAAATGGGTGTGTTTTCCTGTGAGCCCCACAGCCGGAAGTGAAACTTCTGGCAAACACATGTGTGAGTACTGCCATGTCACAGCCATCACTGACTTCTCATGCTTTTTTTTTGTTTTGTTTTTTGGGTCACACCCGGCGATGCACAGGGGTTACTCCTGCCTCATGCATTCAGGAATTACTCCTGTCGGTACTTGGGGGACCATATGGGATGCTGGGAATCAAACCCGGGTTGGCTGCGTGCAAGGCAAACACCCTACCCGCTGTGCTGTCACTTCAGCCCGCAACTTTCATCTTAGTTTTGAAAGCTTCTCCCGATCTCTATAACAGCATTGTTTTTTCTTGTTTTATTTTGTTTTTGGGGCCAGACCCACCCAGTGATGCTCAGGGCTTACTCCTGGCTCAGTGTTCAGGCATCGCTCCTGGCAGTGCTTGGGGTACCTGGCAGTAGCAAGGGATTGAACCCAGGTAGGTCACATGCAAGGCAAGTGCCCTGCCCACTGTACTATCTCTCCAGCCCCTGTATCAGCATTCTTCAGCCACTGCTAAAGTCAGTCCACACACTGCTACCTGTGTGTAGGTATAGGAAAGCTGAAAACCAACGGCTGCCGCCTTGGTGAGAACTGCTGGTTCTGAGGCTGGAGCTACAGTACAGTGGGTAGGATATTTGCCTTGCACATGAAAGCCCTGGTTCAATCCCTGGCATCCTATATGGTCCCCTGAGCACTGCAAGGAGTGATTCTGAGTGTAGAGTCAGGAGTGACCCCTGAGCACTGCCGGGTGGGGCCCAAAACCTGCCCCCCCCACCGCAGAAAAAAGAACTGCTAGTTCTAAGCACTGCAGATGTTGGAAGGCCAAAGAACACAGCTTTATGCTGCTTGTCCTTCAGTGAATGTCCTGTTACCTTCACATCCTTTCTCATCCTTCTCAAGTTCATTTTATTTCCTCTGTAAAAATTTTGACTTTAACCCTCAGATTTGAAGTGAGCACTCCTTTCTTCTACTGTAGTGTCCCATGTACATCTTTATTCTCTATCTTATGCAGTATCACTTCCCTTGTATCACCTGTCATCCTGTAGCTCTTCGATTTGCTTGAGCGGGCACCAGTAACATCTCCATTTGTCCCTGCCGCGTGCTAGTGTACCCCAATGGCGTCTGCTCACTCCAGGAACATGAACAGCATCAAACTGTTCGTTCAGGGTCTTTACGAAGAAGTCTGACCATCTCGTAGGTGGGTGGCCAGGCGTTCTTTTGATGCCCTGTGGAATCCAGTCGGTAACGGTTCTAGTCCAGCAGTCATCTCCAAATCGCATTATGTGTCTGGCCCATCTGAATTTCAGTACCTTGGCAAACGAGGCAGCATCCCTGATCTTTGATCATCGATGGAGGTTGGAACTCTGGATTCACTCTCTCACTTGAAGCATGATACTCCAAGCACAGCTCTTTCAATTCTTCTTTGGGATACCCAAATAGCGTTCTCATCCTGTTTTCGTAGGGCCCAGGTCTCTGAGGTGTATGTTAGTGTAGGAAGAATAGTGGAGTTGAAAAGATGTACCCAGAGCCGGAGGTTCTTTGTCCTCTTTTTTTTTTTTTTTTTTTTTTTTTTGCTTTTTGGGTCACACCCGGCTTCGCACTCAGGAATTACTCCTGACAGTGCTCAGGGGACCATATTGGATGCTGGGAATCGAACCTGGGTCGACTGCGTGCGAGGCAAATGCCCTACCCGCTGTACAATCACTCCAGCCCTCTTCATCCTCTTAACAACTTCTTCAATGCTCTTGAAGACATTCCGCGCCGCTCTCTTCCTCCTGCTCAGTTCTGGCGCCAAGTAGTTTGTCATGTTGAGATCTCGACCCAGATACACATAACTGCTGCATTTCAAGATGTTTGTTCAGTTGAGATCGAATGGAACGTCAGGAACTAAACTTGTGCAGTACTAAGAAGCATTAAAGACTTTTTTTTATTGTCCTGTCTCCAATGTCTGTACTGGTTGCAGCTATTGCATTTGGTACTCTATGTTTGCTAACCTCTGGAAACTAAGAGGCCTTGGAGAGAAGCTCTCAGATGTAGTGCCATCATGATTGACATGGATCCTCTCATTTTAGATCAGCTGATTTAGTCTTATCAACATTCTATCTATTCACCAACATTCTATCTATTCATATTTTCCACTTGTTATTTTGAACAGTGTACTTATTGCTGGGGGTAAAAAACACACAAACAACAACAGGAGGAGGACCTGAGAGAGAGACTTGCGGTCAACCCTGACACCATGTATAGTGCCCTGAGTCCTGCCAGGAGTGATCCCTGAGCACAGAGGCAGGAGTAAGCCCTGAGCACTGCAGGGTGTGGCTCAAAAATATAATCAAAACAAAATAAGATGAATGAGCCATAATTCAAGCCCTCACAAAGATAATGGGAATGAACAAAGAAAACAGTGAATTACTAAAATTACAGACTGCAAGAAAGCATGTCCTAAGGGCCAGAGAAACAATAGAGAGAGTGAGAAGCTTGTAGCAGCCTGCTGACCTGGCTCAAGCCCCTGGACCATATGCAGTCCCTTTAAGCTCTGCCAGGGGTCACTTTTGGGCACAGAGAAAGGGAAAGTCCCTGAGCACCACTAGATGTGACCCAACCCCTTCCACCACAAAGGAAAGAATTAAATGAGAAAAAAGTCTTGAATTTTTTTTGAAAGTAGTGGGGGAAAAAAAGGTTGAGAAAGATTTTATAGTTATACAGCAGATGAAGCCAGATACTATAAATGTAATTCAAGAAGAGAATGACAATAGTACAAATATGAATGCAGGTGCTGAAGAGTGCGTATAGCAGGTAAGGCGCCTTGCATATGACTGACCTGGGTTTGAGCCCCAGCACAGCATATGGTCCTCCAAACCCTGCCAGGAGTGATCTCAGTGCAGGGCCAGGAGGAAGTCCTGAACACTGCCAGGTGCACTGTCCCCCAAACAAACAAAATCCCAAATAAAGCAAAACCCAAACATGAATACAAAGGGGAGGCCAGATTCATCTAGTGGAACTCACCTTTTTCCATGCTGAAATCTGAACGGACATGGAAGATTTTACTTGCTGGAATGTCTAGCAAAGTGTTACTAAATTGTACGTGACATAGCATGAGCGTCTCTGGAAGAAGTAGTGTGGTAATGGCTGAGGCTTGACTTGGGGTACAGGATCCTAATAAGCAGAAAATAATTACCTTGTTATATCACTGTCACTGTCACTGTCCTCCCGTTGTTCATCGATTTGCTCGAGCGGGCCCAGTAACGTCTCCATTGGAGACTTTGTTGTTACTGTGTTTGGCATATCGAATACGTCACGGGGAGCTTGCCAGGCTCTGCCCTGCGGGCGAGATACTCTCGGTAGCTTGCGGGGCTCTCCGAGAGGGGCGGAGGAATCGAACTCGGGTCGGCCATGTTGGCTGCTTGCAAGGCAAACGCCCTACCCGCTGTGCTGTTGCTCCAGCCCACCTTGTTATATAAATTTCTAAAAAGAGTGACTCTGACGGGAAGCATTTAGTATTAAATAACAAAAAGGATCAGTTCTCTGATTTACCCAGCTCTGTTGGTTTTGCTGGGATTAAGATAAAAGAATTTAAATCTGATCACCCTTGCCTCTGCTAGCCTTTAAATAACTATCGCAGGATTTCCATTATCGACATCATTGTTGGTGTCCTCTTTCAAAGCTTTTTGGAATTCATCAATGGGGAAAAGATAGATGGTAGAGAAATAGTTCAACTATTAGAAATTTGAAAAAGACTATACTGGGGCTGGAGCAGTAGCAGAGTGGGTAGGGCATTGGCTTCGCATGTGACCAATCTGGGTTTGATTCCTGGCACCCCATATGGTCCCCTGAGCCCTGCCAGGAGTGATCCTTGAGCACAGAGCCAGCAGTAAGCTTGGGACACTGCTTAGTGTGACCTAAATATAAAACCAAAATCGAACAAAAAAGAAACAAAACACTACAGTTGGGAGGTGGCTAGAAAGGTTTGTTTTCTGTTAGTATTGTGATTCAGGTCAAAGATCTTGAGAATGTCATTAGATGGGGTAACTTAAACAGTAACCACATACCCCACCCAAAAATTAGTGCTATGGTTTGGTCACCTGCCCCTAGAATATATAGCAAACAGATGAACCAGGTTCCATCCCGGCACCACATATGGTTCCCTGAGTGACCCCTGAGTCCAGACCCAGGAGGATCCCTGAGCATCACGGAGGGTGACCCCACTGAAAACAAAAACAAAATGAAATAAATGAAAGATTGTTTTTTTTTAATGTTCCTGTATAGTGCAAAGTAAAGATTTGTATTAGAGAAACAGAATTAGTAAACAAAATTAAACTACTCTGAAGATTAGCCAACTGTTTAAAAGTGTGCTATATGAGGGGCTGGAAGATAGCACAGCGGGTCGGGTGTTTGCTTTGCACGCAGCCAACATGGCCAACCTGAGTTCAATTCCTCTGCCCCTCTTGGAGAGCCCGCCAAGCTACCGACAGTATCTCGCCCACACAGCAAAGCCTGGAAGGGCTTGACGTATTTGATGTGCCAAACACAGTAACAAGTCTCACAATGTTACTGGGCCCGCTCGAGAAATCGATGAACAATGGGAGGATAGTGACAGTGACAGTTTCTTCACTGTCACTGTCCTCCCATTGTTCATCGATTTGCTCGAGCGGGCCCAGTAACGTCTCCATTGGAGACTTTGTTGTTACTGTGTTTGGCATATCGAATACGTCACGGGGAGCTTGCCAGGCTCTTGCTGTGCGGGCGAGATACTCTCGGTAGCTTGCTGGGCTCTCCGAGAGGGGCGGAGGAATCGAACCCGGGTCGGCCATGTTGGCTGCGTGCAAGGCAAACGCCCTACCGCTGTGCTATCACTCCAGCCCAACAGTTTCTTATTGGAGACAATGGTGGAGGGAAGGTATAATGATGGTGGGATTGGCATTGGAATATTAAATGTACGTTACATATCATCATGAATAACTTTGTATACCACAGTGCTTATATAAAGTGTAAGGGGAAAATTGGAAAAAATAAATTAAAAGATTTTTTCCTGTAGGTTATCTTGAAATAGCCACATTTGAAAATGGCTGGCCTAGGCTCTCTCCTGATATCAGGAAGGATTATAAATAGAAAGACATTAGGCCACACCTATTTCAAAACATGAATTCAGTTATAATTTGAGGTTTCATGGCTCTCAACTATTTATTTGTTTAGGTAATAAAAATTTGGACCAAAAGGAAACTTTGATTACTATTAATCCCAAAAGGTAAGTGATTGAGGGACAATAAGTTTACTCAGACTTAGAGATTCCTGACCTTTAAGATTGACACCATTTCTGCCCGTGGTGATGAAGAGCTTGAACACAGTTGAATTGGGGGTATTGGTGAGATGAGTCTTGAGGTCATAACTGAGTGTCAATCTTGCTGATGCACCGACCACTACCTGTCAGCAAATCAGAGGAGAGTCTGCGCCTGGAAGCGTGAGAGCCTCTTCCTTTTCACTCATGACTTCAAATATATCTATTTCATGCAAAGGCAAACTGCCCTCCTAGTGATCCCAGTATCACATCTGTTCACTTTATGAAAGAAAATGACATTTCTTTTTCTTGATGACATTTCTTTCTCTAAATGGAGGTCTTTGTCTACTATTTGGCTCTTGTTTGTTTTTGGGCCATGTCCAACAATTCTCAGGGCTTTCTCCTCAGCTCAGGGATCACTTCTGGCAGTGCTTGAGAGACCAGTGAGGTTCTGGAGATTAAATCCAGGTCAGCCACATGCAAAGTAAGGGACTTACCCACTGTATTATTTCTCTGGTCATACAATTTCACACATACAAGAAACATTTTAAATTTATTAAATTGTATTTTAAAATGTATTTTAAACAGTATATTTAAATTTTTTATATTTAAAATGTTTTCCTGGGGGCCGGAGTGATAGTATATAGTACGTTTGCCTTGCACGTGGCCGACCTGGGTTTGATCCCTGGCATCCCATATTGTTCCCCAAGCACCGCCAGGAGTAATTCCTGAGTGCAAAGCCAGGAGTAACTGCTGAGCACCCCTGGGTGTGACCCAAAAAGCAAAAAAAAAAAAATTTTTTTTTCCCTATAATTTTGGTTTTTGGGCCACAGCTGGCTATGCTCAGGGCTTACTCCTGGCTCTGTACTTAGGAATCACTTCTGGTGGGCTTGAGGGACCATATGGGGTTTCAGACCCTGGACCTGGGTTGGCCACATGCCAGTAATGTCTCTACTGGCTGTATATCACTCAGACCCATTATTCTAAAGGCTTTTAATATCTCTGGAGTCAGAGAGAACTCAGCATGCTGAGCACACAGCTTTGCATGCAGGAGACCCAGATTCAGTCCTCAACACTCTGGTCTTCAGAGTTATGAAGTACTGCAGGGTGTGGGTCCCATCCCCCAGCACTGCCAGGAGTAACCCTCAAGAAAAGCACTGGGAATAACTCCTGAACATTGCTAGATATGGCCCCCCAACACATTTTTTATAGTTAGATTTGTATTTATTTTATAAACATACATATCAATTAAGAATTATAGGCAACAAAAAATGAGAATTGGTCTTTAGTAGGAAGCATATCACTGCAAGGGGACCTGGGGGGAATAATATGGATAGGGGACATATGGACACTTGGAAAATGGTGGAGGGAAGTGGACACTCTGGTGGATGGTGTGGTGTTAGAATATTTTATGCATGAAACCCTGCCATTATTAATAATGCAAATCAGTGTTTATTTTCATTTATTTAGTTTTTAATTTTAATTTAATTTTTTTTGCTTTTCGGGTCACACCTCGCGATATATAGGGGTTACTTCTGGCTCTGCACTCAGGAATTACTCCTAGCGGTGCTCGGGGGTCCATATGGGATGCTGGGAATCAAACCAGGGTCGGTGGCGTGCAAGGCAAACGCCCTACATGCTGTGCTATAGCTCCAGCCCACAAAATAAAATATATATCCTTTAATAAAATCTTTTTACTACAGAAACAACAACAACAAAATCCAAGTATCTTCAACGTTAGTGTCATAGATTTACCTCTCGATATGTTTTCACCACTCCTGGGATGTCATGAAAGATTGTTGCTGTCCCTGGTCTCCTAGCAACTCCGACTCCAGTGACAGTGTCAGTCTGAAGAATATTGTCAGCAGAAATCATCCACATTCCGGGTTCACCTACGATGAGATGAAATAAGAGATACACTTGGCTATAACTGATATGCTAATGATCACCATCACTTCATTCAAACTCCAAATCAATAGGCCATGAAGGAATGCACAAGCAACACACTCAGTTTTGCAGGTAACTTTGTTTTAGAATTCTAGGGAATTTCTTCATCTATTTACCATATATCATGCTAGCAAAAAAAAAAAAAAGGAGCTACTTAGTTGGAGAATATCAAAATTCTTAAATGGATTACAATTTTATTTTTTCAGTTTAGACCCTGTTAAGGATGAATCTGCTTTTTTTTTTTTTTTTTTTTTTTTTTTTTGCTTTTCTGGATCACACCCAGCAATGCACAGGGGTTACTCCTGGCTCTGCACTCAGGAATCACCCTTGGCGGTGCTCAGGGGACCATATGGGATGCTGGGAATCGAACCTGGGTCGGCTGCATGCAAGGCAAACGACCTACCAGCTGTGCTATCTCTACAGCCCCAGGATGAATCTGCTTTAAACTATTGATTGATACCAACAGAAAGAATGCAAGAGAAGAGATTCGTTTACGTTGACTTAAATTTCAAAGTAGCAAAGAAATGCCAGATCCTACCATATAGTTTTTTTGCTTCTTTATTCAAAGATGTACGGATTTGGAATGCTAAACAAACAAACCAAGAAAACACCCCAAATGATAGACAGACAAGAGTGAAAAACAAAAACTGCTTCAGGGCCAGAGCTATAGTATAGTGGGTAGGGTGTTTGCCTTGCACTTATCTGACTCCGGTTCAATCCCAGACATCCTATATCGTCCCCCAAAGCACTGCCAGGAGTGATTCCTAAGCGCAGAGCCAGGAGTAACCTCTGAGCATTGCTGGGTGTGGCCCCACCCCCCAACAAAAAGCAAAAAAAAAAATATCCTAGACAAGAGTGAGAGAGCTGGGGGGAATATGTTCTGCAGGCATCAGGGCTTCTGTTATGCCAGTGATATGAGTGATGGGTATAGGCATATACCAAAACATAGATCCAATCCAACAAAACTGGAAACATGAGACCTAAGCATCAACCACTGAAACTTTGTAATGTACCTGTGAAGTTGACGGTCATGGGGGTGGAGTAGAGGTTGGGGTGGGGAAGGAATCTGGGAACAATGGTGGAGGGAAGTTGACACTGGTGGAAGAATTGGTGTTGAATTTTTGTGTGCCTAAAACTCAACTATCAATAACTTTGTAAATCATGACTCTTTAATAAAAGGCCAACCATCGTGGGGTGTGACTGTGATTGTCCATTGCCCTGAACCATATATCAGTAGTAGTTGCTAGCAAGTCAGTGGTTATAGGATTGGTGGATTTGATTAAGGCTGAATAAAGCTCTTTTGTATTAACTATGAAAAATATAGTTACTGCTAAGAGGTCTAAAATTACTTTCCTTTACTCAACATGTGTATCCATTGTTCCCAGAGGAAGTTATAGAATAAAAGCCTCATATCCCCCAGTCAATCATACTCAGTTGGATTATTCAGACTCACATATCCAGGCAATGTATAGTACTTTTTGATGATGTTGCTTTTTTATGCCACATGTTCAGGGATCACTCCTGGCACTCTGCTCTGGCACCACTCCTGGCAGGGCTTAGGGGATCATGGGGTGCCAGAGACCAGACCCAGGTCAGCTGTGCACAAGGCAAGTGCTTTAACAGCTGTGCTATCTCACTTGGCTCATGCACTCAGGAATTACTCCTGGCAGTTCAGGGGAGACTGTATGGGATGCTGGGAATTGAACCCGGGTCAGCCGCGTGCAAAGCAAACACCCTACCCATTGTGCTATAGCTCCAGCCCCAAAGACTGATTTTCTTTTAACTCAGAAATATTTCTTAAAATAGCTTTGCTGGTCAAAAGTATAGTTTAGTCCAGTACAAGGCCCAAAACCTTATTATAGTGATCATATATTTAGGAGTTATACTTTAAATCGAACTCGGGTCGGCCATGTTGGCTGCGTGCAAGGCAAACGCCCTACCCGCTGTGCTATCATGGCCGACCCGAGTTCGATTCCTCCGCCCCTCTCGGAGAGCCCGGCAAGCTACCGAGAGTATCTCGCCTGCACGGCAGAGCCTGGCAAGCTCCCCGTGATGTATTCGATATGCCAGACACAGTAACAACAAAGTCTCCAATGGAGACGTTACTGGGCCCACTCGAGCAAATCAATGATCAACGGGAGGGCCTTTACCTTACCTTTGGGGCTGGAGCAATAGCACAGCGGGTAGGGCGTTCGCCTTACAAGCGGCCCACATGGCCGACCCGAGTTCGATTCCTCCGCCCCTCTCGGAGAGCCCGGCAAGCTACCGAGAGTATTCGATATGCCAGACACAGTAACAACAAAGTCTCCAATGGAGACGTTACTGGGCCCGCTCGAGCAAATCGACGATCAACGGGAGGGCCTTTACTCGAGCAAATACTTTAAATGTTCCTCATGAAGTAGGATATATACAAGTGGTTCTCAAAAACTAAAGCTGCTTAATGCCCCTTCTTTTCTTTTATTTCATCCTCTCCTGTTCTTCACCTTAGCAGTACTGTCCTCCAGAAGCTGGGAATGAGGGAATAAGCATGGTTTTCTAGGCACTTTCTCGTGTGTGTGTATGTGTGTGTGTGTGTGTGTGTGTGTGTGTGTGTTCAATAGGCCCTTAATAAATGTTACTGGATGATCTGAAATTGTTTGCTGTAGGCAGAAATGGGTATTAAACTGTAAATTGTATTTTTTTAATTACCTGTGATCACTAAAATTTTTTAAAATAAGTACTGAGCAGTATTTTTTTTGAGGGGGGGGCACGAACCACACCTGTAAGTACTTAGAACTAATTCCTGGTTCAGTTTTCAGGACCACACCTGGCAGTGCTTGGGGGACTATACATAGTACTAGAGATAAATCTGGTGGTCTGTGTGCAAAACAAGCACCTTAACCCCTGCACTATCTCTCCAGGAGTACTCTACTGCTGAGCTAAACTGAAAACTTAAGAAAATAGAAAGTACTTCTTTCTCAGTAAGACCCTCAGATTTTAGATAATTTTGAAAAAGAATCCTCCAAGGATTAAGTTCCTTTTTATTCCCACCCTTTGGGTTTTTTTTTTTTTTGACCATATCAGGTGCTACTGAGGTTTCGCCTAGCTCTGCACTTAGGAATTACTCCTGGCTTTATTTGGGGGACCCTATGGGATGCTGAGAATTGGACTTGGGTCAGCCACACACAAAGCAAATGCCCTAACCATTACACTATTGCGCTGGCCCCAAAGTTGCTTTCTAACCCTGTCAGTTGTGCAGGTGAAAAAGAGAAGCCAACCAGACCGTTTTGGTTGAGGAGATGAGTACTGAAGCAGATGACATCTCCGACAAATGTAAGCTTGGCATCGGGCTCAATGGCATGCTCTACTGTAACAGGAATGTAATCTGCCATGCCTGGATGTCTCCGGTCCCAGAGACCCACGAGTGTCACCCCTCTGTTCACAGCCTGGGCCATGTAAGTGTAGTTCCTATTCCCTGGTCCAATAAGAAGCAGGTCATCTCTGCAAGAAGATACAAAAAGAAATCTCTGATAAGAGATCATAGTTAGGACACATGTCTGAAGCAGATCCAATCACAACACTTTATATTCAATAACTCAAAAATTCAAAAAAGGGATGGAAGAGATAGTGCAGAAGGTAAGGTGATTGCCTTGTACACAGCCAACCTGGATTTGACCCCCGGCATCCCATATGATCCCTGAGCATCCACCAGGAGTAACTCCTAAGTGCAGAGCCAGGAGTTAACGTTGACCATCACTGGGTGTGGCCCAAACCCTCCAAACATAAAAAAAAAAAAAAACCAAAAATGGGGAGTAAACAACGAGAGGCTGTGGAGTCAGTCTGATTTTTTTCTTTCCTCACTTCCCCACCTTTCCTCTTCCCTCCTCTCTTCATCACACCTGGTGGTGTGGAGAAATCACTGCTGACAGGGCTCAGGGGACATGATGGGGTGCTGAGGATCAACCTGGATCAGCCACGAGTAAGGCAAGTGCCCTATCTGCTGTAGTATTGCTCCAGCCCTAAAACCATGTAACTTTATTTTATTTTTTAGTTTTTGGGTCACACTCAGTGGTGCTCAGGGCTTACTCCTAGCTCTGTGCTCAAGGTTTACTCCTGGTGTGCTAGGGGACAGCCTCCCTACTATACTATCTCTCCAGCCATTTCTTTTATCTTTTCTTTTTTTTGGGCCACACCTGGCCATACCATAATCTGTGCTGGGGATCGAACTCAGGCCAGGTACATGCAAGGCAAGTACCCCATCTGCTGTATTATCTCTCTGGTCCCTGGAGTCAATGTATTATTTCCACATCTATCTCTCTATCCATATATATTTCCATATATATCTATATATATTATATTTGTTTCTACAGTGCTAAAAGGGATTAAAAATTATTTTTGCAGTGTCAGGGATAGAACCCAGGGTCTTACAAACATAAGACACGTGTGCTCTGCTACTGTGCTACATCCCTGGCCTTTTGAATGTATTTTCTTTTTTTCTTTTTTAAATTTTGGGTTTTTTTTCTTTGCCCTTTATGAGTCATCTGAAAATATGATTTCTTCCCTTCACCACAGACATGAGAAGTAGCAGTCATGTATTTGCTTTTGTTCTTAGGCTGTACCAGGTAGTATTCAGGGGTTACTCTTGGCTTGTGTTCAGGGCCTTTTAATTAATTAATTAAAATTAATTAACTAATTTATGGCTTGGGGGGCTACACTCAGGAGTGCTCAGGGTCTCCTCTTAGCTCTGTGCTCTGAGCATGCACTCATTGAGTGATCTCTTTGGCCCCTTTAATTAAACATCTTTTTGAGGGGTCAAACTCAGCAGTGCTCAGGGCTTCCTCATGGCTCTTGCTTAGGGATCACTTACAGAGGGGTGCAGGAAATCATATGGGGTGCTGGAATCAAACTCAGGTTGGCTGTGTACCATGCAAGCATTCTGCCCACTGTACTATCTCTTCAGCCCTTCTTAATTTTGTTAAAAATTTTTTTTGGTGGTTTTTTTTGAGGGCCACACTTGGCTGTGCTCAGGACTTACTCCTGGCTCTGCACTCAGGAATGACTCCTTGACTCCTGGTGGGGCATGGGGAACCATATGGGGCTCTGGAGATCAATTCAAATGGGCTGCATGCAAGGCAAATGCCTTATCTGCTGTCCTATCTCTCTACCCCCATTTACCCCCACATACACACACTTTTGCTTATTTTGAATAAGTAAATTTCAGGACAGTTTCCAGGACAGTTTCTGGTAATATTCTAGTTTCTCCCCTCTGGGAGCTTTTTGTAAAGTAGAACTTGATAAATTTATTTATTTATTTGGCTTTTTGGGTCACACACAGCAATGCTCAGGGTTACTCCTGGCTCTGCATTCGGGAATTATTCCTGACAGTGCTCAGGGGAACATCTGGGATGCCGGGGGTTGAAGCCAGGTCAGCTGTGCGCAAGGCAAACGCCCTCCCCGCTGTCCTACTGCTCTGGTTCCCCTTGACAGATTTAAAACACCTTGAAATTTACTGTCACTGAACAGATGATGCCATTCTGGGTTTTTTCCTTCCCCTCCCCCATTTAAAAATTTAAAAAAATGTATTTTGAGCCATACCTTGCCATTGCTTAGGGGTTACTCCTGGCTCTGTACCCGGGAATTACTCCTTGTGGGTTTCAGGGGACCACATGGGATGCCAGCGATTGAACCTGGTTCAGCCGGTGCCAGAGTGTACTATCACTCTGGCCCCCATTTTCTTTCCTTTCTTTCTTTTTTCTTTTTTGGCAATACCAGGGATTGAACCTAGAACTTTATATAAGAGAAATGCTCCACTATTGAGTTACATCTCAGGTTTTTCATTTTTCTATGCCAGTGAAAGAAATAAAGATTGATTCCAAATGCAGGACATGAAAGGAATTGGCCAGAGATTATCCATTGTCTGCAAGATTTCTCCCAAGCTGTCAGCACCATTTATTTCACTTCCATACCTGTTCAGAGCCAAGTAAAGCTGGGTATTATGTGTGTGGAACTTCTCTCCGATGCTGTTGTAAAACTGAACAGTGAAGGTGAGCGACATGCCCAAGGGAAAGGCAGATAGGCTCCTTCCTTGGGTGGTGTACAGCTTGGGCTGGCTGCTCATTCTCAGGTATGTCACCGGTGCCACCTGTGGGAGACAAAACCTAATGGTACAGAGAAGGATGCGCTGGGGAAGTCCTCAACCCAACCCTGAGATTTAGAATCAGTGATGAAAATGGTATTCATTTTTTTGCCAAGGATCAGCTGATCAGCTGAGATGACCTAAGTCACAGTGAAAAAGAAAAATGACAGTAAAGGAAACTGATTGCTTTTTGTGGGGATTGGGCCACACCCAGTGGTACTCAAGCGACTATTTCTGGCTCGGTGCACAGGAGTGCGCCCTGGAGGTGCTTGGGAACCACAGGTGATGCTAGGGATTGAATCAAGGTTGGCTGCACGTAAGGCAAGTAAATGCTTTAACTCCTGTACTATCTCTCTAGAACAAGAAAAAGCTTTTTGTTTGTTTATTTGTAACCCCATACCTGGCTGACGCCCGGCTCCGCACTCAGGGATCACTCCTGTAGCTCTGGACTCTGGGGACTATTATGCAAGGAATTGAAGTCAGGTCAATTTTTTTTTCTTTTTGGGTCACACCCGGAAATGCACAGGGGTTACTCTTGGCTTTGCACTCAAGAATTACTCCTGGTGCTCGGGGGACCATATGAGATGCTGGGAATCAAACCTGGGTCAACGGTGTGCAAGGCAACTACCCGCTGTGCTATCACTCCAGCCCCGAACCCAGGTCAATTTCATGTAAGGCAAGCACTTTACCCATTGTACTGTCTCTCTGGTTCTTCTATAGAAATTGCTTTTTTGGCTTTCTGGGTCACACCCAGCAATGCTCAGGGGTTTACTCCTGGTTCTGTACTCAGGAATTACTCCTGGCTTTGTTCGAGGGACCATATTGCATGCTGGGGATCAAACCAGGGTTGGCCACGTGAAAGGCAAATACCCTACCTGCTATATTATCTCTCTGGCCCTGGGAAACTGATTTTAAAAGCCTTGGTGTTTTGGTACCGGGGAGAGAGGGCTGGGGCCACCCACACCTACTGGTGCTTGGGAGACCATATGTGATGCCAGTGATTGAACGAGGGTCAGCTGTGTACAAGGTAAGTGCCTTATCTCCTGTACCCTTTCTTTGGATTGGTATCTCTCTCTCTCTCTCTCTCTCTCTCTCTCTCTCTCTCTCTCTCTCTCTCTCTCTCTCTCTCTCTCTTTGGTCGGGGGACTTAGGTCATACTGGTGGAGCTTCAGGATTATTCCTGGCTCTGCATTCAGGAATCACTCCTGGCAGGTTCAGGGGACCAGATGGGCTGCCAGGGACCAAATTCAGGTTGGCTGCATGGAAGGCAAATGTACTATCATCCCGGCCCTCTATTTCTTTTATTTTGAAATTAAAAACCTTCGATTTATTCATTTATTTATTTTGAGGCTTGAGCGTTATTCAGTAACGCTTAGGTCAATTCCTGGTTCTGAGTTCAGAAGTGACCTCTGGTGGTGCTAGGGACCATGTGTGGTGCCAGGGATACAAACTGGGGGTAAGTGGAATGCAAGGCTTAGCCCCTTACTTATTTCTCTGGCTCCTCATTATTTTGTTTTGTTTTGTTTTATTTTTTGAGTAAGTTTCTTCACTCACCTGGACCCCGGTGATTGTTGTTTGGTTGACTCCAAAGGGCTCTATGGAAGTAACTTCCAACACCGCAGTACCTGCAATGGAACCAGCTTTCAGGAGCCCTTGGCCATCCTCCTCAATGACGGATGAATTAGGGAAACACTTGAGGACACGGGAACTCACAAAGGCGGCCCCTTCCCTAAGGAACAAATGGAGCAAGTGGCATCTCTGGGGACCAAGAAAAAAGGAGCTAAGATTGCCTGGCCCAGTGTAGGGGATTTCTGAGGAAACTGTGTGCTTATTTCTCAGGTAGAAGTTGCTGTCTGGAGTAAATAAAAACTCATTACATAGTTTTTAAGCTCCCTGTGATGTATTTGAAATGCTAAAAACAGTAACAACAAGTCTCACAATGGAGACGTTATTGGTGCCAGCTTGAGCAAGTTGACCAACGGGAGGACAGTGCTACAGTGCAGTGCTACATAGGTTTCGGGTTTTGGGTTTTGTTGGTTTGATTGTTTACTGGTCACACTGAAGACTTATTCTTGGGAGCTGGACTGATAGTACAGTGGGGAGGGCATTTGCTTTGCATGTGGCCAATCCAGGCTCGATCTCCGACATCCCATTTGGTCCCCTGAACACCGCTGGGAATAGTTCCTGAGTGCAGAGCCAGGAGTGAGCACTGCTGGGTGTGACCCGAAAAGCCAACCCCCCCACCTTACTCCTGGCTCTGCACTTAAGCATTACTCCTGATGAAGCTTGGGGAGACCATATAGATGATGGGGATTAAACCTGCATTGGCTGCATGCAAGACAAATTCCCTACCTGCTATACTATCTCTTCAGTCCCTCCATTACATAGTTATCATTGAAAATTATTTGACCGGCTATGCAAAGTTCTTCCCTAGGTGGGAGTTTCTTTCCCTTTCCCTTTTACTTTTTCTTGTTTGTTTGCTTTTGGTTTGGAGCCATCCTGGGCAGTACTCAGGGCTTACTTCAGGTTCTGCACTCAGAGATAGCTCCTGCAGGCTTGAGGGACCATAGGAGATGCTGGGGATTGAAGCTGAGTCGGCCATGAGCATGGCAAACTCCCTATCTGCTGTACTATTACTCCGACCCATCTACTTTTAAATAAACCTTTTTATGTAAAAATAAAAAATTATTTGACCAAAGAAATCGAAAACATGTAATGAGGCCAGGAGTGTAGCTCAGTGACAGAGCACATGTCCTTCATGCATAAGGCTCTAGGTACCATTCCTGGCCCCCAAGCCCCCCAAAGACGAAAAAAAAAAACAGGAAGGAAAAAAAATTACTATGTACATGAATTAATATTCATATGACTTTCACCTCTAGTTTAAAAGATATTTGGATTAAAAAAGTCATCTAGAAGGCAGTAATTCTTTGTAGAATGTTTTCCTAGGGATAAAGTTAGAATCTATACAACATACAAAAGTTGGAAACAGGTTTGGAGAGATAGTATAGTGGGTAGAGTGTTTGCCTTTCACGGGGCTGACCCAGGTTTGATCGCCAGTCTCCAATAGAGTCCCTGAGCACTGTCAGGAGTAGTTCCTGAGCTCAGAGGCAGAAATAACCCCTGAGCATCACTGGGTGCTGCCCAAAAACAAAAACAAAATGTTGAAAACAATGGATCTCACAATCATAATAGCCAAAAGACAAAAGCAAAGGTATGTATACCAAGGAGTAATAGATACAAATATGTTTTATTTATAAAATGGAGTATAATTTAGTCAGAAAAAGGAATGAAACACTGACAGATACTACAATGTGGCTAAACCTAAGAAAAATAAGTCTATACAGAGGTCACATATATGAGTCTATATATTTCTATGAAGTAAGGTAAAGGTAAAGGCCCTCCCGTTGATCGTCGATTTGCTCGAGCGGGCCCAGTAACGTCTCCGTTGGAGACTTTGTTGTTACTGTGTCTGGCATATCGAATACTCTCGGTAGCTTGCCGGGCTCTCCGAGAGGGGTGGAGGAATCGAACTCGGGTCGGCCATGTTGGCCGCTTGTAAGGCGAACGCCCTACCCGCTGTGCTATCGCTCCAGTATACAAAATAAATTTATAGAGAAAAGGATTAGTGTCTGCCAGGGGACATGAGAATGGGCAGTGACTGCTTATATGTTATAGGTCTCTTCTGGTGGTAACAAAAATAGTTTGGAGACAGGTGATGGTTATAAGTGACAATATTGGAGAGAGTGTACAGTGGGTAGGGAACTTGCCTTGTACTTAACAAACCTAGGTTTGATCCCAGGTACCACTTATTTTTTCCTGAGCCCCACCAGGAGTAGTCCCTGAGAGTAGAGCCTAAAAAAAGCCCTGAGCATCTCTGGATGTGGCCTCTAAAAAAAAAAAACAAAAGAAATCAAGTGACAATATTATGAATATATGAAATGCCATTGAATCATACAGTTTACAATGGCTCATTTAGGACTGTAGAGATAGTTCAAAGGGTATGCTTTGCATGCAGAGACTTGGTTCAGTCCCCCAGAAGTTGTGGTTCCCCAGCACTACTAGGAGAGATCTCTAAGAACTTCCAGGTGTACCTCCCAAACTAAAGAATTGTTTTAATGTCATGTGACTTTCACCTCAAGTTAAAAAAGATCTTTTTTGGATTAGAAAAATCATATAGAAGGCAGTAATTCTTTGTAGAATATTTTTCTAGGGGTAAACTTAGAATCTACATTTTGGGGGCCACACCTTGGCTCTGCACTCAGGAATCACTCCCCGTGGTGCTTCAAGGACCATATGGAATGCCAGGCATAGAACCTGGATTGGCCGTGTTCAAGGCAAACATCCTACCCTCCGTACTATCTTTCTGGCCCCTAAAATTAGAATCTTTCTGCCTTTCTTATTTTCCTTACCTGTTGGTACGGAGCTTGAGCTGAGAATTCATAGGCATCAGAATTTGTTTAGGCTGACATTCTGGGTAGAAAAGATGGAGTTTTTCAAATACCTACATTGAGAAAATAATGTTTTCTTCATTTCTGGGAAAGACAACTAATGACCTTAATTTACATGTAAACAACTCCAAATTAGTCAGACACTGAAAACACATCTAGGTATTTGTGTTTGGGCAGTGACTGCTTATAGGTTATAGATGTCTTTTGGTGGTAACAAAAATAGTTTGGAAACAGGTGATCAGTATTCCCAGCCTTTCTCCAACTGTGGCCCCTTCCAATCTTGGTTCCTTCCTGTGGCCTTCCTGCCCTATGGAGTGGATCACTGGTCTCACACTCTGGCTCCCTGCACCCACCCTCCTCACTTTTTTTTTTTTTTTTTTGCTTTTTGGGACACACCCGGCGATGCACAGGGGTTACTCCTGGCTCTGGCTCTACACTCAGGAATTACCCCTGGCGGTGCTCAGGGGACCATATGTGATGCTGGGAATTGAACCCGGGCCGGCTGAGTGCAAGGCAAACACCCTATCAGCTGTGCTATTGCTCCAGCCCCCCCACCCCCACCTTTTATGTGATTTCACCTGTGGCCACCTTTGAAAATCTTGGGGGCCCAGAGGGGGTCATATGGCCAATGGCAGAGAAACACTGCTCTAGAATATATAAATATTGTTGACCCTGCTTTGACTCTATGGGACTTGGCATGTGACAAAGCGTATTTTTACCACATTATTATGTTACTTACATATTATGCATAAAATAAAATTGGACTTTCTAATTTTAGATTTGGTAAATTGAAAAGAGATTTGAGAATAAAGAACCTATTATAGTAAGTTAGCAAGGGACATTATTTAGGTCTTCTACTTCCTAGTAAGATATTTTTCTTGTTACCCTTTAATGAATTAAAAAACCAAAGCAAAAATAAAAGAAAGAAAAAAAAATCAGTCCCAGCTTCAGAATTAGAGAACTGGGGCTGGAGTGATAGCACAGCAGATAGGGCGTTTGCCTTGCACGCGGTGTTCAATTCCCAGCATCCCTTATGGTCCACCAAGCACCACCAGGAGTGATTCCTGAGTGCATGAGCCAGGAGTAACCCCTTTGCATAGCCAGGTGTGACCCAAAAAAGAAAAAAAACAAAAACAAAAACAAAACAGAATTAGAGAACTTACTTGTTTCATCCAATGATCATTAAAAAAAATTTTTTTAGAACATCAATAGCAACTATTGGTGTGTGTGTGTGTGTGTGTGTGTGTGTGTGTGTGTGTGTATTGCTAGAGATTGAGTCCAGGTCACCTGTGCATACACTTGGTCTTTGAGCCACATCCCATACTTGACCTAATATTTATACTTATATCATACCAGAAGTTAAGATTTTCTAACTTCTATTTTCTTACTACCTGTGAAAATAGATAAGTGGAAATGTAGTATCTTTGATTGCAGAATACCTCGAAAATGATTTCCTCTTTAATTGTGGTGTTCATGATCTGTGTTCTTTGTGTATGTGCTAATTTTTTTTTCTTTTCTTTTTGGGTCACACCTGGAGATGTACAAGGGTTATTCCTGGCTCTGCACTCAGGAATTACTCCTGACGGTGCTCAAGGAACCATATGGGATGCTGGGAATCAAATCCGGGTTGGCCGCGTGCAAGGCAAATGCCCTACCCGCTGTGCTATTGCTCCAGCCCCTGTGCTAAGTTTTTAATATCTATACTTACATAGGTGTGATGATGAGGAATGACAAAGACCTAGAAACTATAAAACTGGCATGGCTGTTGGGGACTGGAGTGATAGTACAGCAGGTAGCATGTTTGCCTTGCAGGGGGCTGACCCGGGTTTGATTCCCAGCATCCCATATGGTTCCCCGAGCACCACCAGGAGTATTCCTGAGTGCAAAACCAGGCCTAACCCCTGTGTATCGCTGGGTGTGACCCAAAAAGAAAAAAAACCCAAATATAAAAAAACAAAATAAAACAAAATAACCCCTCAAAAACTTAAAAATACCCCCAAAACTGGCATGGCTGAGAGCATTCATGATCAGGGGTGGACAACTGAACAGCCATGTCAGGAAATTTCTTTGCAGGCATAACTGCTTCTCCTGTCCAACCACCCCTATGCACTGAGGCAGTCCTGGGGGATGAAGCCAAGGTGTAGATGAAGCCACAGCTTTTGTAGAAGATAAAGAGGAAGGGTTGGAGAGATAGTACACATATGATACTTGCCTTGTACTCTGCTGACATGGATTCAATCTTGAGAACCACATATGGTCTCCTAAGCCCCACCAGGGGTGATCTGTGGGCACCTGTGGGATTCCCCCCCAGAAAAACAAAACCCCTAAAAACACAAACAAACAAAGATAGAGAGGAAGAAGATGTGTGTAATGAACCTAAAGCCTTACCAAGTGAAGGTGCAACTATCCTATTTGTGAAAGAAGATATTTCAGCAAATAGTACTGTGGCACTCCTAATGAACTTTACAAACAAGGGCACAAATCACTGCTCAATCTCTGGATTTCCCCTTCTCGTATCCTTAGGATATCAGTTTTATATCTAGAATTTCACAGCACTCCCTCTAATCACTGCTGTGCCAGGAAACTGTGTATATGTGTGCAGGGTGCATTGGCCACACCTGGAGATGCTCAGGGCGTACTCCTGGCCCTGAGCTCAGGAATCACTCCTGGAAGGCTAGGAGGACCATATGGGGTTCTGGGGATCAAAACCAGGTCAGCTAAATGCAAGGCAAGCTCCATGCCCACTGTATTGTTCAGGCCCCCAAGACAGAAGACTTTTGAGTGCTCCTTTATCCTGCAGAACCCAGGAGTAGGTCCATACCATTGACAGTGCTGGTTTGGTCTTCAAAGACTTGAATAGAAAGATACTGTCTACAACCAAACAGAATTACTGAAAGAAGAGAGAATGGGGAGAGGAAGAAATGATCTCATGTTCATGTCCCTGTTAACCGTGGGGCTGCTTTTTTTTTAATTAATTAATTTATTTTTTAATAGTGAGACATCATGAGGTACAGTTGCAGACTTACACATTTTTGTGCTTGGGTTGGGGCTGCTTTTTTGATTGTTGGTTTTCTTCAAGTTCTAGAATCTAGAAAGCATTAATGTGTACAGAAAGTTGGGGCAGGTATGTCAAATCAGAATGATGCTGACATGAGTTAGACTCCTCAGGAAACTTGGAATCAGATCAATACAACTTTGTCTCAAAGGATGTCCAGAAAACGAGAACAGGAGAGACTGGTGGAATCTAAGGAGTAATTTTTTTCAAGCAACAATGTCTTGATGCAGTACAGTCATAGCCCAATGACAGCACCTCCGAGTTGTGTGTGGTGTGAGAACTTAGAATCTGTGACTGCAACATTGCTGAAAATGCACTCTGCATTTTACTAAAGTAACAAAGTTGAGGTTTTTAGACCATTAAAATCTGTGTGTGTGTGTGTGTGTGTTTAAAGAAACGATAAACTTATTTCAGGGATCTTTATCTCTATCCAGACTAAGTTCTCCATAGATAAGAGAACATAACTTTCTTTTAGAAGAATAAAAACAGAATGTAGCTTTGGAATCTTACCAGTATCTGAACTTCATCGGACAGTTCCAACGAATTCCCCTCAAACTGCCCAGATGAGCTATTCATACAGCGGACGGTGACTTTTATGCTGGTTCGACCAGCTGATTTTGTGTGGACAACCATAGCAAAGTTATTCTCTACTGGGAGCTGTAGAAAAACCTAGAGAGGGAGGGGATGGGTGGAGAAATATTCATGAGGGGAGCTGGAGAGCTTGGACAGCGGGCAGGGTGCTTGCCTTACACAGCCTACCTGGCTTCAATCCCCTGAATCTCACCAGGAATACCCCCAAATGCAGAGCCAGGAGTAAGCCCTGAGCATAGCTGGGTATGGCCCAACCTCCCCACTATACCCCCAAATATTCATGAGGTCTGGAGAGAGAGAGTACAGAGGTTAAGGTATTTATTTTGTGTGACCAATCCTGGTTCAATCCCTGGTACCATATATGATCCTCCAAGCACTGCCAGGGATCTCTCTAAAGCACAGAGAAAGGAGTATACCCTGGGTACCATGGGATATGATCCTAAATGCCACTCAATCTACCCAAAATGAAAAGAAATATGGAGCTGGAGAGAGAGTACCAGGCAAGGCACTTGCCTTGCATGTGGCCACTTGTGGCTGACCCAGGTTTGATCCCCAGTATCTCATAGGCTCCAAGCACTGCCAGGAGAAATTCCTGAGTGCAGAGTCAGGAGTAGTTCCTAAGCAACGCTGAGTATGGCCACAAACAAATAAAACGAAACAAACCAAAAAGAGAAATATTCACGAATAAACACAATTAAGAAAACAAATATACCAAGAAGAGCCAGGCTTATTTTTGTAGTTATTTCTTTTAATATTCCTAGCAATACAGTCACCTCTAAAGCAAATACTTGTTAACAGTACTCAACTATTTCTGGAAATTCCTGGTAGGATTCTCAGGTTACTTCAAAGTCAATTAATTTTAGGAGATGAAGCAAAGAAAGAGCCTTTAAAAAATGGGTCCAGTGGACAAGTAGAAAGGAAAGTGGTGGAGCACATGCTAGAAAGTGTGAGGCCCTAACTTAGATTCCATTTCATCCAGATCCCGTAATACAGCTTGGGGTGGCCGGTCAGATCCAAGCACTGCTTAGTGAGGTCGTCATAAATAATAGATAAGCTTCAGACAGTGAGCTTGAATTGGGAGAGAAGTGAAGTAATGCACTCCTGGAATTCATTGTAATAAGCAAGGAAAACCACCAAAAAGGAACTCTCCAGAGCCCAGGGCTGTAACTCAGCAGGAGAGCAATTTCTTTGCATGAGTGAGTTCCCAGGTTTGATCCCTGGTACTTTCACTTACCCTCCAGCCCCCCACCAAAGACCAAAACAAGAGAAAACCTCCAGTTTTGGGTTAATGCTGAAACTAGCTAACCATGCCCCCACTTATTCACCCACCATCCCAATCTCAGCTGGTACAGACAGGTTTCCAGTAACAGGGAAGGTAGGACCAACGCTAAGCAAATTGTAGATGGCGCCTACTTACCTTCTGGCACTCAGTTCATGTTCTAGTTCCCCTATCTTCTTATTTCCAAGCCCCAACATCTTCCTTCTAGGTCTTTCGACTCACAGAGTTCCAAGTTCCAAAGCTGCCTTTCCCTCCTCCCCTACACAAAAAAATGTCCAGTTCTGGGCTGGTGAGCTATTTCAATGGACTTGAGTATATGCTTTGGAGGTAGGAAGCCCCGGTTTGATCCCGGCACCAAACAGTTCTCTGAGCACCACCAGGAGCTGACCCTCAGCGTGGAGCTGAGAGCAGGCCCTGAGCACTGCTAGAGTGGCCCTCAAATAAAACAAAAATTCAAAACATTAAAGTAAGAAGTCTTTAAAAACTTGCCCATTTGCTTTTTTTTCCCTTTTTTTTGCTTTTAGGGTCACACCCAGCGATGCACAGGAGTTACTCCTGGTTCATGCACTCAGGAATTACTCCTGGTGGTGCTTGGGGGACCATATGGGATGCTGGGAATCGAACCTATGTCGGCTGCTTGCAAGGCAAACGCTTTACCCGCTGTGCTCTTGCTCCAGCCCCACCCCATTTGCTTTTTTACAGGGATCAGTCAGCTTCCAGAAAGAAAGTCTTTTTTCTCCCCTCCCTCCCTTCGTTGTTCTTGAGAGGATAACTGTGCCTAGCTGTGGGGTCTGTCGCACTCCCTGGAGTTGCGGTGCCCACACACACTTGGCTTCAGTGTAGCCAGGAACCACTCAACATGCCAGAATCACAAAGAGCTGAGCCAACAAGACTGATCTCTAGGCAGGTGGTTACTCCAGGGATCAAACTCGCGGCCTTACACTTTCAAAGCAGGTGCTATCCCTGGAACTACCAGCTGGGGTCCCCAAAGACAGTACTATGTGAGAGAACATCTGTTAATAGGTGTTTGAGCTAAGTGGATCTCTAAATGGTGACATCAGAGAGCAGGATATCTACTTTGTGGACGAGGGGAGACCTTTCTGTTCCCTATTTCACCACCCTGTTTGCCTCTGTAGGGTCTGAGGCAGGAGAAGAAAACCACTGCATGACTCTGTTATTTTTACTGCTAAGAAGAGAGTGAGGTTTACATAAAAGAATTAGAAAGGGAGCTTTAGAGATAGTGAGTGTGTGTGTGTGTGTGTGTGTGTGTGTGTGTGTGTGTGTGTGGTGTCTTGCATCCTGCAGAGTCCAGTTTAAACCCCTAGCTCCACAACTGATCCCTCAGCACTGCGAAGGGTCACTCCTGGGCACAGAGCCAGAAATAGTTCCTGGGATCTACCAGGTTTGGCCCAAACACAAAAATAAAACAAACAAACTAGAGAGGGTCCACAGATGGTTCAGCGGTTAAAGTGCTGGCTAAGCCAGCTTGAAGCTGTTTGATCCCTGACTCCTTGAGCACCATCAGGAGTGATCCCTAAGCACTGCCACGTGTGGTTTCAAAAACAAAACAAAACGTGAACTTGTCTAAACTTAAAACAAAATAACTTGGGATGAAAGAAAATAACTGTAATGTGAGGATTCCCTAAGGTATAACAAGAGGAAAATTCATACCTCTGAATGTCTAGGTACTAGATCCAATACATCCCTTTTGCTCATGGACCAGTGGAATGTGAGGCCAGGGTAGGCATTGCCAAAGGAGAAAGGAGTCTGTGTACTGGTCACTCCCATCACATAAACAGGCATCTGAAAAGGAAAAGTGGTTCTGTGCTTCATGTCCTGCCCAGCTGGCAGTGTCAGAAAAGCGAATCCACAATGGAGCCTTCATACTGACTTCAGTAGCTGTGATGAGCCGAGTTGCAGCTGCCAGGATCCTAACAGCCCTGAGCTGAACAACTTCAATTTGCACTTCATCCTGTTGGACAGGGCAGAGAGCAAGCTTAGGCTAAGACGAGTGCCTGTGGTGGCTAGAGATGCTTATGACATCTAGAGTATTTTTGGTTTATGGTGTTCAAAAAAGCATGTCATAGATGTTTATTTTTCTCCCTTAATTTAATTATTTCTTGTGTTTTTTGGCAGTGCAGGAATCAAATCTAGGCTTCAAATATAAAGGCAAGTGTTCTATCACGGAGCCACATCCACATATTAAGCACTTGTGTGTGTGCATGCGTGTGTGTATGTATATTAGATAGTCACACCCAGTGGTGCCTGGGGAACCATGTGGTTCCAGGGATTGAACCTGGGGCACCCGCATGTACTCCAGCACTTCGAGCTATTTTCTCAGACTTTAAACAGTATTTCGGTTTGTTTCTGGGGCACACCCCACAGTGTTCAGGGCTTACTCCTGGCTCTGCCCTCAAGGGTCACTCGGGCTCAGGGGATCATATAGAGTGCTGGGGATTAGACCCAGGTCGGCCACATGCAAGGCAAGTGACCTAACTGATGTACTATCGCTCCAGCCCCTTAAATGATTTCTTAAAAATAGAGACGTCTTATGCTGTGTGGGCTTTTCATTAGAGACTACTTATTTCCCACACTTGGTTGAAAGAATGCTAGGTGAGTGAATGAAAGGTTTACCTGGGCTGAAATCCTCCTCCTCATTATTATTTCCTCCCCCAACACCTCGGCCCCTCTCTGGATCCCAGGTGAACGATGGAAGCAGAGTAGGATAAAGTACCATTACCTGGGAAAACACGATGACTTTGCCAGTGTCTTCATTTACCGCCTGGATAGTGCCATAGACCACAGCTATGCCAACTACTTTGCCTGTAACTTGCCCCCTCCTGTTAACAGTAGCCACAGTCTGGTTACTGATGGAGAAGTGAATGATGGACTGGGGCTGAGGGCCGCCTTCAGACATTACCTGGAATTCAAATATACCATTGAATTCCAGCAGCATGCTGAGAAGCCCATCTTCTTCTTAGTTTCTGGCACACCCCAGTGATGCTTAGAGACTACTCTAAGATCTGTGCTCAGGTGAACACATCCACCTGAGGAGAATTAGACCTGACTCTCCTACACCCAGTGCACACCTCTAGCCCATTGAGCTCTCTCTGGCCTGGGAAATCACACCTCTTTTTCCAATATTTTGTTCAAACAACTTGGTTTCTTCATCTTCGCCCACTTTCCAACCAGCATATCCCACATCAATGCAAATAGAGAAGAAATAAAAGTACTATATATGAGCTATGGGATTCCAAGAGCTAGTTTATTTATTTACTTATCAATTAGTTTTTTCCTTTTTGGATCACACCCGGCAATTACTTTTTGAATCACACCAGCAACTAATGCTCAGGAATTACTTCTGGCTATATTCAGGAATTACTCCTGGCAGTTCTCAGGGAGACCATATGGAATGCCAGGGATTGAACCCGGGTTGGCCACGTGCAAGGCAAATGTCCTACCTGATGTATTATGGCTCTGGCCCTAACAAGAGCTAGTTTATACCATGTACCATGAACAGCTAGTTTATACTGTTTACTGTCTACAGGAATACACTAATTCTTATGTTCGTTGTATAATGAATATACTAATTTTCTCTTAATAAGCTCTGGTGTATTAGGCAGAAGTAAACAAGAAAAGGTTAAAAAAAGAAGAGGAGGTGTATGCATTTGTAGGTGGGACAAAAATGAAACTAAGAGAAAAAATAATTTTGTATTATCTATCTTTAAGATCACCTGCATCATGTTAGTTGGAATTAGTGTCATTTTCTCTGGAACAAGTCTGAATGGAGGAAACACCTGGAAAGGTAAAACAAAAGAACAATGGTAACTAACTATAGACAAAACAAATAATACTCGTACAGTTTAATCTAAGAAAAAAAAACCCCAAAACACTGTATTATATGCAATGTAGCTATACACAAAGATGTGCATTATCTTTTTATTTCTTTTTGGGTCACACCCAGCAATGCTCAGGAATTACTCCTGGAGATGCTCGGGAGACCATATAGGATGCCGGGGATCGAACTCAGGTTGGCTGCATGCAGGGCAAATGCCCTAGCCTCTGTGCTTTCACTCCAGCCCCAGATGTGCATTATCTCTTATTGTTTTTATTTTATTTTATTTTTGGGTTTGGGGGGACCCACACCTGTCAGTACTCAGGGACTGTTACTGGCTCAGTGCTCAAGAGTAACCTCTGCAGTACTCAGGGTCCACATATGGTGCCAGGGATTCACAACAGGGTGTGGACATAGGACAAACACCTTAGCCCTTACACTGTTTCTTTGGTCCATATATATATGGGGGTCACACCCGGTGTTGCACAGAGGTTACTCATAATTCATATATATGGCTCATGTACTCAGGAATAGCTCCTGGCAGTGCTTGGGGGACCATATGGGATGCTGGGAATTGAACCTGGGCCGGCCGCATGCAAGGCAAATGCCCTACCCACTGTGCTATCACTCCAGCCCCCCTATTTATATTTTTCATAATAACTCTTTATTTATTCATTGGGCTTTTAGGCCATGGCCTACAGTGCTCAAGCTCTGTGCTCAGGGTTTATTGTTATTGTTGCATGGGGGACCACACGCAGTGCTGAGGAACGAACCCAGCTCCACTGAATATAAGGCAAACACCTTAACTTCTCTACTATGTCTCTGGCCTTGTATTTTACCTTTTTTCTTTATAAATAAAAGTTTTATTTATAATTGACAAAATTATAACTTACTTAGTGCTTAAGTTATATATTTACTTCCAAGCATAAAAGTGACCATTAAAATCATGTTTGCAATTTCTTTTCCTTTTATTTTCTCAAACACATATAAAAGTAGAGGAAAAATTGCAATGAACCCTCAGGTATCTATTACATAGCTTCAACAATTATCAACTCATGGCAAGAATCAATTTTTAATGATGTAAGAAAATATTTTTGTGTGAAATTTGCTTTTACATGGATAAGCATGAAGAGTATTATGCTGAAAATGAAATGAATTAGAGGGAAAGGGACAAACATAGAATGAATTTGCACTCATTTGCAGAATATTAAAAATAAGGGGCTGGAGCGATAGCACAGCCGGTAGGGCATTTGTCTTGCCTGCGGCTGATCTGGGTTCGATTCCCAGCATCCCATATGGTCCCTTGAGCACCGCCAGGGATACTTCCTCAGTGCAGAGCCAGGAGTAACCCCTGTGCATCGCTGGGTATGACCCAAAAAGCAAACAAAAAAAAATTTTTAAAAAGTATGTGAATAACATTCAAAGTCAATAGAGACAAAGACCAGGAGGACTGGTCCACGGTAGGAAGCTTGGAATACAATTATGAACAACTCTTTTTGATATAAGGTAAATATGAAGAAAGTCACTGCAAGGTTTGCTCAGGATCCAAGGGTAGTCAGCTGATGAAACAGTGCCAGTCCCATAATCAAAGATCACCGTGCCCCCAGCACAGAGGACAGGACTTATGGCCCGTCTGGCGCCAGAAAGTCACCAGGCTGCATTCCATGCGTCCTCACATCGATCTCCTGCAGACAACAGACCAAATGGTCCCACTGGTGTCTGTTCCCTCTCCCCACCCAAGACAACTTCAAAGTCTGCTTAGTCTCCTAGGACAAGGCTCTCCCTGAGTCTCATCTGAGGTTTGTAGTGTCTGCTGGAAGTGCACCCCAATAAACTCCTATTCCTTCTTTACCCTTACCAGTCTTTGTTCCTGTGTCTGTGCCAGCTGAGGTCTCCAACCTATCAGTCATGTTCATGTTAAAATACGCATGTTGGGCCAGAGCAATAGTACCATTGGGTAGTATGGTTGCCTTGCATGCAGATGACCTGGGTTCGATCCCTGTCACCCTATATCATCCCCTGAGTACTGCCAGGAGTGATCCCTGAGCACAGAACCATGAGTAAGCATGAGCACTGCCTGGTGTAGCCACCCACCAAAACACAGTGTCGAGAAGAAAAGTGAAGGAAATACATTTGACCCTAGAACAACATGAGTAAACTCTGTGGGTACATATATATGAATTTTTCACTATAACTATTATCAATGCATGAATCATAAAACCTAAATATATGTTTTTCCACATTATATTTTAATTTTGATGTGTAATGTGAGTACTGCACAAAACATCTACAGTGTTTTCTAGAAGAAAATATTATTGTAGGAACTAACAGACAAATAATTTTCTGAACAATATAAACTTATGGTGGCAATACATATAGTATGGTAGTGCTAATGTATTTTATCTTTCTAACATTTTCTTTTCTCTATTTTATTAAGAGTATAGAAAATACTACATATAGGAACTGGAGCAATAGCACAACGGGGAGGGCATTTGTCTTGCACACGGTGAACCAGGGTTCAATTCCCAGCATCCCATATGGTCACCTGAGTACCACCAGGAGTAATTCCTGAAGTAACCAGAAGTAACCCCTGCACAGCATCACCGGGTATCACCCAAAAAGCAACGGTCACAGTCACAGTCCTCCCGTTGTTCATCGATTTGCTCGAGCAGGCCCAGTAACATCTCCATCGTGAGACTTGTTGTTACTGTGTTTGGCATATTGAATATGTCATGGGTAGCTTGCCAGGTTTTGCCATGCGGGTGAGATACTCTCGGTAGCTTGCTGGCTAAACAAACTACATATAGCATACAAAATGTTTCAGTTGACTTTATGATATTGGAAAGGATTCCTGTCAACAACAGGATAGTTATGTCTTGGAGCAGTTGAAAGTTTGCAGGATGCAGAGGAGAGAGGAATGGATTGCATGCTTGCATTTGCGAGGTCAAAGCTCAGTTCCCTCCTCCACTTGCCGGTTTTCCCAGCAGTCCTGGCAGCTTAAGCAGTGAGCTACATCTCCAGCTATGTTATTTTTGTACAGAAAGAGCAAAACCAAAGTATTGTAAGAGTTAGACAATAATCAATTTTTCAAACGATTTTCAACTTGAGTAAACTAAACATAAAAAGATAGAAATGTCAATAAACTGAATTTAGAATAGATAGTTTCCTTACTTCAATTTGTCGAGGAGCAGATGTAAATTTTCTTCTCATCTTGTCCCTGGCAATAGCCACAAGTGTGGTTTGTCCAACAGTGACAGCTCGGAGAATGTAATTTGCAGAATAGTCATCCTGCTCCTCCAGGAACCTGAAAAGACCCATGTGTTTATACTGTTTGGTGGGTTTTTTGTTTGCTTGTTTTGTTTTTGTTTTTGCACCACACCCAGCAGTGCTCAGGACTGCTCCTGTCTTTGTGCTCAGGGATCACTCCTGGTAGATTCGGGGGACCATATGGAATACCAGAAACTGAACTCAGGTCTGTCCTATCCACTGTACTATCGCTCTGACCCCTATACTTTTTGGTTTTACTGGTGAGGAAGATAGTTTTTTGAGGACCCAGTTCCACTTTTCTGAGATGCACTTAATAATTTATGTTCATTTTAATTCTAGAGGAAACTGACAGAAAATAAATGTCAGGATCAAGACACAATTCACAATAATAACAGGGAACTTCTGAAGGTAAAATATTAATTTAAGGCTCTCCAAAGGAATAAGGGTAACAGAAATGTATGACAGGTAAAATTATAAATACTAACTGGGCTCAGCTTTGTGCTTCCGGAAGTACAGGGAAGTGGGGACTGAAGTAGCCCATCCCAAATCAGAGAAAGCCTGGAGACTGAAGACACAAAGACCTGCATACCTGAATTTTCAGCAGGTTAATTTCTTTTTTTTCTATTTTTTAATATATAGAAATGATATAGTGATTAATCACTTAATCACATAATCCCCGTTATTCATCGATTTACTCCAGCGGGTGCCAGTAACGTCTCCATTCATCCTGGTTGCGTGCTAGCGTAGCCCAATGGTATCTGTTCATTTTAGGAACATGTAGAGCCTCAAACCGATCATTTAGGGTCTTGACGAAGAAGTCTGACCATCTTATAGGTGGGCGTCCACGTGATCTTTTGATGTCTCGTGGAATCCAATCAGTAATGGCTCTAGTCCAGCGGTTGTCTGTAAACCTCATTACGTGTCCAGCCCATCTGATTTTTGATGTCTTGGCAAATGAGACAGCGTCCCTGATTCTTGAGCGTTGACGAAGACCAGAACTCCGGATTCTATCTCTCATTTGAGTGAATCGTGATATTCCAAGCATAGTTCTTTCGATTCCTCTTTGAGAGACCCGAATAGTGTTCTCATCCTGTTTTCGTAGGGTCCAGGTCTCTGAGGCATATGTTAATGCAGGAAGAATAGTGGAATCAAAGAGATGTGCTCGTAGCTGGAGGTTCTTTGTCCTTTTAGTTATTTCTTCAATGCTCTTGAAGGCATTCCAAGCCGCTCTCTTCCTCCTGCGCAACTCAGGTGCCAGGTCATTCATCATGTTGATTTCTCTATCTAGGTATATATAACTGTTGCATTCGGAGATGGTGGTTCCGTTGAGAGCGAATGGAGCGTCAGGAACAAGGCTGTTTCTCATAAACATTGTCTTCGTAAGATTCAGCTGTAGTCTGACCTTTCCACATTCACGGTCAAAGTCGTTCAGCATTTGTGCCGCTTGGTTGATGTTTGGTGTTATTAGAACGATGTCATCAGCAAAGCGGAGGTGGTGTAGTTGCCGACCATCTATCTTCACTTCCATGTTTTCCCATTCCAGTCGTCGCATGATGTTCTTGAGGGTGGCACTGAAGAGTTTTGGTGAAATGGTATCACCCTGCCGAACCCCTCTCTTGATATGGATGATTACTTCTTTGTAGAATGGTGAGATCTTGGTAGTGAATCCGCAATAGAGCTCACGAAGGATCCTGATGTATTGAGTTTGTACGCCCTGATTGGCTAGGGCTTCCATGACCGCTTCCGTCTCAACAGAATCAAAGGCCTTCTTTAAATCAATGAACGTTAGACAGAGCGGCATCTTGAACTCCCGAGATACCTCAATGAGCTTGGTTATTGTGTGGATATGGTCGATGGTACTGAATCCTTTTCGGAATCCAGCTTGTTCACATGGTTGTCCTTCATCTAGTGTTCTGCTAATCCTATTCAGGATGACTCGAGTGAATAGTTTGTAGATGACAGACAATAGGCAGATTGGGCGATAGTTGCCAATGTCGTGGATGTCTCCTTTCTTGTATAGTAGTACAGTCCTGCTGGTTTTCCATTGGGATGGAACCTTGCATTCAGACAGGTAGCGTGTGAAGAGTCGAGCCAATGTATTGATGAGTACTGATGGTAAGTTCTTCAGGTGTTCAGGTCTGATCTTGTCTGGGCCAGGTGCTCTTTGTTTCTTTACCGATGAGATGGCATGTTGGATTTCGGAAGGGAGAACATTGGGAACGACATATCCATCATGTGGTATGTGGTATGTGGGCAAGTGGATGTGGCTATTAAAGAGATCTGAGTAGAAGTCATGAATAATCTTCTCCATTGCCCTTCTGGAATATGTGATAGATCCATCATGATGTCGGAGGGCAGTCATCTTGGTTTTGTAGATGGTGAAGGACAGGTGGGCATTACGAATGTTTTTCCCAGCTTCTGCTGCATCTACCAGTACTGCTGCTCTCCTGTTTTTGAGGTCATCTTTGATGGCTTCTCTGCACTGTTTTGCCAGTTCGGACGTTCGCTTGTGGTTGCCTGAGGCACGTGCCAAGCCACGTTGGCGAATAAGTTCAAGAGTGTTCGAAAAAAGACGGTTTTTTGTGGTTATCTCTCTCTTGGCATTCCTTGCACAATCATGGAGGTGCTGAATCATTCGATCGTATTCCTCATCAATGTTGTCAATGACGGCATCTTCCCATGTTGCCATAACAGAGCCAAAGAGCTCCCAGTTGGTGGTTGTTCTGGGAGTCCTCTTCTTAAACCTTGCATTCTTTTCTCCTCGTTCTGTGAGGTAGAATTTTGCACGAAGAAGACGGTGGTCTGATCCCGTTTGGAATTTTGGGACAACAGCAACATCGGTTAGGCAAAACCGCCGATTGAATATGATGTGGTCTATTTCATTGTGGAACCGTCCATCGGGAGACTCCCATGTCTAACGTTTAGATTCAGCCTTTTGGAATTGTAAGTTACCTTGGAAGGTTTTGGTTGACATGATGAACTCAGACAGTCTGTCACCCTGTTCGTTCCATTCCAGGCCATGGGTCCCGATGTGGAGTTCATCGACTGATCTTGTTGGTCCTATCTTGGCATTAAAACCACCGACAATGATCTTGTAGAAGGTGTGATCTTCTTTATAGAACTTCTCCAGTTCTATATATATATATCTAATATAGTGATTAGATACAAGTATTGTGATACTTTTCTTACTTGATCTTTTCATTGCCAGACATCAAACCCTGAGCCTCACATAGTCAAGGCAGGTGCTCGGTGCTCTACCATTGAGCCACATTCCTGGCCCCTGATTTTCTAGTTTTTTTTTTTTTTTAATAATTTATTGGATCACTGTGGGAAAAGTGACAAAGCTTTCAGGTTTAGGTCTCAGTCATGCAAATATCAAACACATTTCCCTTTACCAATACTTATTTTTCACCCCGAAGAACCCCAATAAAACCCCACCCCCCACCTCTCCCAGTGCCTGTGAGGCAGATGAATTCTAGTTAACACTCTATCTGCTTTGATTAGATTCATTGTTTCAATAAAAGATGCACCACTATTATTTAGAGTTTACCCCCACCCCAAATCAGACATGCTGAAAAAGCATTGTGAAGTGATTTGCTTTCTACAGCTGGGTTCAAGAATTAAATGTTGGTTTTGGATTTCTGCTATTTTACTTATTAACCCTGGAAGTATTTCTACTGAAAGTCAGATAATTAAGAGATTGGTTTCTGTGCTCTGGAGTCGTGGCCGTGCTGGAGAGCCGCTCGTGGGGGGCAACTGGTGACCTCGGTAGGGCGTGAAGGACAGACCAGAACGCCCCCCTTCCCATGAGGTTTTAGTCGCCCCCAGCACCCGGCTCATACCTGCTCTCCACAAGGCTCCCATGCGGCCGCCATCTTTCTTTCCAGAGAGGAGAGGGCGAATGGGGCAACACCCTTTCCCCTCCGGGCAGACATGATAGCCTGGATTAATGCATAGTCCGTTCACTTTTCTGCTCCAAGCTGCTGGGTTCTGCATTAAGTCTTTGTTCAGCAGGTTAATTTCTGGGTGAGACTGTCTCAAAACAATGAAGTCCAACCTGAGGCATGGTGGCAATTTGCAGTGTGGGAGCAAGCAGCTGCTGGGACTGTTTCCGCAGGCCCTTTCCCTTACTATTTTTAAAATGAAGGCCTTCTTGGAGGGCTCTAAAGATGTTAATTAATTTCTGAACTCCAAGAGATTAATTACAGACACCAAAAGGGAAGAGGGGAAATGGAGTAGTAAATCAGGACAACGGGTCAAGGGGATGGTAGTGGGGAATAACTTGTGAACTTAATGTAGTGTCTCTACAGGTTGATTTTCAATGATGTATACCTGAATTTTTCATAATTATAAATAATACCCAAACTTGGGCTGGAGAGATAGCACAGCAGGTAGGGCGTTTGCCTTCCACGTGGCCGACCCGGGCCAACCTGGGCCAACCCGGGTTTGATTCCTCCGCCCCTCTCTGAGAGCCCGGCAAGCTACAGAGAGTATCTCACCCACACGGCAGAGCCTGGCAAGCTACCTGTGACGTATTTGATATGCCAAACACAGTAACAAGTTTCACAATGGAGATGTTACTGGTGCCCGTTCAAGCAAATCAGTGAACAACCGGAGATCAGTGCTACAGTGCAGTGCTGCTAACTATCAGGGCCAGAGCCTTTGCTATTGTATGACAGGCAGGGTACTTGCCTTGCATACGGCCAAAATGGGCTTTATCCCTGGCACCCCATATGGTGGCCTAAGCTTGTTCAGGAGTGATTCCTGAGTACAAGGCCAGGAGTAATTCCTGAGTACTGCTGGGATGCGGTTCAAAAACAAACAAAAATGCTAACTATCCTAAATTCCCCTATTTCCCTTTTTGTAGGAAGACTATTAGTATTTCAGCTTCAAAATATATTTTTGAAGGTCCTTTAGACCTGAAGTAACCCCATGGTATATTTACACAAAGAGAAGTTTCATAAAATGGGAACAAACACATGATTTTTCATTTGATCAAACACAAACTCATTAATGATACATAGAACTTTAGGCCCCCAACAAAAAATGAGGATCTGGAAAGGATTTTTGGAAGAGAGCTAAATATGGGGACCAAGTGTGATTGAAAGCTACTGTGATGGGGGGCCAGAGCAGTAGTATAGTGCTTGTGCACAGGAGAGTGCTTGCACACACTTGCCTTACACACAGCTGACCCGGGTTTGATCTCCAGAATCCCATATGGTTTCCCGAGCCCTGTGAGGAGCGATCCCTGAGTGCAGAGCCAGGAGTAAACACTGAGCATGCCGAGTGTGCCCCCTCTGCCCCCATCAAAGAAACAAAAGAGAGAGAGAGGAAGAAAGAAAGCTACTGTGACAAAACAGTAAAGAAAATCTGAATTGACGTAAGGGAGAGTTGACCAGGCTGCCAGGAGGGAGACTCTCATGAGCTTCCACACAGGAAAAAGAAGCACCGAGATGATACTCACGTCAGAGTGACAATGGCAGAAGCCAACTGCAGTTTGAGTTCCATGTTTCTGAAGTATTTATTTAGAAATGGGCGTTTGGAAGAGTCAAGAACCCTCACAGTCACTAACACAGTTTTACCTATTTCAACCTAAAAGTTGAGAGAGAGAGAGAGAGAGAGAGAGAGAGAGAGAGAGAGAGAGAGAGAGAGAGAAAGAATTTTAGTTGATGTCTCTTTCACCAAGGACAGTTTAATTCTCAGAAGATTTTGCTCATGTGAAATATTCCTGGTCAGAAAGGTAACAGGTAACAGGAATTGAGAACTGGCCTTCACTGGATGAACAAAGGGGAGTGAAGGGGATTGGATGGGGAGGGGGACACTGAGACAGTGGTGGAAGGAGGTGGTCACTTTGGGGAAAGGTACTGAGCTAGAATGTGTCAGGTATGAAACCCGAGAAGTGACAATATTATAAAACACCATGCTGCCCCCCTTCCTACAAAAAAGAGTCTGTCTTAGAGACAGGCGGTGATTGAGAGCTGGGAGGGAAACTGGGGACACTGGTAGAGAAAGTTGGCTCTGCTGGTGGGATTGGTGCTGGAACACTGTATGCCTGAAACTCAATCATGAGTGAGTTCACCACTGTGAATCATAAAGGTAAAGGTAAAGGCCCTCCCGTTGATCGTCGATTTGCTCGAGCGGGCCCAGTAACGTCTCCATTGGAGACTTTGTTGTTACTGTGTTTGGCATATCAAATACTCTCGGTAGCTTGCCGGGCTCTCCGGGAGGGGCGGAGGAATCGAACTCGGGTCAGCCATGTTGGCCGCGTGCAAAGCAGACGCCCTACCCGCTGTGCTATCACTCCATGGTGTCTTAAAAAAAATCAAGAGTAGGGGCTGGAGAGAGTATAGTGGGTAAGGTGTTTGCCTTGCATACAGCTGACCCGGGTTCAATCTCCAGCATCCCATATGGTACACCAGCACCACAAGGAATAATTCCTGAGTGCAGTCTCAGCTGTTACCCCTGAACATCACTGGGTATGGCCTCAAATATAAACTAACAAAAAGTTTACTTTTTTTGGGTCAAGGAGATGAGTGCTAGAGCACATCTTTGCATGTTGGAAGCCCAGCTGGAGGCCCCAACCCATCCCCTCAAATTAAAAAAATTATGAGTAACTTTGTGACTCTTAAAAAATCATGAATAAAGGGACTAGAGTAATAAAACAGTGGGTAGGGCATTTGCCTTGCATGTGGCCAACTCATGTTCGATTCCCAGCATCCCATATGGTCCCTTGAGCACCGCCAGGAGTAATTCCTGAGTACAGAGCCAGGCGTAACCCCTGTGCATCGTCAGATGTGACCCAAAAAGCAAAAAAAAAAAAAATCATGAATAACTTTGTAAAACATGATATCTTTAATATATATATGGATTATATTTGGTTTTGTTTTTCTGGTGTTCTTTGGTCAAATAAGCCTAATCTATATGTGCTACTTTAAATCTGTTTTTCATTTTTTTGGTTTTGGGGCTACACTTGGCAGTGCTCTCCTGGCTCTGTGGTTAGGGATCACTTCTGGCTGTGTCTGAGGATCATATATGGAGCCAAGTATTTATTTATTATTTTAAATGAAATTAGAATAAAAAAATAGGCATCATGATTTACAACACCGTTCACGATGGGGTTTCATACATACAGTGTTCCAACACCACACCCTCCACCAGTGTGTCCAACCATAACCTACTACCACCACTCCTTTTCTTTTTTACATTCTATTTGGGTCACATCCTGATGTTCAGGAGTTACTCCTGGCTCTGCACTCAGGAACTGCTCTTGGCAGTGCTCGGGGGACCATATTGGATACCAGGGATCAAACCCAGCTTGATGCAAGGTATGCAAGGCAAATACCATACCCACTGTACTATTGCTCCAGCCTCCTAAAAGCTTTTTTTTTCTTTATGCCTTTCCTTTTATTCCCTCTGCCCCACATTCTCCACCATGGTAAGCTCAGGTCTGTAGAGCAGTTCTCAGGCTCCATTGCTTTTGGTCATTTTTTAATCCCTTCATATGTTTCTTTATAGACCATATTTTAAAAAGTTCATTCTAGATCTGTTCTTCTCCTGATTTATTTTACTCAGCACGATACTCTCCAGATCCATCCATGTAGCAGCATATTACATTCTTTTTCCCCCTTCCTTCCTTCCTTCCTTCCTTCCTTCCTTCCTTCCTTCCTTCCTTCCTTCCTTCCCTCCCTCCCTCCCTCCCTCCTTTCTCTCTCTCTTTCTCTCAAATTTTTCCATTTTGGGGCCAAACCTAACAGTGCTCAAGGCTTATTCCTGGTTCTTCACTCAGGGATCACTCCTGGTGCCAAGGATCAAATCCTGGTCAGTGGCAAGTCAGGCAAGCATCCTATCCACTGTACAATCGTTCTAGCCTCAATTTTCTTTTCTTATAGCTGTGTAGTATCCCACTGTGTATATGTACCACAATTGCTTTATCTAATCATCTGTTCTTGGACACTTTAATTGTTTCCAGATTTTTGGGGGAGAGGCATACCTAGCAGTGCTCAGGGCTTATTTCTGGCTCTCTGTGCTCAGGAATCACTCCTGGTGGTCTTGGTGGACCATACATGGTGTTAGGGATTGAATCTGGGTTGACTGCAGGCAAGCAAGGGCCTTACCCACTCTACTATCTCTCTGGTCCCATTTCATATAAATATCAACAGCATTTGGTTAATGTGTTTTTAAAAAGTCATGGGTATTTTTATTTTCATTTTTACAATATTAATCCTTCTAAACCATAGACAGGGGATGTTCCCATTTTCTTGTGTCTTCTTTATTTATTTATTTGGTCCTTTTGGGTCTACTCCATGCGGTGCTCAGGGGGCACTCCTGGCACTGCACTTAGGAATTATTCCTGGTGGTACTCAGGGGGCCATATGGGATCCTGATGGGATCAAAATGTATAAAGCAAATGCCCTACCCATTGTACTATTGCTCTAACCCCCATTTTTATTTATTTTTTAGTATAGCTATAGTTTTATTTATGCAAGTCTTTCATATTCTTTGTTAAGGATTGGCTTTATTCAAGCAAAGTGCCTTAATCCTTGTACTATCTCTCTGGTCCTGGAAAGTTGTTCTTTCAGGGCAGATATTACTATGAACAGTACCAAAGGCTTATCTCTGCAGCAGTTGAGCAGAGACTAATAATAATGCTAGAGAATAATAATGAGGCCTCTTTTATTTATGAGATAAAGTAAACATCTTCTACCTTATCAATCAGATCAAGCTCTATCTCTTGTATATCTGATACTCTGAGGTAAGCCACTGCTGGGCCCAAGAAAGCCAGACACAGATCGTAGACTTCTAAGGTGAGGAATCCTGGATGCACTGGAACTAACTAGAAGGAAAAAGTGGAAGCTGAATTAAGAAATAAACATGCATCAAGAATAAACATAGTGGCGGCTCAAGTGATAGCACAGCAGGTAGGGCATTTGCCTTGCACGTGGCTGACCTGGGTTCGATTCCCAGCATCCCATATGGTCCCTCGAGCATCACCATGAGTAATACCTGAGTTCATGAGCCAGGAGTAATCCCTGTGCATCACTGGGTGTGACCCCCCCAAAAAAAAAGAAAAAAGAAAAATAAAGAATAATCATAGTAACAATTTTCACCCAAAGGAGAATTAGTTCCTTTTTAATGGGAACTGAGAGGTCATTACATGTTTCAAGCAATGAAAAATGGGATATTTCAGTTTGTGGAAAAATATATATCCTTAAAAAATATTAATTGATAAAGAACAAATTAAATTGAATTTTTACAAAGTTAATACATATATATGTACATGTTATATATATACATATATATCCAACTGTTATGAACTGGAAAAAGATTTTATGAAGAAAATCCAGTGTATTAGGGGCTACGGAGACAGTACAGTAGGCAGGGTGCTTGCCTTGTATGAGGCTAGCTCAGGTGCACCCCTTATGGTCCACTTAGCAGTGTCAGGAGGGATCCCTGAGTGGATCCAGGAGTAATCTCTGAGCATTCCTGGGTGTGGCTCAAAAATATAAATAAATGAAAACATTAAGGGGCCCGAGAGATAGAATATTGGGTAATGTGTTTGTCTTGTTTTTGCATCACTGAAAATCAACATGTGTATGAAAATCATGTTAAGTTCTCTACTAAAGCTCAGTTCTATCCTTCATCATACAATTGATCTCTGTCCAATTTACCCAGTTCTCTTTGCTCTCCCTTCTGGTAACCAGTAACCAGTGGTTGGTCCTATAGTCTAAACATTTGTATTTGTTTAATTAATGTGTTGACAACACTGAATAAAATCTTGCAATGTTTATCTTACTACATCTGGCTTTTTTCACTAAGCATTATGACTTCTTGGTTCATCCATGTTGTTGCAAATGGCAGGATTTCATCTTTTTTTTTTTTTTGATTTTTGGGTCACACCCAGTGATGCTCAGGGGTTACTCCTGGCTCTGCACTCAGGAATTACTCCTGGAGGTGCTGCGCGGGGGACCGTATGGGATGCCAAAGATTGAACCCGGGTTGGCCGCATGCAAGGCAAATGCCCTCCTACCTGCTATACTATCGCTTCAGCCACGGGTTTCATCTTTTTATAGCTGAATAGTATTCCATTATGTATAAATATCACACATTTACCCATTTTGTTAGTTCCAGGAGAATAACCTTCTTTTAATGAAAATCTTTTATGGGAGAAGGCAGGATTTTGGTCACATCCAGTAATGTTCAGGGCCTGTTCCTTGCTCTGTGCTCAAGAACACCCCTGGCAGTGCTGGGGATCAAAAGTGGGCTGCATGCAAGGCAAGCACCTTACCTCCTGTACTATCTCTCTAGCCTTGAAAATCTCCTAGACTGTCTGAGTTCAACCAGAAACAAAACTACCCACTACTGTAGTTAGTTGTAGGGAAAAAACCTCTCATTTTTATTTATTTATTTTTTTGGTTTTCTTGGTAGGGGGTGGGCAGAGGAGCACACCTGGTGATGCTCAGAGGTTACTCCTGGTTCTGTACTCAGTAACCACTCCAGTGATGCCAGGAATCGAACCTGGGCTGGCTGCGTGCAAGGCAAGCATCTTATCTGCTGTACTATTGCTCCAGCTTCCAAACTCCTTTTTTTTTTTTTTTTTTTTTTTTTTTGCTTTTTGGGTCACACCCGGCGATGCTCAGGGGTTACTCCTGGCTCATGCACTCAGGAATTATTCCTGGCGGTGCTCGGGGGACCATATGGGATGCTGGTAATTGAACCTGGGTTGACCATGTTGGCTGTGTGCAAGGCAAACGCCCTACCTGCTGTGCTATCGCTCCAGCCCTATACTCCTCATTTTTAAAGAATCCAGAGAAAGAGGCAAGTTTTACATTTGAGTATAGTCGGAAGACACAATGGAATGGGATTGTTTTCATTCTCCTAAGATTGAGCAGTGAGGAGATACCAATTTTGAAATATCTCTAGAACTTACCTGAACAGAACTTTCTGCTTCCATGTAAGTGATACTGACAATGTCTTGCTCACTGCTATTAACTAAAAAGTAACCTGATCCTTCCACCAGGTTAAATATTTCCTATGGAAAAATCAGATAAACAGGAATCCATTTCTTGGTTTTATAAATAATTCAAAGAAAATAATGTCTACCAACCTAAGAACAAGTTTGGGATTAAAAGTTTAAGGTTAATGGATGAGAGACAGAGCAGAATCATTATAGTATACAACAAAAAACTTCAACAAAGTTCATTATAGTGTAACTCCCAAGGATATTTCAGCTAACAATTATGTATGAATTCCATAGCACATTAATTATTTTCAATACATAAGTGAGTTTTTCGTTGTTATAATCTGAATTTTACTGATCCAACACTCTTCCCTCTGATATGTTCCACTTAACTAGCTCCCATCAGCTCTACCTTCACATCAGGATCGTTATAGATAGTGGCATTCTCAGGCAACACCGTCACGTCATCCACCAGCAGCAGCTCCACAGCTGCAGATCTGGGGGAGTTGGAAAGCTCCTGGAAATATAGTAGGAATCACACGATGAATACGAACTGTTACTTTTTCCTTTTGTTTTGGGATCAACTTGACAGTATTTAGAGACGCTGCCAGCATAGTGCTTGGAAGAGCTGGAGGGATCATGCTGGGGATCCAACCCGGAGCTGTGGCATGTCACGTATACACTTGAGCCACCCCTGAGCCACCCCTTGGCCCGTGAATATAAACTTTTACGTTCTCAGTTTAATGAGAGAACAGCCCAGTACGTTGTTGTTGTTGTTGCTTTGGGGCCACACCTGGTAGTGCTCAGGGGATACTCTAGCTTTGCACTCAGGACTCACACCTGGTAGGCTCAGGGAACCAACATGAGATGCGGGGATTGAACCCAGGTCCACAGGGCGCAAGGCAAGCACCCTACCTGCTGTACTATCTATTGCTCTGGCTCCTTCAGTACATTTTTTTTTCTTTTTGGGTCACACCCAGCCGATGCTCAGGGGTTACTCATGGCTCTGTACTCAGGAATCACTCCTGGCGGTGTTTGGGGGACCATATGGGATGCTGGGAATCGGACTCAGGTCGGCCGTGTGCAAGGCAAATGCCCTACCTGCTGTGCTATTGCTCCAGCCCCTCCTCCAGTACATTTTTAAGAACCAAAAATAGTGCATGTATAGTTATCAAATGTAAATCAGTTAGATATTATCATTATGCTTTTATTATTAGTTTGGCTTCCCAAGGGGAACTCAGGAGACTGAGTGATACTCAGGAGTCCCACCAGTGATTTGGCCATCTGCCTTGTCAATTTAGTGGACATGCCTGAGGATACAATGCTGTTGGGCCCCACAGTGCTAGGAATACTTGGGCCATTGTGGCAAGGGTGGTAGTTGCTGGAGGCACAGCCAACAGTGCTCTGGGGCCCTCAGGGGCTGCACTCAGCAGTGTTCAGGGGATCATATGGTGCTGGGAATTGAAGCTGGGTTGATCAGATGCCAGGTTACCCACTCAAGTGCTGTTCTATCTCCTGGACCCTAGAAATTAATTTTTTTCTTTTTTGAGTTACACCTGGCGATGCACAGGGATTACTCCTGGCTCATGCATTCAGGAATGATTCCTGGTGGTGCCTGGGGGACCATATGGGATGCTGGGAATCGAAACCGGGTTGGCCGCATGCAAGGCAAACGCCCTACCCGCTGTGCTATCGCTCCAGCCCCCTAGAAATTAATTTTTAGAGAAGAATCCTAAATTTCAGATATTTCATTTGCATTTATTTTACTTATTTATTTTGTCACATGTGACAGTCTTCAAAGCTTACTCCTGGGTCAGGGGTCACTCCCAGCAGGGCTCAGGAAACTGTATGTGATGCCAGGGATAAAACCAGGGTTAGCTGTGTGCAAGGCAAGTGCCTTATGAGTCATATCATCTCTCTGGTCCCCAAACTATTTCTTTTAACAATCACCACTTACCTTTGGACTTCTCTTCTCTGAATAGCCCACAAAATTGACTCCAATGAGCACAGTCCCTTTTATCTGACGTACTTTAAGAGTCTGATGACCTAGAGATATGCAGAAAAATATCCTATGAGGAAATAATAACATGAAGAGTGCAAAAGTATCAACAGGGTCAGGCAGGGCAGAAAGCTAGCCTGACAGGCGAGAGTGCAGCCTGCTATACAAGGGGCCCAGATTCAACACCCAGTACTGCATACGATTCCGGAGCACTTCCAGCAACAATCCCTAAGCAATAAACCAGGAATATCCCCTGAGCTATGCTGGGTATGCCTCCCCCAGGAAATAAAAGTATCTATAGAAAATAAAATTATTTCCAATTTTTGGAATTGGAGAGATAGTACAGAGAGTATGGTGCTTGCCTTGCATGGGACCAACCTGGATTCGATTCGTGGCATGCCATATGGTCCCCCGAACCTACCCCTCCTGGAGTGATCCCTGAATGCAGAGTAGAATAAGTCCTGAACACAGCTGGGTGTCGCTCCCTGCCCCCACCCCCCAAAAAAAGGCCAGGGAGAGAGATAGCTAGTTCAATTGGTGGAACACAAGTCTTACAAGTGTGAGGTTTGGAGTTTGATCCCTGGTACATGCTCCCTGTGTCGAAAGATGCCATAGCATTGATGGTCTCAAACACCAATGGTTAAGGAGTAGCCCTTATATTTAAAAAATGAAGGGGCATGGAGATATCTCAAATGTGGAGCATATATCTAGCATATCTGAGTGTCCAGCAATGGCACTCCCCTATCATCAGGAGCGTCCTTATATATTAAAAAAACAGAGGACAGAGAGATAGTACCATAGGTAAGGCACTTGCACTGCATGCAGTCAATACTATTCAACTGCCAGCCCCACTCATGTCCCCTTAACACTGCCAGGAGTAACCGCTGAGCACAAATGGGTGTAGCCCCCAAACAAAAAGACAAAAAGATGCTATACAATTAAAACGGATCCATAGGAAATCCATAAGTGCTGAAAGACACTTAGCAGGCATAGAAAAGGATTCATAAATTTCACAATACCATGTAGCCAGGTCTGCCCAGTGCCATCATCCTTTGCTACCATCTGCATTGATTTGAAATCTTCAAAATAAGCTAGTGTCTCATTTGAGGATTTCCATTCTAGAATCAGTGAGCTGAAATTATCAAACTTTCTCCTGTGTTGATCGAACACTGCCAGTTCCAGGACAGTGTCCCTTAGACTTGATACAGGAATCTGCATTAAGGGAAAAGAAAAGAAAAAAGAACAAAACATTATTAAGAGAAGATAGGGGCCAGAGAGATAGTGTAGCTGGTAGGGCATTTGCCTTGCACACGGCTGACCCAGGTTCAATCCCTGGTATCCCATATTCCCATATGGAGTTTTCTCTGTGCACTACCAGGAGTCATTCTTGAATGCAGAGCCAGGAGTATCATCACTGAGCATCACTGGGTGTGGGTCCTTTCCAAAAAAAAAAAAAAGGAAGATGGGAAGATATCCCTGAAGTGAATTACCTTCTCTCCCAAATCCTGATTCAAACTTATAGATAAGTTAATCAGCAGTAGAATGAATGTCTATCCATGCTTTATTTGACTTAATCATTTACTTTCTCTCTCTATGTGTGTGTGTCTTTTCCCCCTCTACGTATGCACACATATAAGTGTGTATTCACACACATATAATTTCTATTCTGGCAAATAATGTATAATGGCACATTAGCCCTAAAAATTTCATAGGAATTTCCTAAAAATGACAACATTCTCCTATAATATCATCAACTGTAAGAATATTCATACTGTTTTTTATTTTATTTTTGTAAAGTTGTTCACAATATTTAATTAAATTTAATATTCAAACACCCATCCCACCACCATTACACCTTCCTACCATTATATTTCTAACACGACCCCAAACCCTGGCCCCCAAGCAGAACTGAAACAATTTATTTTGTATTGTTTGTTATGAATAATCCCCTAAAAATGACAAAACAGGTTTCTTAGAGGAAAGTGTGTGAAGATTGTTGTATTTCACCCAGGAGCCAGTAAGCCTTTTATAAGAGATTAGTAGTAATATGTTGTTAAAGTTTGAGCCTTATGTATATTGGGGCCAAAGAGATAGGACAGAGGTTAGGGTGCATGACTTGGAATTGTGTGCGTGTGAGGTTCTGTGCCTCACCCAACTGTTCTTAGGGCTTCCTCCTGGCTCTCTGCTCAAGGATCACAGCTGGAAGGCCTCTGGGGACTGTACTGGGTGCTGGGAAGTCACCAGGTACAAGGCAAGCACTAATCTATTCCTTACTGGAATAGATTTATTGGAAAGTAGAAGGGAAAGGAAAAAGAAATCCTGAGTCATGGAGGAGCATAGTACAAGACTAAGTTAACATCTATTCTTGAGGCACACAGTATCACTACACCGCACCAACTGCCAAGGTGCCAGCATCTGTCCATCTCATCCTAGAGCCCTTTTCATCCTAGAGCCCTTCTCCTTAACTCTTTTCCATCTATCTCACTCTCACAAAAAGGTAATCTCAGCTTTATGTGTGTGTGTGTGTGTCTGTGTGTGTGGGGGGGGGGGAGGGGGGAACCACACCCGGCAGTGCTCAGGGTTACTCATAAAGTCTCTGTGCTTGGGGGTCACTCTTGGCAGTCTCAGGGGACCATGAGGTATCAGGAATGAACCCAGGTCTCCTGCATGCAAAGCGTCTGCTCCAGCCCATTGAGTTGTCTCTGCAGCCTGTGACCTCAGTTCTATTGTCATACTGTAGCCGATCCTACTGGACAATGAATAACAAAAGTTTCCTTAATTTTAAGAAGGCAAAAGTTATATTTATGACCATGTATCTCTAAGCATGGAGACCAAAGTGACAAGTGCAAACCCTGCACTTACCAGTTGTTTATTATGCTGTGGCAGAGGACACGGTTGGGCTCCTGCTGGCACTGTGTATACTGGGGTCACTGACATGCTGGCAGGGTGAGCACATATGAAGCGGACCTGCACAACCTCTACAGCCGGACTAGGGTTCAGGACACCTGGGTGATTTCCAATTCGGAATGTCAGAACCTGTGAAAAAATAGAGTAGGAGGGAACTGTGGGTTTGCACTTGATGTCAATGGTAATAATCCAAAAATGTCATAATTACTTAAATTCTACAGTGAGTTGAATATTATCATCAGGCAAATCCTCAAGTCATTAATTATCTGTGCTAAAAGAAAAAAGGATGTCTAGAAATTTGTATGCCTCTGACTCAGAACAATTTTTACAGTATTTTCATCAACCAAGTCTTTTGTTTCTAATTGGTGAAAAAGAGAAAAATTAATTTCCTTCAGCTTATTCTGTTGGAATACTGGTAAATAACAATGTGAAAATTAAAAAAGAAGTTTCAAAAAGGAGTGAATAGGACTGAAATTTGTAACAGCTAGTCATACATACAGTAAAATAGATTAAAAATACTCAAAAGTAGCTCAACTGATTAAAGCATAGTTATTTTTGTTTTGTTGTGCTTTGATTTTATTTTGGGGGCCAGAACCAAAAGTGCATAGGGTTTAGTCCTGGCTCTGAGCTCAGGGATCACTTCTGGTAAGAGTTGGGGGACCACATGAAGTGTTGGGGATCAGAGCTGGGTCAGCAGCATGCAAGGCAAGCAGCCTACTCATTGCACTATCTCCCTGGCACCTAGAATAGTTTAAAAAATTTCTTTAATTATTGTGGGGACCATACCAGTCAGTGCTTGGGTCCAGAGTGATAGAACAGCAAGTAGGATATTTGCCTTGCACGTGGCCAACCTGGGTTTAATCCCCAGCATCCCATATGGTCCCCCAAGACCTCCAGGAGTAATTCCTGAGTGCAGACCCAGGAGTAACCCCTGAGCATCGCTGGGTGTGACTGAAAAAGACAATAAAAAAACAAAAACCAAAAAACAAAAACACAAAAACCATCCCAGGCCATGCTTCAGGGTCATACCCAATAATTCCTGGGGACCACTTGGGTTATTGTTGGGGGCAGGGCAGAGGGAGTAGGGTGGAGATGCAAGCAGTGCTGGGGATTGAACCCAGGACATCAAACAAGCAAAGCATGTGCTCTTCCACTCAAGCCACAGCCCTGCCCTCTCTTGCAATGTTCCTATGAAGTTAGCATTATATGCTGTGGATTGAGTCTCTGGGTGCTGCTCAGCTACACTGTGTTTATATTACAGAATTCTTACCCTGAATTAAAGTGCAGACTTTAAGTGCAACTTAAAACCATCGCTTTTGGTTGAAAGGACACAGCTGTGTTTTACTTTTTGTTTTGCTTTTGGGCCATATCAGCGATGCTCGAGGGTTATTCCTGATTCTGCACTCAGGAATCTCTCCTGGTGGGGCTCAAGAGACCATATAGGATGCCAGAGATCAAACCTGAATACATGCAAGGCAAGTGTCTTACCTACTGTGCTATTTTTCTGGCCCCGTGAATTAGTCTGTTACTACCTCAAAAATAATTAAGATGAAATCAACTACAATAGGTTAATATACTTACTACTTTTTTTTTTATGTAGGAGGAGTACTGCTATTTATTTAGCCACTGATTAGGCTGACTGAATTGTATACTTATTAGCTGCTTTTTCCAATTGGCTAACCAAAAAGTGTCACTTTTTTTTTTAACTTTTTATTTGAGCTCAGGGATCACACTTTTTTTTTAACTTTTTATTTTATTTTATTTTATTGCTTTTTGGGTCACACCCACTCATGCACAGGGGTTATTACTGGTTCATGCACTCAGGAACTACTCCTGGCCGTGCTTGGGGGACCATATGGAATGCTGGGAATCAAACCCGGGTGGGGCCGCGTGCAAGGCAACCGCCCTACCCACTGTGCTATCACTCCAGCCCCCAGAGATGGCACTTTAAATTCCCCTTCCTCAGGCTGGGGAAACAGTCAGAGGGCAGGAGCTCAGGCTTTGCATTTGGGAGCCCGGGGTTCAATCCTCAGCACTACGTGTTTCCTAGAGTGCTGCCAGGAATGGCCCCCACAGAGTTTCCATCCTTTACTTATTTGGATATGGAAAGTGAATATCCTGTGGTCTAGATAACAAAAAAATTATAGTAACAAGGTGGTTGAAAACAGTGTATAATAAGTTACAAAAAGATATCGAACCACTTAGTGAGCTGTTAAAGAATGTTTAGAAGAGTAAAATAAAACTTTGGGGTACATTTAAAAGGTGAGGTTTTCTCATGGGAAGGGGGGTGTTTCGGTCCGCCCTTCACGCCCTACCGAGGCCACCAGTTGCCTCCCACGAGCGGCTCTCCGGCACGGCCACGACTCCAGAGCACAGAAACCAATTTCTTAACTATCTGACTTTCAGTAGAAATACTTCCAAGGTCAATAAGTAAAATAGCAGAAATCCAAAACCAACATTTAATTCTTGAACCCAGCTGTAGAAAGCAAATCACTTCACAATGCTTTTTCAGCATGTCTGATTGGGGGGCGGGTAAACTCTAAATAATAGTGGTGAATCTTTTATTGAAACAATGAATCTAATCAAAGCAGATAGAGTGTTAACTAGAATTCATCTGCCTCACAGGGACTGGGAGGGGCGGGGGGTGGGGTTTTATTGGGGTTCTTCATGGTAAAAAATAACTATTGGTAAAGGGAAATGTGTTTGATATTTGCATGACTGAGACCTAAACCTGAAAGCTTTGTAACCTTTCCCACAGTGATTCAATAAATAAATTAAAAAAATTTTATTTGAGTGATTAAAAAATCTTATAAATACACACACACAAAAAAGGTGAGGTTTTAAAAAAAAATCTTTAATAATTAGAATTTTCGGGACTGGAGTGATAGTACAGTGAGTAAGTCACTTGCCTGGTGTGTAGGCGACCCAGCTTTGATCCCTGTGCCCCTGTATGGCTCCCTGAACCATTCTAGGAGTGACTCCTGAGCACAGGTCCTGGAGAAAGTCCTGAGCACTGCCGAATGTAGCCCCAAAAGAAAATAAAGCAATTAGAATTTTTCTATCTGTAGCACTGTCCTCCTGTTGTTCATTGATTTGCTCGAGTGGGCCCAGTAACGTCTCCATTGTGAGACTTCTTGTTACTGTGTTTGGCATATTGAATACATCACGGGTAGCTTGCCAGGCTTTGCCGTGCGGGCAAGATACTTTCGGTAGCTTGCCAGGCTCTCCGAGAAGGGTGGAGGAATCGAACCTGGCTCTGGCAGGCCAGCTGCATGCAAGGCAAATGCCCTACTGCTGTGCTATTGATCCAGCCCTATTTTTCTATCTAGTCTGTAAAATTAAATCTACTAGAACCTGAAAGGAAGGGCTAGATATACAAGAGATTTGGAGCATTAGTGCAAAAAGAAATATTAAAAAAAGATTATTAAAAAAAGATTATTTTCCTACTTGTTCCCCTAAATCCAGGCACAGGACCCGATAAATGTACTGATTCTGTTTTCTTTTAGCTGGAAGCCGGACTTGTGTTACTGAAATTTTTGCTGGATTCTCCATGCTCAAATCCAAAAAGAATCGGGAGGGCTCCAGGACCCATGGACGAGGGCCCCCCTCGAATACCACTTCCTTCACAGACTTCCATGTCACCAGTGCCACTTCCACAGGATTTAGAGCCTGAGGACGGTTAAAGAAATTATTCCTTGATTAGTTAGGGAACTCAACAGTTTTCTAACAAGAAAAACTGATCATTTATGCAGAAAATGACATGACTTAATTCTTAGACTAAGGACCATGAACCAAATCAAATCTGAGGCATCCCCCAAGCAAATAGATGCTCTATTTCTGAGTCACATCTGAAGTCACATATAAACTTCTTAAGGGGAGTCACATATAAACTATCTTGGGGCTGGAGAGACAGTTCAATCTGCTGAGTGCGTGCTCTTCCTGCAGCAGGCCTGGCTTCTGTCCCCAATACCATATGACCCCTTGAACACCATCCAGAGCCAACTCTGAGCACTGAACAGAATACCACCCGGTGTGGCCCAAAACAAAAAGCAAGAAAATATCTAATACCTAAATTAAATTTAATTAATTAATTAGTTTATTTTTCTTTTTGGGTCACACCTGGCGATGCACAGGGGTTACTCCTGGCTCTGCACTTAGGAATTACTCCTGGTGGTGCTCAGGGGACCATATGGGATGCTGGGAATCGAACCCGGGTTGGCCTGGTGCAAGGCAAATACCCTACCCACTATACTATCTCTCCAGCTCCTAATACCTAAATTTTAAAATGTATTTATCTTCTTCAATAGTATCACTGTCCTGTCACTGTCCTCCCGTTGTTCATTGATTTGCTCGAGCGGGCCCAGTAATGTCTCCATTGTGAGACTTCTTGTTACTGTGTTTGGCATATTGAATACTCTCGGTAGCTTGCCAGGCTCTCCGAGAGGGGCGGAGGAATCGAACCTGGCTCGGCCAGGCTGGCTGTGCGCAAGGCAAACGCCCTACCACTGTGCTATCACTCCAGCCCTTCAATAGCATGTAGCACTGTAGCACTGTCTTCCCATTGTTCATCGATTTGCTCGAGTGGGCCCAGTAATGTCTCCATCGTGAGACTTTATTGCACGCAGCCAACATGGCCGACCTGAGTTCAATAGCATAGTGCTATACAAATAAGAAGTATAATAAAAACTGCCTAAAAAATTTTTGCAAAAATATTTTAAGAGGGGCTAGAGCAATAGCACAGTGGGTAGGGTGTTTGCCTTGCACGCGGCCGACCAGAGTTTGATTCCCAGCATCCCATATGATCCCCTGAGAACCACCAGGAGTAATTTCTGAGTGCATGAGCGAGGAGTAACCCCTGTGTATCGCCAGATGTGACCCAAAAAGCAATATATATATATGTATATATATATAAAGACTATTTTACTAAAGTTTCAAAAGCATTTTGCCCTAAAAACATAAAACTGTTAGAATTAAATATTCTCACATCTAATGACAATATTCCCTTAAATAATGTATATATAATTCCATTTAGCAAATATTCAACTGAAGTGAAAATCAGTAGTAAGGTTTCTGGTAACTGCATCCAGGAGCTGAGCAGAGATGAACAAGTCATAAATCATGAAGCTATGATAAGAACAGAACAAATAAAGAGGTCCGACCAGGTGTGCAAACAGGAACTGGGAAACTGCAGAAACAATATTAAACGTATGTTTGGAACTTGGAACAGATTGTACTAATCACTGTTTGTACCAACTATTGTACATGTGTTAAATAAAAAATGTCCCCCTCCTCCAAGAGCAATGTACATGTAAGTAAATGTATAAAAATTCTTGTGAACTACACTTGGGGCTTGATCTGGGCAGTAGCCAGGTGGAGTTTGTATACGTAAATAAATAGGGTATCCCTCATACTTCTCAGGTGTTGCCACTTTTTTGGTCAGAATTCTCTAACACAATGATAATCACTAGGGATATAATAGCTAAAGCAAAATAACCTTCTGACTCATGAGATGCTTTTAGTCTGGAAAAGATTTTCTGGGGGTATGGGGGGACATGCTTGGCAATGCTCAGGGGTTACTCCTGACTGCACTCTGGAATCACTCATGGCAGTGCACTGGGGACCACACGGAATGCTGGGGATCAAAAGGCAATTTCTCTTTCCACTGTGCTCTAGTGTACTATCTCTTTTGCTCCAAGTCTGTAAAAGATTTGAAGCAGGTAAAGTGATGTTATAAAAGGATTCAATACAGTGTGCTGTGCAAGCCTTTATAGAATAAATAAACAGGGCAGGGACATCATGAAAGGCATCCCTGAAAAACAAAACAGAACTTACACCTCTTTTCCTACTTGTAAATTCCAAAACAAAACAGATTAGCTGAGTTAATTAATTGGTAGGTAGAAGGAAAAATTGAGAACTACCATGTACAGAAGCATAATGTTGATAACTAAGATGGAATGCATTATTCCTAGGAGTTTGAAAGGCAAAAAATTATGATCAACACACTGGGTGAAAAAGGAAAAAAATCATCACGACCTTTCCTTTAAGGATAGTTTTCTGTTTTGTTTTTGTTTTGAGGCCACACCCAGCAATGCTCAGGGATGCTGAGGATCAAACCCAGGTTGGTCATGTGCAAGACACTTTACCCTCTGTACTATGTCTCTGGCTCTGAAATAAGGTTAAATAAAGCAATAAAAATAAATTTCTAATGAAATAAGAATGAGCCACACCCAAGGACTTTCACGTTGCTCTGACCATATAGTGCTATGTATGTGGCACAATGTGTAATGAGATCAACTGACAATGCATATTTTAATGAGGAAGTAATATATTTTAAATGATTAACTATGCATAGTATATTATCAGCAAGAACTTAAAAAAATTTAGCTTCTCACCCCTGACCCCGGAGTATACGGAGAAAGATAGAGAAGGAAAGAATTTGAAGGAGGAAGTAAGGAGAGGTGTAGGAGAAGTAACGGGGGCAGGGGTCAAGGGCCTCAGGTGCCTCAGTGATGTAGAGGAGTGGAATAGTCATACACCCAAGCTACAGGGACCGTAACAATGAAAACAGCAAACTTTCACAACAACCGAACTTTAAAATGTGCCTATAGGGGCCAGAGAAATAGTATACAGTGGGTAGGGCAGTTGCCTTGCACCTTGCATGACGTCAACCCGATTTGACCCCTGGCATCCCATATTATCAGTCCCCGAGAACCACCTGGAGTGATTCCTGAGTACAGAGCCAGGAGTAAGCCCAGAGCAACACTTGGTGTGGCTCAAAAACAAAAAAAACAAAAAACAAAACAAAACAAAAAGTGCCTGTTGAGGCCAGGGTGAAGGAGTGAAGGTACAGTAGGTATGGCACTTGCCTTGCAGGAAGCTGACCCAGGTTCATCCCTGCCACCCTCTATAGCCCCCCTCAGTTATCAGGAGTGAAAACTGAGCAAAGAGCCAGCAGTAAGTACTGAGCACCACCAGGTGTGGCCTCACCCTTTGGGAAAAAAAACAAAAACAAAAATAAAAACAAAAAACGTGCCTGTCCAAAAAGCAGGCTGGGAGTTTTAGATGGGAAGGAACCTGGGAACACTGGTGGAGGGAAGTTGACTCTTGCAGTGGGACTGAAGCTGGAACACAGTAGGCCTAAAACTCAACTATGACTAACTTTATAAATCCTTGTCGTCCTTGTCTCCTGTTGTTCCTCGATTTGCTCAAGTGGGCCCAGTAACGTCTCCATTTTGAGACTTGTTACTGTGTTTGGCATATTAAATACATCATGGGTAGCTTGCCAGGCTTTGCCGTGCAGGTGAAATACTCTTGGTAGCTTGCTGGGCTCAGTGTCTTTTTTATTTTTATTTATTTATTTATTTATTTATTGCTTTTTGGGTCATATCCGGCAATGCACAGGGTTTACTCCTGGCTCATGCACTCAGGAATCACACCTGGCAGTGCTCAGAGGACCATATGGGATGCTGGGAATCAAACCCGGGTTGGCTGCGTGCAAGGCAAACACCCTACCTGCTGTGCTATCATTCCAGTCCCAACTTTGTAAATCAGTGTCTTAACAAAAAAAAAAATTAAAAACACACATATCACTTATAATAAAAAAAAATAGTTTCTGGGGCCTGAAAGATAGTAGAGTGGAAAAGGCACTTGTTTTGCACCAAGGAATCTGGGTTTGATTCCTAGTAGCACATATTGTCACCTTAATCCTGCCAGAAATGATTCCTGATTATCTCCAAAATACTTAGCTCCTAAAAGAATCAATTATGTAGAAAACTGCAAGCTGCCTAATATATTTTGAACAATGACTTTTTTTTTCTTGTTTTTGGGTCACACCTGGCATGGCTCATGGATTACTCCTGATGTGGTGCTTAGGGGCCACTCCTGGGAGTGCTCGGGGGACTGTATGTGGTGCTGGAGATTGAACCAGGGTTAGGCACATTCAAAGCAAGAAACTTAACACCTGTACATTCTCTCCAGATCTTGAATCATGATGCTTATATTGTTCCAATTATAACAGAACAGTGAACTAAAACTCAGAACGTTGACTTCTGTGCTAAAGAAACTAAGTATAAATGGTAAAAAAAGATGACTGAGCTCCCTCTATGGCATAGTTCTCTTTTAGAGTTACTCGTTCAAAATAGTTAATGATATTCTCTATCTTTTTTAGGGTGGTATTCACAAAGATCTGTGCATATGTAGAAATTGAAACAGTACGCTACAATTAATGAACTTTATGTGTTTCTACTACATATATATGATACTTTAGTAATAAAAAGGAAAGAAAGGGAACATCTGAAGTTTGCTGATAAAATTTAGATATTTATGAGACAGAAACTTAAAGGAGTAAATTTCATGATAACCAGGTTTTATGAGACAGAAGTGTAAAAATGAGGGAGAATATAAATATTGCTAATCTTTTTGTTTTTTTGGGGGGGGCCACACTTGGACGTGCTCAGGACTTATTCCTGGCTCTGTGCTCAGGAATTACTCCTGGTGGGCTTGGGGGACCATATGGGATGCCGGAGATAGAACCTGAGGTTTGGCCAGGTGTAAGACTAATGCCCTACCCCACTGGCCCCAAATGTTGCTAATCTTTAAAAATGACCATAGGTAGCTAGGAAGCCCTAAGTGACACTGTGGGATTCATGAAAAGATACACCAGTGCCTTATCATAAAACGACCTCACCTTCAGGGGTTCATAAGCAGCAAATGTAGCACTGCTCTCCAAGTACTCTTCAGATTCAGTAACACTCACTGTTATCAGAGTATGGCCCAGAGATTTAGCTACTATATTAGTACTTGAACAGTGTGTTGGTCCAGGTCTTTGTATACCTGTAAGCCAAAAAAGCATGATTTTAAAAGATAATAAGCAGTCATATCCTAAGGAGATCTATAAAAATATAAGAATTTTAATGCATTTGAAAAAAATCTTCATTTTACACATGATTAGACCTCAATTTTCTCTATGAACTTGATATGAAAACTTATTTTTTCAGGGTCCAGAGCAATAGTACAGTGGGTAGGATGTATGCCTTGCATGTGGCCACCCAGGTTCAATCACCAGTGCCTCATATAGTCCCTAAAACTGCTAGGAGTGATTCTTAGTGGAGACCCAGGAGTAAAACCTGAGCACTGGGAGGTGCAACCCAAGAGCAAGAAGAAAAACTAAAATAACAAAAGTCATATATGCAAAGATTTGATAGTACCAACAGAAGACCTTACTATGAGCTGAAATCTCAAAACTGGTGTTGTCTGGTCACAATGAACCATAATTATTTTATTCAATTTCTGTACCTTTGTTTCTAAATTATAACACCTACTACAAGTAAGTTGGCTGATAAAGAAATATAAAGAAATGTGAATGGTTACTGTGCTGCAGTATGAATTAATCACTATGTTATTAACCTGAAACTAACATATTGTTAAAGTAAGATTATATCTTAATGGAAAAGAGATGTAGTTCTGTGAATTTAGTCTATAATTTGTAGTTTCTAAAATGATGATTATTTAATTCAGGAACCAAAAAAAAAAGAGAGAATGAAAACTCTATACTTACCTTCCTTAATAAGAGTAAAGACTCCTTGTTTATCCATATTCAGATCCAAAGATAAATGAGAGCAGTCTGTGAAGGAGATGACCTCTTTGGTTTCCTTATTTATGTGATACATTGAAATAGGAATTTCTATAATCTGGCCAATCTCCACATCAGCGTGAAATGGTAACAGTTCCATTTTATTCAGCTTCAGGACATATATCTGGAGAGAAAAAAATTTCATCTTTCAGGGACCAGAGAGTATAACTGGTATGGCTCTTGTTTTTATTTTGTTTTGTTTTGCTTTGGGGTGTGTGTGTGTAGGGGGGGCACACCCAGCAGCACTCAGGGATTACTCCTGTTTCTGTGCTCAGGGATCACTCCTAGCAGGCTCTGGGGACCACATGGTATGCCAGGGATCAAACCTAGATTGGTCATGTATGAGGCAAGCGTCCTGCTCATTGTACTATTGCTCTAATCCCTCTCTTATTCTTGGGCTTTATAGCTACCCAGCTACCAAAGCTAGAAACTATCCGTGTTCTTAAACCTTTTGCATTCCTGCCACTACGAGGTATTTAGATCAGCCTCTAAAATAACCCTCAATTTGTTCCCTTTCCTGTATATTTAATACTATTTCATTAGTTTAAACTTAACTGGACACTTTACCTTAACTGTCTCCCTCTAATCCTTTCTAGCTTGATGTATATAGCATCAGACTTTATCTTTCATTCCTTTCAAAAAATATTATTTGGGACAGAGAGATAGCAAAGGAGTTAAGGTGCTTGACTTGAGCGTGGCCAAAAGAGACTTAATCCCAGCACGACATATGGTTCCTCAGCACTGTCAAGAGAAAGCCCCTTGGGGCTGAAGCGATAGCACAGAGGGTAGGGTGTTTGCCTTGCATGCGGCTGACCTGGGTTCGATTCCCAGCATTCCATATGGTCCCCTGAGCACTTCCAGGAGTAATTCTTGAGTGCATGAGCCAGGAGTAACCCCTGTGCATTGCTGGGTGTGACCCAAAAAGCAAAAAAAAATTAAATAAATAAAATAATAATAATGAGAAAGCCCCAAACACCTCTGTATGTGGCCCACCCCCACCACCCCAAATAAAGTATATAGTTGGATATTGTTGTTATTTGTGAGAGCTGTCCCCCATGGTAATTGGGGGCATGTAGTATTGGGGATGAAACCTATTGTCCCATATAGGCAAGACACGTCTTCCCCACAAATATTGCTCTATCCTGTTGTGAATAGATGTGTTTCTCTACATGGGCTTTACTATGTTACTAATCTGCTTAAAAAACCTGCATTAAATTGCCATTGTCTGCAGAAAGGGTCATTAGATGGTTTCTGTGAAGGGCCAGTTCACATATATTTTAGACTTTGAAGGCATGTGGTTTCTGTGGCAGCTACCCAGTTTTGTAGTCAAGACCTTGAATCATTATGTAGTGTATAGACAATATACTGTATAGACATAATTAATGTCTATGTTCTGACAAAATGTTATTTATCAAAAAAAATATAGGCAGCATAATTCTTAGGCTTTAGTTTGGCTCCATTTTTTGGTTGTTGTTTGGTCATACCCGATGGTGCTCAAAACTTTCTCCTTGCTCTCTGTTCAGAGATCACTCCTGGTGGGGCTTGGGGGACTTCATGGAGGTGCCCAGGGTCAAAACTAGCTTGATTGCATGCAAGGAAAGCACCCTACCTTCTGTATTATCTGGCCCCTCTAATCCCCATTTTAGAGATAAGGAAACAAACAAAATGCCCAGGTATCAAGTGAAGTAGTTTTCAACCTAACTCCAGACACAGATAAATAACATATACTTCAAAGCTGAAGTTGAACATCATTTTAATGGAATACCATTTTTTATTTGCTAATCTGTTCTAGAAAACATTTAAAATGTGTTACTTTACATAAATTTAAACAGAAGTATTTCAGGGGTGACTAGAAGATTCTTTGGAAGTTGTTTACCTTAATTTCTCCATATCGAAAGGGATTTTGTACATCTCGGGCCAAAACTGTGCTGTTTCCCCTGACCTGACCCGCTGTCACCACTCCTTTGGTGGTCACCAAGGCCACTGTCTCATTGGAGGAGGTCCAGGTGAAGTTGCCACTGCCACCCTCTACCTGTGAAAAAAATCAACCTTACATTTAGTTGCATAGAATTTAACTGAAAATCTTAATACCTGAGTACGGAAATAGGTAAAGGTAAAGGCCCTCCCGTTGATCGTTGATTTGCTCGAGCGGGCCCAGTAACGTCTCCATTGGAGACTTTGTTGTTACTGTGTTTGGCATACCGAATACTCTTGGTAGCTTGCCGGGCTCTCTGAGAGGGGGGGAGGACTCGAACTCAGGTCGGCCATGTTGGCCGCTTGTAAGGCGAACGCCCTACCGCTGTGCTATCGCTCCGGTTCAGGAAATAATGTCTATTTAATAAACTATTTCTAGACACATTAAAAAACTTGATGCTATGTGCCAGACACATAGTATAGAGGGTAAAGTGCTTCCTTACCTTCCATCTAGCTAACCTCAATTTCAACTCTGAGTACCATGGGTGTGACCCTAAAACAAACAATCCCAAGGAGGGACAGGAGCGATGGTTTGATGAGGTGATTCTACACTCTGCATGCAAAGGCTCATGTTTGATCCCCAACACTGTATGGTCGGTCCCCAGAGTGGCTCTTGAGCACCTCCAGGTGTGGCACCAAAACAAATGAAGACAACAATAGCAAAATCACAAGAAAGAATGTAGGAGAAAGAAACAATAAATCAAGTTTTATTACTGATAATATGATAGTAGTTAAGACCATTTTTTAAACATGATTTATACTATTAGGATTAGGAGAAAATAAAATTTAACATTAATCACCTTCAACTGAATACATTTTAATAAATTACTCCACCAGGGAAAATTGACTTAACTCTTTGTGAATTCTCATTCAATAGGACACCATACCTCTACTTTATAACGATATAACATTCCTAACGGATGATGAGGAAATGCCAGAAAGTTGGGTGTAAGCGTAATAGGAAAATAAATCTTCACTTCTTGTTGATGTATGATTGGAAATTTCAAAGTCTTGACAAGTTTATTCTATAAAAACAGAAAAAAAATCAAGAGTTTTATAGGGATTGTTCTTATGAAACCCATTCAGATTAAAAGGATTATAGGGTCAGAGAGATAGAAGTGGGTAGAACATTTGCTTTGCGTGCAGCTGACCTGAGTTCAATTCCCAGCAACCCATATGGTCCCCCATGCCTGCTGGGAGTGACTCTTGAATACAGTGGATGTGAACCCCCAATAGGTTTAGCAAAATGATATGTTAATGAATTACACCATCTACTTTCTATCCCAAGGACAACCCCTGCACAAAAAAATGTTAAAGTCACATTCAATTGTGTGCACAAGCTCCAGTCATTATAACAATAATAAGGGGGTAAAAGGGAAGTAATGAAAAATTGTTTTGAGGGCCAAAGGGATAGCACAGAGGCTAAGGTACTTGCCTTTCACGTGGTCACCCCCAGTTGTATTCCCAGCACTGTACATGGTCCTGAGCCCTGTTAGGAATGATCCCTGAGCACAGAGCCAGGAGTAAGTCCTGAGCACCATCAGGAGTGGTTCAAAAGCAACACAAAAATGTATTGAATGTAGCAGGCAAGGGAGAATGCAAGTCAATGGTGACTCTTGGTATTTTTTTTTTGGGTCACACCCAGCGATGTTCAGGGGTTACTCCTGGGTCTGCACTCAGGAATTACTCCTGGCAGTTCTTGGAGGGACCATATGGGATACTGGGGATTAAACCCAGGTCTGCCACGTGCAAGGCAAACACCCTACCTGCTGTACTATCGCTCCGGCTGGGTATTTTATTTTTTTAAGTGGGTGAGAAAATGGACTGGTCCAGCCTTTTTAGAAAACAATATGGAAATAGGGAAATTCCTCAAAAAACTAGGAATTGAGCTTTCATATGACTCTGGAATTCAGATCCTGAAAATATACCGTAAGGGCCCTAAGACACAATGAATAAAACACATACTCCTATATTCATTGTAGAACTATTTATTATAGCCAAAATCTGAAAATACTCAAGTGTCTCCCAAACAGGCATTTGGATAAAGAAGCTATGGTACAAGGTACATTGAAGACAAAGTTGGCAAAACCCTCCATGACATTGAAGCTAATGGTATCTTCAAAGATGCCACTCCACTGGCCGAGGAAGTGAAAACAGAGATAGATAAATGGGACTATCTTAAACTAAGAAGCTTCTGCACCTCCAAAGAAACAGTGACCAAAATACAAAGACAGTCTACAGAATGGGAAAGGATATTCGCCGAATACACATCTGACAAGGGGTTGATATCCAGGATATACAAAATACTGGTTAAACTCCACAAGAAGAAAACATCCAACCCCATTCAAAAATGGGGCAATGAAATGAACAGAAACTTTCTCAAAGAAGAAATCCGAATGGCAAAAAAGCACATGAGAAAATGCTCTACATCATTAATCATCAGGGAGATGCAGATCAAAACCACAATGAGATACCATCTCACACCTCAGAGACTGGCCCACATTCAAAAGAACAAAAGCAACCGATGCTGGCGCGGATGTGGCGAGAAAGGGACACTCCTTCACTGTTGGTGGGAATGTCAACTGGTTCAGCCCTTCTGGAAAACAGTATGGACGATTCTCAAAAAATTAGAAATTGAGCTCCCATTTGACCCAGCAATACCACTCCTAGGAATATATCCCAGAGAGGCAAAAATGTATAGTCGAAGTGACATCTGCACTTGTTTGTTCATTGCAGCACTCTTTACAATAGCCAGAAACTGGAAGAAACCTGAATGCCCAAGAACAGATGACTGGTTAAAGAAACTTTGGTACATCTACACAATGGAGTACTATGTAGCTGTTAGAAAAGATGAAGTCATGAAATTTACATACAAGTGGTACAACATGGAAAGTATCATGCTAAGCGAAATGAGTCAGAAAGAGGGATAGACATAGAAAGATTGCATTCATCTGGGGGATATAAAGTAACAAAATATGAGATTAATACCCAAGAATAGCTGAGATCAGCACCAGGAGGATTACTCCATAGCTTAGTGGCCAGTCGGGCATTCTAGAGGAAAGGGCAGCTCAGATAGAGAAGGGAGCACCAAATAAAGGGTGTTTGGAGGATCCTTCCAGGAGGGGAGATGCATGTCGAAAGTAGACTATGGACTGAACATGTTTGCCACTCAATGCCTCTTTTGCAGACCACAACACCCAAAAGGAGAGAGAGAACACAGGGAATTGCCCTGCCACAGAGGCAGGGGGGGCTGGGGGTATGGGGGTGGGGGGGATATTATCCATTGTGGTGGAAAATGGGCACTGGTGGAGGGATGGGTATCTGATCATTGTATAATTGAAACCCAAGCACAAAAAATTATAAATCTACAATTGTACCTCATGGTGTTTCACTAATAAAAAAAAAGTTATGGTACATATACACAAGGGAATACTAGACAGCTGTTAGAAAAATCAAGGCATGAAATTTGCTGATACATGGATGTATCTGGAGAATATCATGCTGAGTTAAATGAGTCAGAGAGAGAGAGAGGGAGAGAGACAGAATGATCGCACTCATTTGTGGGATATAAAGAAACAGTGGGAGAATAATGCCCAAAGACAATCAAGACAAAGGGCAGAAAAACAGAACCTTTGTAGGAAGCAGTGGGGGGAGGGGTTAGGCCAGGGAAGGGACCACCATTACAATGATAGCAGGGACTGGTCACTCTGGTTAAGAACTGGGTGCTGAAAGGAGGTAAAGTGATGCAGTAACAGTACTGCCACGGTGCCCAAATGGAAAAAAGGAAAAGGAAAAAGTGCCTGCCATGGAGCAGCCTAAGGGTGGGAGGGAGGGAAATTAGGGACATTAGTGGAGGGAAGGGGACATTGGTGAAGTGATTGGTGCTCAATCATTGTATGCCTGAAACTCAATCTTGAATAATTTTGTATTTCACAGTCATTTAATAAACTTTTTAAAAAAATCAGTGCTTTATAAATATATACACATATACACATATTTATATGCATTGATTTTTATTTTATTATATATATATACATACATACATATATAGACTTTTTTGGGTCATACCCCACATTGCTAAGGAGTTACTAGTTACTCCTGGTTCTAAACTCAGGAATTACTCCTGATGGTGGTCAGAGGACCATGTGGGGTGCTGGGGATCAAGCCCAGGTGGGCCACATGCAAGGGAAATGCCCTACCTGCTGTACTATTGCTCTGGCCCCTATAATTATATTGAAAGGTATTAGAAACAGGGGGCTGAAGTGATAGTATGGTGGGTAGGACACTTGCCTTTTATGCAGCCTACCCAGGTTTAATCCCAGTATTTCACACGATTCCCCCAAATACTGCCAGGAGTAATCCCTGGGCATAGAGCTGGGAATCTGCCCTGAGCAACACTGGATGTGGGCCCCACCAAAGATAAAATAAAGGCATTAGAAGCAGATTCATCTGTTGTCTGTTTACTTAGTTAACTCCATTTTATATCACAACATATGGGAATCACATTTATAGCCACCCCAAATACAGAATGTGAAATAACAAAGATTGAAAAGGAAATTTGTAGAGGCATAAATACGAGTATATTATTTGTAAGTTTCTTCTTTATTTTCGTGAAAGATAAAGATGGGATATGCTAAATATCTATTTGTAAATCAAAAAGTCAGCAGGCCAAGACTTGTCAGTATTCTTAGGATTATGGAACTTTTGAATTCCTACCTGGGAAACGATGGAAACCAGGGATGCATTTATTATCACGACACCATCTTTCAGAGCTTTTACTACGTGATGGGATCCATTTGCAGTACTTAGCTGCACTTCAAAGTACTCTTTTAGAAACTGGTACATAATTCTGAAATTCTGAAGAAATTCACAGCAACATAAATCTGAAAAGATGTCCCCCATTCCCTAAAACCATCGTGATTACAAATTAGTAAAAATAAAGTATATTCATGGAATTTGGGAGTAAAGGAATAAAAGCAAACTCTTTACTCTCCCTCACAGAAGTTGTAAGTTAGAATGATATAACTTTTAAATAGCACTAATTATTAAGGGCAAGTAATAAGTCAGAGTAACCTTATATAATAGTGTTAAATTTGTGTCATTCCCAAATTAACAGTTCTCAGAGTGGGAAAATTAATACTGCAGAGTGAAATACCATGTCTGATGTTTACAGTTTTATCTTACCATTACAAAACCATGGCAATCATCTCTGAAATGCAGTTGCACAGGTCAGAGGTCAGAGAGATCATTCAAAGTTTAAGGCACTTACCTTCCACAGAGCCCACCCCAGTTCTTTCCCTGGCACCACATGTGGTCCCCTGAACACTGCCAGGAGTGTTTCCTGAGTAGTGCTGGGTGTGGCAAAAAAAAAAAAAAAAAAAGCAATGACTTGCATTTCCAAAGATAAACTCTAGAAGCAAAAGCAAAAGCAGAAAGATGTTCTGCTCAAGGAGTATCTCTACAAGAGATTAGAAAAATCCGAGAGACTCACATCTGAAGTATAGACTTTGGTGCTGCTTTTATCAAACACTTCCACTGTAATAATATACACCTGTCCCACCTCTAGACTCCATCGGCCTCCAGGTTGGACTGTGAAACCTATACACAAATCAGAAAAAAGTATGAGAAGAGGCAAATGGTTTTCTACAATAAATTTAAAAATGCAAACTTAAGGTAAAGGCCCTTTAGGGCCTCCCGTTGTTCGTTGATTTGCTCGAGCAGGCCCAGTAACGTCTCCATTGGAGACTTTGTTGTTACTGTGTTTGGCATATCGAATACGTCACGGGGAGCTTGCCAGGCTCTGCCGTGTGGGCGAAATACTCTCGGTAGCTTGCGGGGCTCTCAGAGAGGGGCGGAGGAATTGAACTCGGGTCAGCCATGTTGGCTGCATGCAAGGCAACCGCCCTACCGCTGTGCTATCGCTCCAGCCTGCAAACTGGAGCGATAGCACAGCGGGTAGGGCGTTTGCCTTGCACGCAGCCAACATGGCAAACTTAATAAAAGCTATTCAAAAGGACCAAAAATTGCTAATAAAGATGTTTTCCAGAGAAGATCCTTTAGTAGCCTCTATAAAATTGTATACTAATTTGGAATTCCAAAGATCCTGGATTAATCTGCTCATCTTAGTATAAAGAAACATTTACCAAAATAAAAGAGAAACAGTTACACTAATGCCTGCATGCAAAGGTAAGCCACAATTTTAGCTCATTCCTAATATGCAGGCAATATTTCAGCTTCTTTCAGACAGATGCCTTATTTCATATTATCACAGATGTTAGATCATTTTTTTTCCTTGTAAAAATTCTCTTTTCCTAGGGGCCAGAGTAATGGTATAATAGATAAGGTGCTTGCTTTGCACACAGTCAGCCAAGGTTTTATCCCCAGCATCCCAGATGGCTCCCCAAGCACCACTGGGAGTAATTCCTCAGCATTGCTGGGTGTGGCCCCAAAACAAAAAACAAAAAAGTCTTTATTTTCCTAATCTAAAATTGTTTTACTCTATCTTCATATTTTTCCACATATGTTTCAAGGTGTAGACAATACTTAAATGTGAGGAAACATATCAAAGTAAGGCTAAATGTGAAGTTACTTAAATTTCATAATGGTTAATTAAGTGCTCTAGTTTTTAATACATTCATATCAGTGCAACAGTTTAAGCTCTATTTAGCTTTCTAAAAACTATTTAAAATACCTAAAAATGCAGGCTCTACAACATACACGGTGCAATTTGGAAGTCCAGACACAAATCGCATATGGATATCTTAATTTTTGTTTAAGGAAATCTTATGCACTAGAGTTGGGTGAAAAGAGAAATATTATCCACTACAGGAACTAAAAAAGCTGATAAGAATTCTTTTAATTTTTTTTAACAAATACAGTTTTATTAGCAACAAGGTGGCAGGCTCATGTCCTAGAGAACCATCTAATCTGTACATCACAAGAAGCAGTTTACATAGAAAAATAACAAAGAAATAGATTTAGGAAATTGTCTGCTGGGCATCAGGAGGGTCATTAAATGACATGTGCACTGGTTCTCTGATGCTGATGCTTTGTGACCATAGGATGCTGATGCTATCCTGTGGTCACAAAGCAGTCCATGGTGGTGTTTCTGTTTTTTAATTAGTGTTGCTGGTGGCTCAGTACAGTGGGAGCAAGGGAGACAGACTCGAGAAAAAGAGTGCTTCAGCCTTTGCTTGGCCAACCTCAGCCCACCAGTGCTTGGGAAAATGCCTGGCCTAGATCAAGTCAGCTCCAACCTCAGCACAGGCATTGTGGGTCTGTCGCCCTCCCTCACAGAAAAGAATTTCAGGAAGAGGCAAAATGGTAAAGCAAGAAGCTTTTTGTTGAGGGAGCCAGAGAGAGAAGGAGAGAGAGAAAGAGAGAGAGAGAGAGAGAGAGAGAGAGAGAGAGAGATTATAGCAGTTATAGCAGATAGCAGCCAGGGCACGGATAGTACAGCAGCCTTGTACGTGGCCAATCTGGATTTGGTGTGAAATGTATGTTCAAGGGGGATCACAGCCTTTGAAGAGCGAGCAAAAAATTATCTCTTGGGGGCCCGGAGGAACTTAGAGCACCTGCTTTGGAAGTGAATGTCCATTAGTTCAATCCAACAGTATCCCTCTAGGCCATAAACCACTTCTAGACACACTGCAGCCAGGTGTGTGTAGCACTGTAGCACTGTCCTCCGGTTGTTCATCGATCTGCTTGAGCGGGCACCAGTAACGTCTCCATTGTGAGACTTGTTGTTACTGTTTGTGGCATATCGAATATGCCACGGGGAGCTTGCCAGGCTCTACGTGCAGGTAGGATACTCTCGGTAGCTTGCCAGGTTCTCCAAGAGGGACAGAGGAATCGAACCCCGGGTCGGCCGCATGCGAGGCTAACGCCCTACCCGCTGTGCTATTGCTCAAGACCCAGGTGTGTGTAAGTTCTACAAAAGAAGGTGTGACCTCCAGCAAACATAACTGAAAGAGATGTGGGTATCACAGCAACAACATGCAATCTTTGAGAAGCATGTGTATGAGCACCACCACCATATCTAGGGTGACTTAACTAAGAGTGCAGGCCGTAGGGAGCATGTGCAAGCACCACAACGAAGGGAGTACAAATATCAGTGAGCATATGCAAAGCGCCACAATCTCATGCCTGATCCTTTATATGCACAATAGTTAAATGTGTGAGCACCTCCCCATCATCTCAACAACTATCTCAACAAAGGGCCATTCTCAACAGAGGTCAGGGCACTTGCTTTGCTCACATGCTACCCAGCCAAGTTGAGCCCCCCCACACCTCATATAATCCCTGAGCCCTGCTAAGAGTAAACCCTGAGCACTGCCAGATGTGTCTCCAAAACCAATATAAATAAGTAAATAAAAAGGAAAAGAAAAGAAACAACCACGAAGGGAAGGGTGGGAATAAAATAAATTTTTTGAATAAAATTTAAAAAGATTCTTTATAAAGCAAAAGACTAAACCTGAGGGACTTAGTCATCCCCAAAATAATATATTCTTGGACTTAAAAATTGAGGAAGATGGAATAAGAGGAAAAAGTAAACATTGGGGTGTGAGGAATAAGTTAAGGAGGGAACATAAAGATAATGATGCAGGGGGAAAGTATCTGGCCACAGAAGCAGGGTGGGGGATGGGAAAGAAACTGAGGACATTGGTTGAGGGAAGTGAATACTGGTGAAGGGATTGGTATTGGAACATTGTACCCCTGAAACTTAATAACGAAGAACTTTGCAACTCTTTAATTCATGGTGATCCAACAAAAAATAATAAATCATGATCCATGTTTTTTAATATAGGCAAACCTCAGATATATTGCAGGTTCCATTCCAGACCACTTCAATAAAGCAAATATTCTAATAATGTGAGTCACACAGACATGTTTGTTTCCATGCTTATAAGCGTCATGTCTACACTATACTATTGTGTGAAAATCGAACTATACTAAGAAAAGCAAAGCATATATTATTATTTTTATGACGATCGAGGGTCAGGGACGCTGCCTTGTTTGCCAAGGTGTAGAGAATCAGATGGGCCAAACATGTAATGTGATTTGGAGACGACCGCTGGATTAGAGCTGTTACTGACTGGATTCCATGGGACGTCAAAAGAACGCCTGGCCGCCCACCTACGAGATGGTGGGACTTCTTCGTCAAGACCCTGAACATATGGTTTGATGCTCTTCGTGTTCCTGGAGTAACCAGACGCCATTGGGCTACACTAGCATGCGACAGGGATAAATGGAGACATTACTGGCACCCACTCGAACAAATGGGTGAGCAATGGGATGATAAGTGATACAAGTGATTATTATTGGGCTGGAGTGATAGCACAGTGGGTAGGGTGTTTGCCTTGCATGTGGCCAACCCAGGGTCAATTCCCAGCATCCCATATGGTCCTCTAAGCACCGCCAGGAGTAATTCCTGAGTGCAGAGCCAGGAGTGCTTTGCCAGGTGTGACCCAAAAAACAAAACAAAACATGAATTATTATCATCCATATCCTCAAGAAAGGCATATCACGATCATCCTGTTGTTCGTCGATTGCCTCGAGCAGGCCCCAGTAACGTCTACTTCGTTCTAGCCCTGATATTTTAAGAAGTGCCATATTCAAGACTCTTTCAGGGTTAGGAGAATGAGACCCATCATTGTTACTGGTATTTGGCATATTGGGTACGACACGGGGAGTTTGCCAGACTCTGCCGTGTGGGCAGGTAACATTCAGTAACCTGCCAAGGTTGTCCAAAGTAAGAATGAGATAATAAGATGTCGCGTGGCCGATGAAAACATGAATTATTATCATCCATATCCTCAAGAAAGGCATATAATAAACAAAATTTAATGAAACAAATAATGAAAGAAAATGGGTAAGAGCAATGTTTAATAATACCTATTATGGCACACATAGCAAAACTGACAGAAAATATGGAAAAAAATATAAAGTCTTTCTTGAAAACTCAGGAAAGTGCCTGATACCTTATGAACTATGGTTCAATTAATATTACATAACTTCTTTGTAGGTTTTACTTGGAGGCATCATCATATTTGTTGACAAATGTCTTAGTCACCTTAAAAAACTAGAAAACTGGGGCTGAAGTCGTAGTAGAGTGGGTAATGGCACTTGCCTTGTAGGTGGCCCAGCAGGATTCAATTCCTAGGACCCTGTGTGGTCCCCTGAGCAGTACCAGGAGTGATCCCTAAGCTCAGACAGAACCAGGAGTAAACCCTGTGTACCACTGGGTGTGGCCTAAAGAGCAAAACAAAACAAAAACTAGAAAACAAATAGCTCTGGGCCAGTAACTTTCCTTACTATGTGTTTGACAAATAATAAAAACAATCTACACTACTCTACAATAAAAACTTACTTTCAAGCCCAATAGATTCTTCTTTTTTTTTAATTGAATCACAGTGAGATATACGTTTCAAAGTTGTTCATGATTGGGTTTCAATAATGTTCTAACACCCATGCCTTTACCATTTCCCACCACCAATGTCTTCAGTTTCTCTCCTGCCTGCCTCTCTCTCTCTCTCTCTCTCTCTCTCTCACTCTCTCTCTTTCTCACTCACTCACTCACTCTCACTCTTTTGTTTGCCCACTCGCTCTCATTCTCTTTCTCTCTCCTTTTGGGCATTATGGTTTGCAATACAGATATTGAAAGGTTATCAGGTATATCCTTTTCTCTAGTTTCAACCCTCAGTTGTCCAGAGTGATCATTTCTATTACTGTCATACTGGTCCCTTCTCTATCCTCACCGCCCTTTGCCCCCACACACTGTGGCAAGCTTCCAACCATTGAACAGTCCTACAGGTCCCTGTTTTGTTTTACCTGGCCTTGGATATTAGTCTCAGACTATTTTTTATGAGCCCACTAGGTTCTTGTAAGTCCCTAAGACCCTCCTAAACTACTCTCCCCACTTGATGACTTCTCCTACTACACTCCCTCTAGACTCTTTGCACTTCAGCCTTGGTGTCTTTTTTTTCCTTTAATACTGCAAACGCACTCCTGTTTTAAGACCTTTGCAGTGTCCATTTCCTCTCCCTGGTACTCTTTCACTTGGGTAACTTATGTGGCTCATTGCTTCCACCATTGTCTTATCAGAGAGGACTTTCCTAACTACCATGAGTAAAACAACACCCTATATCCCTAGTGTTTAGGACAATGTTGAGAGTCACAGATCACAGATCATCCTGTTATTCGTCGATTGCCTCGAGCAGGCCCCAGTAACAGTTACTGGGGCCATGTTGAGACTATAGTAAGAATATTATTATTTGCCGAACAAACAGATCAACTTCATATTCCAACATAGGAAATATTTAAAAAACATACAGAAAAATGGAGGTCAGATGTTTCAATTTTCTGAGAATTTAAATTTTCATTCCATTTTGTTCTCATTAACTATTTTTTTTTTATATTGTTTGTTTCTGGTTCACACCTGGCTATGTTCAGGGATTACTCTTTTTTTTTTTTCAGGGATTACCCTTGGCTCAGTGTTTGGGGATCACATACTGGCAAGGCCTGGGAGATCATATGAAGTGCTGGGGATTGAACTGGGTTGGTCGTGTGCAAGACAAGCACCTTACTCACTGTACTATAGATTCAGTCTCACTTTCATTTACTACTAAAGTTAGTGTTCAATTCTTACAGAGAAGGTCTAATAAAAATGAAAACAATTCAATATCCCTAATAGCACTGTAGCACTGTCTTCCCGTTGTTCATTGATTTGCTCAAGCGAACACTAGTAACGTCTCTATTGTGAGATTTGTTGTTACTGTTTTAGCATATCGAATATGCCATGGGGAGCTTGCCAGGCTCTGCCATGCAGGTGGGATACTCTTGGCAGCTTGCTGGACTCTCCAAGAGGGACAGAGGAATCGAACCCGGGTCGGGAGCGTGCAAGATAAACGCCCTACCTGCTGTGCTATTGCTTCAGCCTATCACTAATACATAGCTTAAATTACAATAGACAGCACTCTTTTTTCAATTATTTTCAATTTTTTTTCAATTATGTGAAAACAGAAAATGGGAAATTCACACATGTTCCTTCAAATGGTTTTTCCCAGTCTCCTAATTATAATTTGATCAAATTTACAACTAAAGTACTGAAGATAACAATTCCCAAGTTCCAGCTACTCTGTTCTGAGAAATTATGACTACACTAGCTTATCATTCTGTTAAAAAACAAAAAACCTGGGCCAGAGGGATAGTAAAGCAGGTAAGGTGCTTGCCTGGGTTTAATTCCTGGTGCTGCATATGGTTCACTGATTCCCACCAGAATTGATCCCTGAGCAGTCAGGAGTAAACCCTGAGCACAGCTATGTGAGACCCCAAAATAAACTAAACAAAATCTATAGAATATCAAAACAGTTGTATTATGATCATTCTTGGTATTTTTTTTTTTAGCTTTTTGGGTAACACTTGCTTAGGGGTTACTCCTGGCTCTGCACTCAGTAATTACTGCTGGTGGTGCTCGGGGCACCATGTGGGATGCTGGGACCAAACCCAGGTCAGTGCACACAAGGCAAATTCCCTACTCACTATTGCTCCGGCCCCTATGATTACTCTTAAAAATTATTTTGCCAGGGTCAGAGAGCTAGTACAGTGGGTAGGGTGCTTGCCTTGCACGCGGCTGACTAGAGTTCTGTGGCATCCGATATGGTCCCCCAAGCACCACCAGAAGTAATTCCTGAGAGCAGAGCCAGGAGTAACCCCTGAGTATCACTGGATGTGGCCTCAAAACAGCAGCAAAATACTGCCAATGAATATGTTTAGCATGCTCAGAAAAACACAGGTTGACAGCTAAAATTGGAGCAAAAGGATACTTTTATGGACAAAGACAAGGTTAGTATGTCCCAGTTGGAGAGCAGTAACCGTGGCTGTTTTCTCATCCAGTAAAGCCACTTTTCCAGAAAAAGTTCCATTACATACAGGGCGATGGTCTTGCAATTCCAGGGTATATTGTCCCAGGGGAGATTCCACTTCTGTAAGATGAAAAAGTTACATAAATGTAATGAGAATGACCTTCGAACCACAATGGTTTCTACTGTTGGATTATAAGTATAAAACTGGAGGTGGGCAGGAGGATTACTCCATAGCTTAGAGGCCAGCCGGGCATTCTAGGGGAAAGGGCAGCTCAGATAGAGAAGGGAGCACCAAATAAAGAAAAGGGTGTTTGGAGGATCCTCCCAGGAGGGGAGATGCATGTTGAAAGTAGACTATGGACTGAACATGTTTGCCACTCAAAGCCTCTTGCAGACCACAACACCCAAAAGGAGAGAGAGAACACAAGGGATTGCCCTGCCACAGAGGCAGGGGGGGATGGGGGGGATGGGGGGGATGGGGGTGGGAGGGATATTATCCATGGTGGTAGAAAATGGGCACTGGTGGAGGGATGGGTATTTGATCATTGTATAATTGAAACCCAAGCACAAAAAATTGTAAATCTACAAGTGTACCTCATGGTGTTTCACTAAAAAAATAAATAAATAAATAAAACTGGAGGTGGGGTGTAGAGAGACAGGACAGCTGGTAAGGCATTTGCCTTGTATGCGGTCAGCCCTGGTTTCATCCCTGACACCACATATAGTCCCCATAAGGCATCCCATATGGTCCCCCAAGCACAACAGGAGAGATCCCTGAGTACAGAGCCAGGAATAAACCTTGAGCACTTGAGCACTGCCAGGCATAATCCAAAAACAAACTCACCCTCCCAAAACAATCAGGGAACCAGAGAGAATATACAGCAGAAATGGCACTACCTTGCACAGTGCCAACCTGGGTTCAATCCCTGGCATCCCCTTAGGGGCCCCAAAACTGCCAGGAGTGATTCCTGAGTACAGAGCCAGGAATAATCCCTGAGCATCGTCAGTACGGCCCAATTTAAAAAAAAAATCAGGAAGCAAGTCTAAATATGAGTAGAATCGATTTCTAATTTCTTTTTCCATTATGATGAATTTCTATAAGTAACTATTTTGGGGAAATATGAACTTATTAATTATTAACAAAAATATGTTACTGTTTTTTTTTTCTTTTTGGGTCACACCCAGCGATGTACAGGGGTTACTCCTGGCTCTGCACTCAGGAATCACCACTGGCGGTGCTCAGGGGACCATATGGGATGCTGGGAATCGAATCCAGGTTGGCCACGTGCAAGGCAAACACCCTACCCATTGTGCTATTGCTCCAGCCCCGTTACTTTGTATTTTTAAAATATTACTTTCCTCACCATGATCTATAAGGTGAAAAGGGTTTCATGCATGCAACACTCCAATACCACACTTCCCACCAGGGTTTTCCTCTACCCTGTCTCTGGGCTACCTCCCAGCCCCCTCCCCACCAAAATAAGCTCATAATCTCCATACTTTAGATCAGCTCACAGATTCATTTTTTTTTAATTTTAATTTTTTTTTTTTTGCTTTTTGGGTCACACCCGGCGATGCTCAGGGGTCACTCCTGGCTTTGCACTCAGGAATCACTCCTGGCAGTGCTCAGGGGACCATATGGGATGCTGGGAATCGAACCCAAGTTGGCCGTGTGCAAGGCAAACACCCTACCTGCTGTGCTATTGCTCCAGCCCCCAGCTCACAGATTCTATTGCTTTGGTAAATCTATTTTCCCCTTACTATGCTTCTTTATATCATATATGAAAGAGGTGATTTTTTTTTTGGTCACACCCAGCAATGTTCAGGTGTTACTCCTGGCTCTACTCTCAGGTACTACTCCTGGTGGTGCTTAGGGGACCATATGGGATGCCAGGGATTGAACCTGGTTGGCTGTGTGCAAGGCAAATGCTCTACCCGCTGCTGCTCTACCCGCTGTTCTATCACTCCAGCCAAGAGAAGTGATTTTGATAGCCTGTTTGGAGGTTGAAACAGGAACACAGCTACTCATAGACTCCTGACTGATAAACAGTACATTTCTATTTGGGAAATGCTTTGGGGAAAGATGCACATGGAGCAGTGAGGGAGGAAGGAGACACCTGTTCAGCCAGTCAGATCAGACAAATCAACTCTGGTCATCAATGGGGTGACATGCCGCAGCCAGATCGCCCTCACATTTGAAAGAGGTCATTTTGTACATGTCCCTCCTAAGTACGGTAAACTTAAGTTCCATCCACATAGTGGCAAACTGCATGATTTCATATTTCATTATAGCTGAGTAGTATTCCATTGGGTATATCTCACACACGTACACACATATATGTATGTATTACCTGTATCAGCTGTCATCCTGGTGTTCATTAATTTGCTTGAGTGGGCACAGTAAAGTCTCCATTCGTCCCTGTTGCATGATAGTGTAGCCCAATGGTGTATCGGGGACTCTTTCAGGGTCAGGTGAATGAGACCCATTATTGTTACTGTTGTTGGCATATCGAATACACTACCTGTAGCTTGCCAGGCTCTGCCGTGCAGGCAGGATACTCTTGGTAGCTTGCCGGGCTCTCCAAGAGGGATGGAGGCTCCAGGAAATACTGCGTCAATCTCTTCGGGAGCTTTTTTTTTTATAGTCTCTAATCTTGACCACTGATTAGATTACATGGCGCCGGGGGCAGTTTGTGGGTGTGACTGCCAAGGCTACTGGAAAATGGATGATCTGGGTGGAGGAGGCCCAGTTCCAATCCAAGCAGGATGGGTGTATGTGTGTATGTGTTTATATATACAGTTACTACATATTATACAATATGTAATATTATATAAGTAAGTAAGTAAAGGCCCTCCCGTTGATCGTCGATTTGCTCGAGCGGGCCCAGTAACGTCTCCATTGGAGACTTTGTTGTTACTGTGTTTGGCATATGGAATACTCTCGGTAGCTTGCCGGGCTCTCCAAGAGGGGCGGAGGAATCGAACTCGGGTCGGCCATGTTGGCCGCTTGTAAGGCGGACGCCCTACCCGCTGTGCTATCGCTCCAGCCCTAATATTATATAAGTAAAGTAAAGTAAAGGCCCTCCTGTTGATCGTCGATTTGCTCGAGCGGGCCCAGTAACGTCTCCATTGGAGACTTTGTTGTTACTGTGTCTGGCATATCGAATACTCTCGGTAGCTTGCCGGGCTCTCCGATAGTATATGAATATATTAATAAAATATATGTCACTATCACTGTCACTGTCCTCCCGTTGTTCATTGATTTGCTTGGGTGGGCCCAGTAATGTCTCCATTGTGACAATTGTTACTGTGTTTGGCAGAACGAATACATCACGGGCAGCTTGCCAGGCTTTTGCTGTGCGGGCGAGATACTCTCAGTAGCTTGCTGGGCTCTCTGAGAGGGGCGGAGGAATCGAATTCAGGTCAGCCATGTTGGCCGCTTGCAAGGCAAATGCCCTACCCGCTGTGCTATTGCTCCAGCCCATATGCTACTAGTTTTTAAAAATATAGTGAGTACTATTCATAATACCCAAATATGGAAATAACCTGTGTCCAAGAACAGCTGACTAGATAAAGAAATGACTGCATATACTTGTTTGTATTCTTAAAAACTAGCAAACTGAGGACTTGGAATATAGCTCAATGGAAAAGGGCTCATCTTACATGAAACCTGAGTTAAAGCCCTGGCACCACAAAACAACAAAACCTAGTGAACTGTGGGGCTTGGAATGTAGTTCCAGACCCTATAAGGGGTGGAGTGCTTGCACTTCATGCGTGAGACCCTGGGTTTGATCCTGGCAACAAAATAGAGAACTGAGAGTAGCAGGAGGGCATTCCTCTGGGTAAAAATGAACGTATAGTAATGGAGCATTAAAGTTTTCAGTTAATGAATTGAATTTCTCAAGAAATAACTTTTGCAAAGATCATGCAGTTCTTACTGAACTAGAAGAGACTGGTAAAGTTTCTTCATCTCTCCTACAAAATTTAGTAAATTTGGGGGCTGGAAAGATAGCACAGCAGGTAGAGCATTTGCCTTGCATGCGGCTGACCTGGGTTCGATAAATAGCATCACATATGGTCCCCCCAGTACCACCAGGAGTAATTTCTGAGTGCAGAGCCAGGAGCAACCCCTGTGCATCTCTGGGTGTGACACAAAAAGAAAAACAAGTAGTAAATTTTCAGTGTGGAGGTGGAGAACAGGAGAGTTTGGGCTATACCCAACAGTGCTCAGAGACTAATCCTGGATCTGTGCTCAGCTAGTGATACCTGGTAGTGCTCAGGGGGCCATATAAAGATGTGAACCAGGGTTGTAGCCTGCACTTTCTCTTTGGCTCGGTTATTGTTTTGATTTGTTTTAGGCCCCACCTGGCTATACTCTTAGCAGGGTGCAGGAGGACCATACGCAGAGTGCAATCACCTTACCCCTCTCTATTTTACCCCTGTACTATCCATCTCTCTGCCCTCTCAGTGGTTGTTGTAATAAAGAATTTAGAAACCTCTGAGAACTGAAACTAAATGGCCTGTTTGTATTAGCCTGTTCAAAACCCACAGCCTATCTCTATCTGGTATATCTCAAGTAAGCAATATGAAATAGTTTTATCATGGGTTGGAGAGATAGTATAGGGGTTAAGGTGTTTTCCTTGCAGCTGACTCCAGAATAATCACTGGCACTCCATGGTCTTCCAAATACTGCTGGGTGTATCCTCTCCCCCCAAAAGAAAGAGTTCACTTATCAGGTGGGGATGTGATTCATACTTGTGAGGCCCTGGGCTTAAAGTGTGGCACTGCACATCTCCAAACCCTGCTGGAGCTCCACCATGTGTGGTCCTCACTGTCTTGTAGCACTGTCCTCCCGTTGCTCATTGATTTGCTCGAGTGGGCACCCGTAATGTCTCCATTGTGAGACTTGTTCCTTTTTTTGTATCGAATATGCCATGGGGAGCTTGCCAAAAAATGAAACTACTGGGGTCAGAGAGACAGTATAGTATGTAAGGCACAGCAACCAGGGTTTAATCCCTGGCATCCTATATGGTCCCCCAAGCCCCATCAGGAGCACAACACAGAACTAGGAATAACCCCTGAGCATTTCTAGATGTGGCCCAAAAACCAAATAAAAAACAGAAGCCAAAAAGAGTCAGAGAGAACTCAATGGACTGGGCTAGAGCACATGTTTTTCATGCAGGAGGCCTGGGTTCTACCCCTGCTACCCCAGCAGCATGAGGAATGACCCCAAAGACAAAGCCTGGAATAGCTCTTGAGAATCATCAGTCATGTCCCCAAAACAAAAGGAAGGAAAGACCTACCACAGAATCTAAAAACAAAAATACTTCTCAAATATAACACAAATATTATGTATAAACATGAAAGGGTGTGAGAAATATGAATCTTAGAAAAGGAGAAATCATCTCACCTGTCAGTTTCCCCTGAACCATTTTTGCTACTCGGTATTTGATATATGCACCCACTAAGAGATATATATCATGGGATGGTATAAGAAATATATTTTCCAAAACAAGCAGGCGTATCAATGCTGCTGTCACTTTCTAAACAAGAAAGAAAAATATTTCCATAAGTAAAAACCTCAAGGCCATAGTTCTTATTAAAACTTTACTTTTGGAGGACTGGAGAGAGAATACAGCAGCTAGGGCACTTGCCTTGCACACGGCTTGACCTGGGTTTAATCCTCCGCATCCCATATGGTCCCCTGGGCACTGCCAGCAGTAATTAATTACTGAGTGCAGAGCCAGGAGTTGCCCCTGAATGTCACTGGGTGTGACCACAAATAAACAAATGAGCAAAAATTTTGCTTATGCGGGGCCAAGGAGATAAGTGCTGGGACACATCCTTGCATGCTGGAGGCCCCATTTTGGACCCCGGCACTGCATGGCTCCACAGCACCATTAGGAACTACCCCTGAGCAACATGCTGGGAGTAGCCCCTGAGTACCAACAGGCGTGGTCCCAAAGCCAACAATTAAAAAAAAAAAAAGAAAAAGAAAAATAGAAAAAGAAAAAAAGCACTTCCTGGAGGTCCAGGGAGATGACTCAAAGAACCAGAGTGCATGCTTGCAGGAGCCCTGGATTTGGTCCCTGGTACCATATGGTCTCCTGAACACTGCTGGGAGAGACCTGGAGGAGCATGTTGGGAGCAGACCACAAGCACTGTGGGGTGTGCTGCATCCTCCAACACCACCCTCAAATAAAGTTTACTGCGTGGGAGATTGTGGCAAACTCAGTGGCAGAATGCCTGCTCTGCAAGAAGGAAGCTGTAAGTTTGATTCCTGGCACACCCAAAACATATGGCATGGAGCAATGGCACTGCCACGGGGGACCAATGTCAAGCAAACACCACAACTAAGAAAAGTATGCAGGGGCTGGTGCCATAGCATAGCGGGTAGGGCACCTACCTTGTGCATGGCTGACCTGGGCTCAAGGAAGGCAGGTCGCGTTGGCTGCTTGGGACAGGCACATCCTCCCCCCACCCTCCACCCCATCTTTCTCCTTTGTTCCTGCTGCTGTTGCAATGACACAACTTGGTTGTGGTGCTTGCCAGGAGCTACACTCACTTAGCCTTGGGGTTCTTAACCCCCTAACCAGGCACTGGAGATTGGTGATCATCCACTCCCCTGTGGTACCGGGGGTCCCAGAGAGCAGCACTGCTGGGGCCATGCTAATGTGAGTGGCACTGGGAATCAAAGTCAGCCTCATATTGACAAGGCAAGTTTTTTTTTGCCACTGCGTCATCCCCACAGAGCTACTTCTAACTGGCCTCTAATTCATTCACTCTCCAGATAAAGTTACTCTCTGTCCCTTTTTGAACATATTGATTCTTACAAAGGCTTCCCAGCACAGGTTAGACTGCTCTCTAGGATGGCCACAAAATGGTATTCCTCCCACTTGAATTTAATGCTTACCAAAAGATCTATTATGACAGATACACTTGTAATTATAATTACATTTTAAAAATTCATGAAGACAGAATTGTTGTTTCTAGCGAAAAGAAGTTGTGGGCACCAGGGCCATAGTACAGTGGGTAAGGTGCTTGCCTTGCATGCTGCCAACCTAGGTTCAACTCCTGGCACCTCATATGGTCCCTGAGCACTGACCGCCAGGAATGATCTCTTAGAGCAGAGCCAGGAATAAGCCCTGGCTCTGGGTTCAGCTCAAAACCAAAACAAAACAAAGTTAAGGAAAAGCTCCCAAATTGTTCTATCAATGTAAAAATTGGGGGGAAATTTTTGAAAGAGTATGGAATTCTGTATTCAAGTTGCTTCACAAATGTCTAATTTTTCAGGCCGGAGAGAGAGCATAGCCGGAAGTTATCAAAACAAACAACAAGAAGTTATTGGATCTACATCAAAGAATTGAGGAACAAAGTAGTTACATTTAGGGGAGAAAGGTTACATCCAGCTGTGCTCAGGGCTTACTCTTGGCTCTGCACTCTGGAATCACTTCTGGCAGAGCTTGGAGGGCCCTGTGAAGTTTCAGGAGTCCAACCCCTGTTAGCAGCATGCAAAGCAAGTGCCTTCCCTCCATTACTATCTCTGCAGCCTCAATAGTTACATGTTTTAAGAGAAAATGTCAACAGCATTTATACTATAATTTAGTAATAACATGTTTAAGAGAGAGAGACAAGATTTGTTGTTGATGTTATGGTTTGGTTTGGGAGCCACACTTGGCTGTGCTCAGGGCTTACTCCTGGTTTTGTGTTCTAAAATCATTCCTGGCAGGGCTCAGGGAGTCATCGGGTGCTAGGGGTGGAACTTATGTTGGGCAAACAAGTTTGTTTTTTTGTTTGTTTGTTTTTGCTTTTTGGGTCACACCTGGCGATGCACAGGGGTTACTCCTGGCTCTGCACTCAGGAATTACCCCTGGTGGTGTTCAGGGGACCATATGGGATATTGGGAATCGAACCCTGCTCAGTCGAGTGCAAGGCAAACACCCTACCCACTGTGCTATTTGCTCCAGCCCCAAACAAGTTTGCTTTATTATTTTTTTAATGTAGGAGTATTGCTATTTATTCAGTCATTGATTAGGCTGATTGAATTGGGCATGAACTCCACCTTACTTTTTTCTTCTTATACATTTATTTATTGAATCACCGTGAGAGCAGTTACAAACCTTTTGGGTTTAAGTCTTGGTCATATAAAACACCCGTCCCTTCACCAGTGCCCATTTTTCACCACCAAAAACCCCAGTATACCCCCTATCCCATACCCTCCCCCTACCCATAGGGCAAATGATTTCCACATTACTCTCTCTACTTTGATTACATTCAATATTTTGACACCAGACCCACCATTATGACTTGGGATTTTACCCCAACACTCAGATCTGCCGAAAAGGCAACAGTAGACAATTTATTTTCTATTGCTGATTATGAATAACATATGATGTTGCGTGGTCGCACAATTTTGGAATTCCGAAATTTTAACAATTAAATCTGGAGGGATTTCTGCCCAAACCTGCTGGGTTTTGAAATTTGTTCCTGAGTTTCTGGGATCATGGCCATTAAGCAGCTTGATCAAGAGCCAGAGAGGCCGTTCATGGGTGGTGACCCAGGGTCTCGTTAGGGCGGGGAGGAAAGGGCCGGTTCCACCACCCCCATCCCGTGAGGCCCCGCATGTCTCGTCACAGCTGGCCCAAACCTTACTGTTCAATGGACACTGGAGGATGGTGGCCACCAACCCGCCAGGGGGAACAGGCCAAAGCATGAACCCTATTCCCACCTGGGGTGGCCCAGCACCATTAACCTACTACAGGGACCAGACTCATTTCTGCCAAAAGCTGTTGGGTTCCGAGATTTCTTTCTGAGTCTCTGGGACCATGGCCGTTAAGTAGTTTAATTAGGAGCCAGAGAGGCTGTTTGTGGGCAGCGCCTCTGGGTCTCTTTGGGGTGGGGAGGAAGGGGCTGGCTTCACTCCCATCCCATGAAGCCCCGCGCATCTCGTCACTGCAGGCCCAAACCTGACTGTCCAATGGCCTCTGGAGGATGGCGGCCACCGAGCCACCAGGGGGAACAGGTCAAAGCATGAACTCTATTCCCAACTGGGTGGCCTAGCGCCAGTAGCCTACAGTGGGGACCGGACGCATTTCTGCCAAAAACCACTCGGTTCCGAGATTTGTTTCTGAGTCTCTTGGATCATGGCTGTTAAGCAGCTTGATCAGGAGCCAGAGAGGCTGTTTGTGGGTGGCGACTCGGGGTCTTGTTGGAGCGGGAAGGAAAGGGCCGGCGCCACCCCCATCCCATGAAGCCCCGCATGTCTCGTCACAGCAGGCCCAAACCTGACTGTCCAATGGCCTCTGGAGGATGGTGGCCACCAAGCTGCCAAGGGAGAGCAGGTGGTGGGACAGCACCCTTTCTCCCTTGGGGAAAGTGTGGCCCGGTGACAGTAACCTATTGCGGGGACTGGACACATTTCTGCCAAAAGTTGCTGGGTTCCGAGATTTGTTTCTGAGTCTCTTGGATCATGGCCATTAAGCAGTTTGATCAGGAACCAGAGAGGCCTTGCCTCCAATTATATAGCTGAGCTGGAGGTGGTTTGTAGGTGTGTCTTCACAAATCTAACTTTTGGCCATTTATTTTCCTCATAAACTAGGCCCCAAGTTGTTGGGGTCTGGCCAAAGGCACAGCAGCAATTTGGGGGTATCTGGAAGTATGAAGGCGCCATCAGGTTGCTGATGCACTAGCCTCACAGGTAGAGACTGACCTGCTGGTGGCACCATACCCCCAACAAGTTTGCATTTTTTTTAAAAAAATGTTTTGCTGGAATATACCCAGCAGTGCTCAGGGCTGACTCCTGTCTCTGCACTCAGGGATCACTCCAGGTGGCTTGGGTAACCATATGGTATGCCAGGGATTGAACCCAGGTCAGGGCTGGGTGCAAGGCAAGCGCTTACCCACTGTACTATCACTCCTCCTCCAATTGTTTTTGTTTTGTTTTGCTTCGTTTTTATTTTTTCAAACATTCACTACTCAAATGACTTTTTCAACTAAATGACCAACTTTGATCCAAATCAAATCAAGCAGAGGGCTTCTATTTAAGGTAAATATAATAAACTATATTTCTATGGGCAAGATGATGGCTAGGGAGATAGCTCAAGACAGAGATGCATGCTGCATACACAGGGACCTGAGTTCTATACCTGGCACATGACTGGTGGCCCCCAGCATTGCCAAGCAGCACTACACTCCATGGCCTGAGCACTGAATCCTCTAGTCCATTCCAGTGGCCAAGGATCACTAACAGTGGTACCCAGGTCCCCTGATCACTGCTTGGGAAGCCTCCTCCCCCTCAAATGAGAATTTATAGCACTTTTTACCTTATAAAAGGATTCATGAATTCGAACTTTTACAATAGCAGCACCAGTTCTAATCCCAGACACCAAGATCATATCTCCTTGTTTCTCTTCTTTTTCCATATTTACTATGTATACTGGGGGAGAATACTCTGCTTCAGAGTATTTCAGAATCCTAAAGAAATAAAATAAAGTTTGTTTCTATTAAAATCAAATAATTATTCTTCTTCTAGAATGACCTGAGCTATTTTAAACGTTCTCTTCAGTGTCTATGCGATTAAAGGTCTTCCATTTTGTTTTCCACAAGGACTGGATAGAAAAGGAATGTGTGTTCCTTGATAAAAATGTGGGACTAATAGCTGGATTGTCTGAGAGCTATTTCCTGCTACTGAAGACAGATCCATACTATTATCCCACTCACTGTATGCAGATAATTTAAACAATAAAATGCCAGCAGGGAAGTGGCTCAGCTATAATGGACATGTCTTGAGAACTGGGTTCTTGGGTTCCATCTATGGCAGTAAAAACAAAAATCAAAACACATACGAGAGCCAGAGAGATCGAACAGAGGTTAAGTTGCTTGCCTTGCACATGGCAAACTCAGCTGGATCCCTAACACTGCATGGTCCTCTAAGCACCACCAAGAGAGACCCCAGTACTGTCCAGGTGTAGCCATAAGCTCTCACCCTACCAATAAAATAAACTGTAAGAAGACATACCTGGATCAAATAATTGTATAGCCCGGCAATCAAGAACTCTTCTTTAATGGCTCAAATTAAGCTATCATGTAAGTCTCTACATTAACCATAATTCATGTGTTCTATCAAAGATATTTCTATTTAGCAAATGTATATGTTTCCCAAAAAGATCAGACAGCAGGCTTATAAAAATCCATTTGATTAGCTGGTGTTCAGTTTGCCACAAAAATGCCTCTTTAAAAGTCAGGTAGTGGGGAGTACGGTGCTGCCAGCAGGTCAACCTGTACCTGTGGGGCGAGTGCACCAGAAGCCTGATGGTGCCTTCAGAGTTCCTGATACCCCAAAATTGCCACTATGCATTTGGCTGGACCCCAACAACTCGTATTCAAATTTCCTGAGAAATTCAACGGCCAAAAGTTAGGTATGTGGGAGCCACGCCCACAAACTTCTTTTGGCTCAGCTATACAAGCTCATTTATTGGCCTTGCTTCAGAGACCCATAAATGAATCTCTAAAGAGATCAAAAGTCACAGTTAATCTTGAACCCACGCAAGGATGAACGAACCAGGGTAAATTGGATGCAGGAAGGGGGGTGATGGGTTAGCCTGGAGTCTACCCAAGGAGATCTCCCAGCAGCTGCTTGCTCCCACAGTTCAAAATTGCTGCCATGGCCCCAGCCAGACTCCACTGTTTCAAGACAGACCTTACCCAGATATTAACCTGTTGAAAATTTGGATATGCGGGTTTTGTGACTGAAATCTCCAGACTTTCTCAGAGTTGAGATGGGCTACTTCCCTCCACTTCCCTATACTCCTTGGAAGCACCAGCAGTCACCCCCACAAACCAGCTCCAGCGCCACCATGTAAGATCTACTGGCCTTGCTTCAGAGACCCATAAATAAATCTTTAGAGATCAAAAGTCGCTGTTAATCTCAGTCCCGCGCAAGGCTGAACAGACTGGGGTAAATCAGAGTGGGGGTGGGTCAGCCTGGTGTCCACCCAAGCAGAGCCCCCAGCAGTTGCTTGCTTCCACAATCCAAAAGCACTGCCAAGCCCCCGGCCTGACTCCACCATCTCAGGACAGACTTCGCAGAGATATAATCTGCTGAAAATTAAAATTTGAGTATGCAGGTTTTATGGCTGAAATTTCCAGGTTTTCTCGGGGTCAGGATGGGCTACCATCCTCTACCCCCTGTACTTTCAGAAGCCTCAGCAGTCACATCCATACCCCAAAGCTGCTACCCAGTTAAAAGCTACTCCAGCCTTACTATCTGGATAAAAATACTGAATGCCCTGAACAAACAAGATGGCCTCTTAGTAATTGTACTGCAAACCATAATGTACAAAAGGAAAAGGAGAGAGAGAGAGAAAGAAAAAAAGTGCCTGCCCTAGAGGTAGGCAGGGGGTGAGAGGTGGGGAGGTGGGGGATGGTTTCCAGGAAATGGGGACATTAGTGGTGGGAAATGTACACTGGTGGAGGGAGGGATGGGTGTTGATTATTGTATGACTGAAACCCAATCATGAACAGTTTGTGATGGTCTATCTCATGCATAATCAATAAAAAAAATTTAAAAAGCTATTGTGGAGTTCATGCCTGCTTCAGTCAGTTTAATCAGTAGTTAAATAAGTAGCATTACTCCTACATTAAAAAATAATAATAAATAAAAGTCAGGTGGTTTACATTTGGTTTGAAGGTTACCTAATTTTGCTAGATAGTTGTTCTCTGGCTGACTCGTTATCCTGGGCAATGCTCCACTCAAAAATCATTCCTGCCAAACTACTAAAAGTATTTCCTGCAGAAGTAAGTCAAAACAGAAAAGATTAAATCACATATTCAAAAATATACATGTATCTTTAACAAGAGAAGAAAATTTAGTTAGAAAATTATTTTTAGGCTTTGTTCAATAACAAATATAAACACTATTATTAGTGAATTAAAACACATATAATCAGGGTGGGACATGTAGCTTAGCAGTAAAGCACTTGCCTTGTATATGTGAGACTCTGAGTTCAGTCTGCGGCCACACACACACACACACACACACACACACACACACTCACAATTATCAGAAAGATGCCTACAGAAAGAAATGCTGTTCCTGCATAAACTCTGAAAGTAAAAAGGTCAAGATGACTAACTAGAGAATGGCCAAAAATGATGCCATTTTCTCTGCTTCTTTCAACATAAAGGCCACCTATACGCTTATTTCACAGATGACAAGCATCCGTTAAATCCTGGTCAATTTGACAAACATTTTCACAAGAATTACATTCCAGTATGAATCTAATTCATTAGCTTTTCTGGTAAAAAAAAATTACCATTAGGCCAGAGAGAGCTCAATAGGCTTTGCATGCCAGAATTCTGGGTTCTATCCCAGGCACAGCATGGTCCTCTGTGTACTGTCAGAGGTGACCCCTGAGCACTGAGCCAGATGTGGCCCCAAACAAATCCAAACAAAAAGTTTGCCTTCACTAAATCATTCATGGAGAAAGAATCAGCAATGGAAATATAAATTTACAACTTTTGAGTAGAATGTATATTTTGCATGTAAAAACACCCTGTTGGTCCCATAAGCCAGATACTTCCCATTTTCCCTAAAATGAAAAAGGGATAATCAATTAAATATTTTAAATACCACAACCAAATATAGCATACTCAATATAAAATTAGTCTCAAGAAATATGTACTTAAAATTCAAAAATGTGGGGCTGGAGAAATTTTACAGGGCTTAAGGCACTTCCCTTGCATCATCCTGTTTGACTCTTTTGGAATCCCCCAATACCACATATAATCCTACAAGCACTCTTAGGGGTCACTTTTGAGCACAGAGCCAGAAATAGGCCCTGAGCACAGGTGTAACCTAGTCCTTGCACCCAAATAATAAATTTGTAAAACCTGGGATGGGGAGATAGCACAAAGGACTGGAGCATGTACTTTGCATTTGGGAGTCCTAGACTGTATCCCTATCACCATATGTTTCCTTGAGCACTGTTGGGAGTCACCCACAAGCATCACCAGCATAGGACAAATGAAAAACAAAAAAAAAATTGTAGGAACTGGAGAGTTGTCAGAGTTAAGGCATCTGCCTTCCATGCATCTAGACCTGGTCTGAATCCTTGGCACCACATATGATTTTCCCGAGTACTACCAGGAGTCACTCCTGAGCAGAAAGCCAGGAATAGCATCTTAGTTTGTGGCCCAATGACCAAAAAAAAAGAAAAAAGAAATTACAAAACTTTCCATAGGTACATTTAATTCTTCTGGACTATAAGGAGTAGACTGATCAAATTAGAGCTAGCAATAACTTCTAAACCATGACCTTTTTCTAGTGTTTGGGCCACACCTAACAATATTTAATGGCTCCTCTCAGTTTTCTCTGGTTAGAGGCTGCCCCAAGTAGTGCTTGAGGTCAGAGATCAACCCAGACCTCCACACAAAGCATGTATCTGCTCAGCCCAGTGATTTCTCTGGCCTCTCAAAATGTTTGTTTGTTTTCAAAAAAATGCTTTTCATTGCTGATTATTGGCAGCTCAGTGACATAAGGAAATTTCCAAGATTAGCAACAATACAGTAGAAATTTTATGAAAGTAAAAGCTAATCCATTTGTACTCGTATGTATTTATTACTCATGTAACCAAGACTTAGATGAGAAAATAAATATTCCCAATCTACTTTTATCTCTCAAGCGGCTTTTCCCAAGTACTAAACACAAAGGAGCATTAATTTGGGGCTGGAGAGATAGTGCAGTGGGTACGACACTTGTCTTGCATGTGGCCAATAAGGTTTGATCCCTGGTAACCCCTATATGGTCTCAAGCCCTGCCACGAGTGATCCCTGAGCTCAGAGCCAAAATAATCTCTGGGCACTGTTGGGTGTAGGCCCCAAACAAAAACAAACAAAACAAAAACATTATTTAATTTTACGTAATTTTGTTGAGTCCTCTGAGGCTCTTTACCTTCTGCATCCAATGCCCTCACCATAAGTTCCAGTGGTGAATCATCTACATAGAGCTCCCTGGCTCGTGATACAATTTCGATGCTGTCTATTACGTCAACTCTGACATCACAGCGCAGTTCATGGTCAGTCACTGCAATGATTACAAAACTGAGAATTCAGTGGGTCATGAATTGTTACAAACATTAGTAAGGAAGCTTATTCTAAATTTATGGGAGGGAAAATTCTTTTAACTGTTACTTTCAACCTGTGGAACAAAATGGCATATGAGTCTCTATTTATGAGCCTGGAGACTAGGTCAGAGGGATAGTATAACAAGCAGAGTGCTTGCCATACATCCAACCAAGCCAAGTTCAAATATCTGATACCACATATGGACTCTCAAGCACCTCCAGGAGTGACCCCTGAGCACAGGCAGCTATACTCCCCCTTCCCCCCCACAAAAACAAAACAAAAGAGTAGACACAGTTCCCCAAACATTAATCTATAAAAATATTTTCATTCATGTATGAAAAAAATGAGAAAAATAAGATTTTTTATGTAGTAATAAAATTGAATGTACTCAATTTATTTTTATTTTGGAACCACACCCAGTAGTGATCAGAGTTTACTCCTGGTTCTGTGCTCAGGGATCACTTCTGGCGGTGCTCAGAGGACCACATTGGGTACTGGGGATCAAACCTGGGTCACTCACGTGCAAGGCAAACTATCCATTGTACTATCCATTGTACTATCACTCTGACCTCAAATGTATTCAGTCTAAAAGGATATTTGATTCCAGGGGCTGAAGAGATAGTACAGTCGGCAAAGGGCTTTCTTGCATGCAACTGACCCAGGCTTGATCCCCATACAAGGTCCCCTGAACACTACCAGATGTGGTTTCCCAAGAAAATGGCCTCAGTGCATGCAAGGACAGTGCTTTTCCACTGAGAGACATACCCAGCACTACACTCTTTTAACTATAGTCCATGCTGGAGGCCAGAAAGAGGTATTATTGCCAGTATGATGCTCTCTCTGCATGCGATCAATCCGGGCTTGATCCCCGGCATCCCTGAGCACCACCAGGAGTGATTCATGAACTCAGCGTTGGAGTAACCCGAAGCATTTCTGGTGTGGCTGCCCCACCCCCCCAAAAAAAAGTCTCTCCTAACAGTTTACTGTGTGATAGAATACTGTCTATATAGCTGCTCCATTCTGCTGCTGAAATTATACCTTTTACTTTCAGCTTTCAGCTTTAGGGCTGGAGCGATAGCACAGCGGGTAGGGCGTTCGCCTTACAAGCGGCCAACATGGCCGACCCGAGTTTGATTCCTCCGCCCCTCTCGGAGAGCCCGGCAAGCTACTGAGAGTATTCGATATGCCAGACACAGTAACAACAAAGTCTCCAATGGAGACGTTACTGGGCCCGCTCGAGCAAATCGACGATCAACGGGAGGGCCTTTACCTTTACCTTTACCTTACTTTCAGCTTTACCTACAAGAAAGAAAACGTTAAGTAACTACCAATTTAATAGTAAAATTGCCAGTTAATATCTGAGGCAAACTATTCCTAGCTGTGAATTTGTTTTTATAAAATTTTTTACAAAACGATTTTTTGCAATGCTAAGGATTGAACCCAGGGTCTCACGCATGCAAAGCAAGAATACAATCCTTGCCCTTACAGAATTTTAAAAATCAGAGCTGAATAGTGGACATAATACAGGTAAATGCCCCCCTCCCCAAACTTCCCCCCCCCCACAAGGCAAAAAGCTAAAGAGAACAACAATAGGTCATTTCAGGAAAAACAATACTTCCTTTCACAAGAAGAATATAAACAGGATTAACTGTTCTAAAACTACTTCATCTTTGGGGCCAGAGCGATTGTACAATGGGTGGGGCATTTGCCTTGCATGTGGCAGACCTGGGTACAATCCCTGGCTTCCCATATGGTCCCCTGATCCAGCCAGGAGTGATCTCTGAGCATAGAACTAGGAAGTAAGTCCTGAGCATCACGAGGAGTGACCAAAAACAAAGAAAAACACTAAAAAAAAAAAAAAAAACCTAAAAGCACTTCATATTTATAGAAAAGGGATCAAAAAAGTAAATACTGAGTTGAGTGTGGAGTCTCTCACTGTCAGAGAAAGAATTTACATAATTAATTTTAAAGGTTAGGGGCTGAGGAAATAGCTTAAAAGGCTGAAGTCACATGCCTTAACGCAGAAGACCCAGACTTTTTTTTCTTTTTGGGGTCACACCCGGCAATGCACAGGGGTTACTCCTGGCTTTGCACTCAGGAATTACTCCTGGCGGTGCTCAGGGGACCATATAGAATGCTGGAAATCAAACCTGGGTCTGCCACGTGCAAGGCAAACGTCCTGTGCTATCACTCCAGCCCAGAAGACCCAGACTTGATCCCCTTGTACCACATGGTTCTTTGAGTATCACCCAGAGTGACCCTAAATACTGAGCTGTGAATTGTTCCTGTGAATGGGCCAAAAGCCCCCCTCTCACAACCCATACACACACACGCACACACACACACACACACACACACGAAGGTTATGGACACAGGAGATGGCTCAAAGGGCTGTAGTGCATGTTTTGCATGCTGAAGCCTCAGGTTCGAACCCTGGCACCTCATGGCTTCTGCCGGTTCCTCCTCTGAGCCTTGCACAAGACTGGCCTGGGTTTGATCCCCAGCAACACATATCGTTCTCCAAGCCCTGCAGGAGTGTCCCCTGAGCACAGATCCACGAGTAAACCTTGAGCACATGTAGGTGTGATCCCAAACAAAACAAAGGAAGCAGTGATACTACAGTATAAATGAAGTCTTAAAATTAAAATCCAGATTTTGGTTCCTGAATTTAGTTCTCTTAACAAAAATAACTTGTATCCCGTAAAGATGCTGATGGTGAAATATAAGTGGAAATCCGCTCATCTTGTAATGATAAAAAGGAAGAGGGGTCAGAGAAATAGTAGAGGAGATAAGGCTCTTGCCCTGGACACACCTGACCCTGGTTCAATTCCAGGTACTACATATAATCTGGACCCCAAGCACCACTTTGGTGAGCACTGCTGAGCATGGCCCAAAGGGGGAAAAAAAGCGGGAGAGAGAGAAATTGACTTTTTTGGTATGGTGTCAGGAATTGAACCCAGTTCTCATACCTCCAAAACTTACTAGTGAGTCACATCCGAAGTCCCCGTGATTGTTTAACTAAGATGGAGACAAATCCGAAGAACACATAACATGACTTTTTCTGTCTGTTGATATTTTGCGGGCAGTATCAGGTGGTGCTTAGGACTTACGCCTACCTCTGAACTCAGGTCCTAGAAATGTTCAGAGGACCTTATGCAGTGCTGGAAATTAAACCCAGGTTGGCTGTGTGCCAGACAAGGACCTACTATCTTTCAGGACCTTCCCAAACTTGAACATGTATAAAAATCCTCAGAGAGCTTGTTCAGAGATCATTGTGGAGTGCCAGGGATCAAATCTCAGGTGAACTGTGTGCAAAGCAAGAGCGCTACCTGCTATACTATCTCTCCAGAGCCTAAATTTACATTTTTGGGTTGGATTTTGTTTGTTCTCTTGTTTTGGGGCCACATGCTGTGATGCTCAGGAGTTATTCCTGGCTCTGTGCTCAGGAGTCTCTCCTGGCGGTGCTCAGGGACCATATAGGTACAGAGGACCAAACCTGGATCGGCAGCAGCTACAATGCAAGCTGCCCTTCCCATCGTCGTATCACTCCAGCCCACCAATTTCACTTGTCTAACAAGCTTGTCTAATAAGCTCCTAGGCGATGCTGTTGATACTGGTCCACAGACCACAATTTGGAAAGTACTGGTGCTATTTTCTTTACTTTTGTACTTTATGGGACATACCTGTTGATTCTCAGGGTTCACCCCTAGATCTGTGCTCCAGGGTCATTCCCAGTGTTGCTCGGGGGACCTTGTGGTGCTGGGGATCAAACACAGGTTTCCCCTATGGACAGCATGCACTCACTCAGCCCTCTGTCTCCCTAGTCCAAAGAAATACTAGGTTTTTTGGGTTCTTTTGTTTTTTGGGCCACACCTACCTATGCTCAGGGCTTACTCTCGGCAGAGCTATGGGAACCATATGTGGTGCCAAGGATAGAACTTTAGGTGTGCTGCATGCAAGGCAAGTACCCCTGTATTAGGACTCTGCCTTGGACAATTTTTTTAACCTCATTATTTGAAGTCAACATATCTTGTTAACTGTTTACACAAAATATCTTATTCTACTAGATGAAACATACTTAGACATTTATGATTCTATTTATTTTGCCAGACTACTTATTTGGCTAGTTAAAAGAGTATACAGTGCATTTTCCCTCAACATACCTATCTCTCGAGCAAGAATAATACTGCTGACGCGAATTGGCTGGGTGGATTCAGCAATAAGTGTAGCTTTTTGGGAACATAAGGTACCGTTTTCATATAAAGGTTCAACAGTTACTGCGTCATGATGGGTAGAATGCCTGCCAGAACAAAGTTCTTAAGAGTATGAAATTAAAATAGGGGTTAAAATTGGGACCAGAGTGATAGTACAGTGGGTAGAGTGCTTGCATTGCATGCAGACAACCCATGTTTGATTTTGGCACTCCAAATGGTCCTCTCAGCACCACCAGGAAGTGATTTTTGGGTACAGAGTCAGGAATAACCCCAGAGCATCACCAGGTGTGGCCTCCAAACCAAATATATATATATAGAATATATATGTGTATATATCACTGTCACTGTCCTCCCGTTGTTCATCGATTTGCTCGAGCGGGCCCAGTAACATCTCCATTGTGACAACTGTTACTGTGTTTGGCATATCGAATACGTCACGGGTAGCTTGCCAGGCTTTGCCGTGCAGGCGAGATACTCTTGGTAGCTTGCCGGGCTCTCTAAGAAGGGCGGAGGAATTAAACTAGGGTGGGCCATGATGGCTGCGTGCAAGACAAACGCCCTACCCGCTGTGCTATCGCTCCAGCCCATATGTATACACACACACACACACACACACACACACACACACACACGTTAAAATGAACTTTTTTGTTTTTGTTTTTTGGTGCCAGCTTGCACCCAGGACTTCATACAGTGAAGGCAGCAGCACTGAGCTACATCCCTGATCGAATATTAACTTTAGATAGACCAGTTTCAGCAGTCTTCTCATGTCACAGACTGCAGGCATATTTAAATGACACTCTAAAGCAGAAACACTGCTTTGGGAAACAAGATTTAAGTGGGAGAGACTTAAAATCTTTCCCCAATGATCCTTTGGGCAGTTACTGAAATATCACATTCCTTTCTCAATAATTAAAAATACGGTTGTTAATTCTGCTCTCAATACTTGAAATAAAACTGAGGGGCGAGGGAGAGAGCTCAAAGGTTGGAGAGCCTGTCTGGCCTGAGCTGGGCTCTGGATTCAATCCCTTACACAGAAGAGGAATGCAAGCAGGCCCCCCACCTTGAGAGCAATCCCCCCAAACAGAATAGATGTGTTCCCTTTAATGAGTGCTAGTAGCAGCCTCATTCTCTGGGCAATGAATTTGTATCAATCCCAGAGTTTGGTCATGAGCATGTAGGATAAAGAAATTGCCTACGTGTGTGCAAAACAAAGTAAAAATGAGTATTTGGGAACTGGATGGAAGAAATGGCTTTCACTGGGGCTGCGGTCAGGGAGAGGAGGCAACCTCAGCCACTGCCACACTGCACAGGGGCCATTCCAGACACCTCACTCACACCGTTTCCTACAACAGGAGGTGCCCTGATCATCAGTAACATTGTGAACCATGGCACCGGAGCGAATAAAATATCAAAACCAAATTTTTTTAAAAATCTGAGGGGGCTGGAGCAACAGCACAGCAGACAGATCACGCGAGCCTTGGCGCGGGGCCCCCAGGCTCAAACCCGGGCATCCCACAGGGTCCCTGGGGCAGGCTAGGAAGAATTCCCTAAGCGCAGAGCCAGGAGGAAGCTTTTCTTATTTTTTGCTTTTTGGGTGACACTCGGCAATGCACAGGGGTTACTCCTGGCTCTGCACTCAGGAATTACTCCTGGTGGTGCTCAGGGGACCATATGGGATGCTGGGAATCGAACCCACGTTGACCGTGTGCAAGGAAAACGCCCTACCCATTGTGCTATCACTCCAGCCCGCCAGGGGGGAAGCCCTGAACATGGCAAGGTATGCCCCCCACCCCCAAACAAAACAAAAATACATAAATGAAAGGTGAATTTCCACCCCACCATACCGCTGCCCCCCACTCCAGGACCCGTAGGGGGACACGCTGCAGGTGGACCATGCGCCCCTGGGCAGCGCCCACAGCACTCGGGCCTGAGGGTTGCCCCTCAACAGCGCTGTCCCTCCCGGAGTGGGGCAGGCAGCAGAGGGGAGCCCCCACAACTGGGGAGTGCAGCAACCTGCAACGTTCTGGGGCTGTGGCTGGGGTCTGAGGGGCCGCCGGCCCGGGACCGGCCCTCACCAAGTGTAACAGCCCCGCTGCGCCTCCAGAAGGAAGGGCACGCGGCCTGGCTCCCGGCCAAAGGGCAGCAAAACCTGAGGCACATTCAGTTTGTTGGCCGGAGTCCCCAGCAAAAAGAGCTGCAGCCATAGCAGGAGGCGGAGCAACGAACTACACACACAGGTGAAGCCTCGGCGCTTGGGTGCCTCGAACACCGTCATGGCGGCTGCCGGTCTGGCGTTCCAGCTCAACTCCGCAGTGTCCCTGGAGGCGGCAGCCAATCAGCACGCAGGATGTCAGCAGGGGGGAGGGACATGCCCCGCCCCCACCGCTGGGGATTGTGGGAAACCGGAGGTGAAGCCGTAGCACAAACCCTGCCACCAACCTGTATTCACTGTATAGCACTGTCCTCCTGTCGTTCATCAATTTGCTCCAGTGGGCCCAGTAATGTCTCCATTGTGAGACTTGTTACTGTGTTTGGCATATTGAATACGTCACTGGTAGCTTGCCAGGCTTTGCCCTGTGGGCATGATACTTTTGTTAGCTTGCAGGACTCTCCAAGAGGGGCGGAGGAATCGAACCCAGGTCAGCTGCGCTGGCCGTGTGCAAGGAAAACACTCTACCACTGAGCTATTGCTCCAGTCCTGAGGTAGCAGATTTTTTAAAAAAAAAAAAAATAAAACTTTAAAAGCAAAAAAAAAAAAATTTAAAAACAAAAATACTTTCCGTTTCTATCTTGAGGCCTAGCCAAAGGGGGAAAAAAGGTGCAGTAATTTCCAGTTAACATGGGCCTGTGCCTACAAATGGAAATTTTTTTTCCCAGTACATACAGCTGGGCATTGTCAAGGGATCTGCGTCATTTTTACTGGGAAGTCGACTCGTATCCAGCATGAAGGCGGGAGTACAGGAAATGCCAGGCACTGCCTCTCAAAGGCAGCTTTGAAAGCTCTCCTCTCACTCAGTCTGTCTCAGTGCATTTACCCTAGAACAACCCTTGTTAATTTCTTTCCTCCAACTGTCCAGCAAGCTATCAGATCAAAAATTGCCCCAGGGCAAATGACTGTAATCACACATAGGCATTGTTGTAGCTGTACAAGGGTATTGTAGAAATCCCTGATTGCTAAAAATTAACTTAGTTGGAAAACGTCAGTGCTAACTCTAAAGAGGCCCGTGTTAAATGAAGCTTTGCAAGGCCAGGTGCAAGGGGGCTGGGATGTGACTCAACAACAGATTGTATACCTTGATTATGAGGTTGTGGGTACTGTACCTGGTATCAAAATAACATTAAAATAACAAGAGGCTTGGCAGTGTGTTATTTCTGATCTTCATGGCTACCCTGACAATATATAAATCTTAATTTCATTTTATATATAAAACCAAATGGTTTTCTAGGAATTTCAGAGCTATAGCTTTTTGTTTCATTTTTGTGGGACCCCACCCAGCCATGCACTCAAAGGACCAACTGTGGTGCTGGGGACTGAACATGGTTCAGTTACCTGTAAGGCAAGCACTCTCCAGCTTCACCACAGCTAAGGTCCAAACCCAGTTTTGATCTGCCTCCAAAGTGTGTGACTCAAAATCCTAGGTCAGCAGCACTAATCCTGTGCCAGTGGAGAAAGTACCCTTGAATTAGTAAATGAAACTCAAGTAGGACTAAAGTTTGGAGGGACTGGTTCTTTATTTCAAAAAGACACATGTCAATTTTCAGTATCAAAACAGTTGCATTATTGGTTTCTTGGCCCAACTGGCCCCAATAGAGACCACACCAAAGGAGAGGGCATTTTAAGCCACGAAGCTGCGGGGTGGATGCACACTGAACAGACCTCACAGAACCTCACTAAAAAGGGGGGAGTTGGGTAAGAAGGAAAGGATGTTTTTAAAGACCACACTGCAAGCCCAGACCGGGTGGTCACTGTGCCCCAATCCTACAGAAGCAAAGTTTCAAAATAATATAAAAAGTTTTGTATATAAGCTATTCAAGATTTCTCCAGCACTAACCGATACAAAGCACAATGAGATGGCACTTTTAGAGACAGCAGCTTCAGACCCAGAAAAGGGCGATGAGATGAGTTTCATATGGCTAATCAGTGGCAATAACATTTTGTTTTTCTTTCAAGAATTCAGGAAAGCAAGTAAGTGGTCACTTCAACCTAAAAGAGCACATGATTCATTCCGCTAGGAAAGCAGAGGGAGATAGAACAAGGATTTGGTCCCGGGTTCTCACTATCTTGAGTCACTTCTTTTTCTTGTTTTGGGGGTTACACCTGGCTGTGCTCAGGGGACCATATGGGGGAGCGGGATCAGCTAGGTTGCAAGGCAAGTGCTTTACCCGCTGTACTTATATACCTCTATGGCCCCTTGAGTCACTTCACTGATTTAAAAATAAGAAAAAAGAAAAGAAAAAAGAAAGAAAGAAAAGTTGCCCAGAGATACCTTAAAGCTGGAAACCTAAACAGCACTTTCTCTTTTGGCTAACTCCTCCTGGAACCCCCTTTCCTTCAGTCTGGCTAGTGCTTGTACGCAGCACTGAGGTATCCCAGTGGCACCTTTTTCTGGACTGTGTATCTCTATAAGGCAGGGCCAGTCCTTTCCCTTCTCTACGGAGGGCAAAATGCAATCAGCTGAAAAGTTCCCTTCCAAAAGAGAAAAGATTAGACTGCTCTTCAAAACTCTGGAATGGGGCTAGAGAGATGGCACAGCGGGTAGGGCGTCTGCCTTGCACGCGGCCGACCCGGGTTCGATTCCCTGCATCCCATAATGGTCCCCTGAGCACTGCCAGGAGTAACTCCTGAGTGCAGAGCCAGGAGTAACCCCTGTGCATCGCTGGGTGTGACTCCCCCCCAAAAAAAGCAAAAAATAAAACAAAAAACTCTGGAATGACTTGGAATGTCTTACAAAAGCTTGCAACAACAAAAAAGGATAATTAAAAAATGTGTACATGACAACGTGCTTTTAAAGACACTTTGCATTGTGCTCACATTCCCTTAGATGTTGTTCCCAAAGGTGCTCTGCCTCTAATCCAAAGGGAATCTCTGGGGTAGAGGCGGAGACAGTTTGGCTGAAAACACAGCGGGGCTGGGGGTAGGGTAGGGGAGGGGCAGTGAGGGAGAAAGCAGCTTTCCAGTTAAAGATCAGCCCTCGGTGAAAGGTCAGCTTCCGGTGAGCTGGCCTCAGGCGGAGTCAGGGTTGAGGGAAGAGCGGCGGCAGGGCGGGGACTCTACATCTCATTCAGGTCCAGCAGAGTCTGGTCCAGCATCCTTTGTGTACAGAGGTGCTCCTCTTTGGTGCATTTCAGTTTATCTAGTGGGGGTAAAGGAAAGATGTCACACAAACCAGAAGGGCACTCCAAGTCCATTCAACCTCTGAGAGTTGTTCCTGCTGCAAGGAAGCGCAAACAGACTGAAGAGCTGCCCTCTCCAATGCGCCAGGAAGCTAGAGCATCCCTCAGTTTGCAAGGCCTCTGGCTTGCCTGCTCAAGTTGCAGGTAAGGTGCTGCCAGGGAAGAAAGGGAGCCGAGACTGAGAGGCCGTTTCCTCTTCCACCCACACCCAACCACTGCTTTCAACTTCCTCAGCGTGCAGAGAGGACAGGAGGCCCTTGTGCTGCACAGGCTTTCCTCACTAAGAAGGGAGAGAAATGGCTGGCGGGATGAAAGAACCCCCAGAGCTAAATTAGAGACTCTCTTAAGAAAACAAAGCAAGAATACTGCCCGAACGTGTTACATGTGCAAGCAAAATCTTGAGACTTTTGCAGTGCTGTAGCCTACCACCCTGTGATAAGAGTAACTTGCAATCACACCATGAACCAGGAAAAAGTGGCAAGAAGGGACGTGGCAGAAAGAAAACCAGCAGGTGAACATCAAGGAAAACCTACCCCGCAAGCCAAGCCCTCAGACTACTCTAGGGAGGTTGGAAAAGCACAAAGGGGTGGAGATACAGATCCACCCAAATCCTATTTGCTTTCCTTTCCCCCAGTCAAGAGGGTCCATTCCTGGCACCGCAGATGAAGCAGTTACACCGTCTTGCCAAGTCAGTTCTTTTATTGTTAGGAAACACCCATGCAAGTGAACATATCCTACAGTAAGTGCACAAGTGAAAGCGCAGCAACTAAGGAGGAAAGGGAAATGACACCAGAAAACACCCAGTTTTCACGCGAGAATCGCGAAAGTCCCTCCCTTCATTACCCATCAGCTCTTCAAAAGGAAACACAGTACTGACTGTCCCAATACAGTGTGGATAGGAAGTCAGCAATATTCTAACAGCCCCATTCAGCAGCAACTTGCAAAGGGCAAAACAGTCACTTCTAAAAAGACAATCAGCTTTTGGCTGGTGTCCAGTTCACTGGTGTGAGCAGTTAGCTCGGTTTATGGGCCCCGCCATCAGTCACACAGGTCATGCAGCGTTAGCTTCAGCTCATTAGCGAGCAGGCGGTTTCGCTCAAGTTGGCTGTAGAGGTGCTCTGTAGCAGCAGCAGAGGAGGGAAACAAGGAGAGGAGGAAAGAGGAGGAGAAAGAGAAAAAGGGAAGGTTAGTAGAGCTCCAGAAGTGAACTCTGAGACGTTCGTTCACATTACTGGGGTATGTGACATACATCTGTAAGGCGTGATGGATGCCAGGGAGATTCAGAAAAAGGGTGAGGATGAGTCAGTGCATTGGCAGAAAGACCAACAGAGGGATAAATAAGAAATTCAGACTGCCAGACTGGTAGGACAACATTCGCGGGAGGAAAACCATCTTCTTCACACTATTTATGCCCTGGACTGAGAAACCAAGTGAAGGATGCCCAAGAAAGGAAGAGTCAGCTAAGACATACATGTATATCGCAGTGTCTGAAAGGACTCCAAGTGAACACTTGACTTTTCTTCTCTAGAAGCATCAATAAGGCATTATGAATGTAGATGGGGCCAAAAGCCACTTAATCCTGTAGCTTTTTCCTTTTGTGAATTTTGGGTCACAGTTGGTGCTGCTGGAGGAAGCTGTCCCGGTAGTGCTTAGTGACCCTGTGGGTCCAGGGATCAAACCGAGGCATTCCACATGCAAGCAAAACCTGCAATGAGCCCTCTGGTTTTTGGGCCAAACCTGGCAGTGCTCAGGGCTTACTCCTGCCTTTGTGTTCAGGAATTACTCCTGGCATGACTGGGGGACCATTTGGGATGTTGGGGAGCAAAGCCGGGATTGAACCTGGGTCGGCCATGTGCAAAGTAATTAATGTCCTATCTACTATACTCTCTCCAGTCTCTGCCATCAGTCCTTTGAACTCTCCCTGGTCTAATACGATGTTTTCTAATGCTGCTTCTTTCAGTTGCTGGGTGACAGACTCATCAGAGTGGTCCCACCTATCAAGACTCAACCAGTTTTTGGAGCAGAGCAATAGTACAGCAGGTGCTCAAACAGAAGCAAACAAAAAACTCAACCCCTTTCTTTTGAAAATCCTCCAGAGGAGCCAGAGAGCTAATACAGCACCAGCAATGAAGGAGCCTCAGACTCAATCACCAGGACCACAGATGCACCTGCATCTTGAGGGGCCACACAGATGCAGCCAATGCCAGTCCAATCCCAGGTACCAAATATGGTCCCTGCCAGGGGTCTCCTGATCAGAGCCAGAAGTATCCCCCACACATGGCCAGATATGACCCAGAATCTGCTTCTCCCTTCCAAAAAAAGTTTTGTTGACAACTGGAATAGACTTCTCTGTTGGTTGTGAAGGCCACAGCTGCTGATGCTTAGGATCTGGTCAGGACCAGAAACAATGCTGTATATCATAGGCCCAGTTCGGAGTCCACTTTGAAAACACTTGTCATGAAACCAATGTTTTTCTAAGAACTGATAAGCTTGCTCAAAGGAAAATCTGAAAACTGGGCATGAGGGCAGGTTTTAACCGTCAAAAGAACTAAGAAGATTTTATAATCAGCAGGGACAGGAGTAAGTATTATTGGATACATCCCAGAATTATCCTAGCCAAACTGATTTAAGTCCACCATTCTGAAACACTGTAATTATCCGATTAAGTAGCACTGTCCTCCCCTTGTTCATAGATTTGCTCGAGGGAGTACCAGTAACGTCTCCATAATGAGACCTGTTACTATTCTGGTGTATCGAATATGCCATGGGGAGTTTGCCAGGCTCTGCCGTGTGGGTGGGATACTCTCAGTAGCTTCCGGGCTCTCCGACAGGGACGAGAAATAGAACCCAGGGTGGCCGTGCACAAGGCAAACGCCCTACCTGCTGTGCTATTGCTCCATCCCATCCGACTAAGTATCCAACAGAATGAGACCGGACCCTCTGTATTCACTGGGGCAGCCCTGACAAATGGCAGAGGTTCAAATTTGTCTTCAACCTTTTTTTTGTTTGGTTTGGTTTTGAGGCCACATTCAGCTGTGCTCAGGGCTTACTACCAGCTCAGGGATTAGTCCTGGCAGAGCAAGGGATAGAACCCAAGTTGGGTGCATCCAAGTCGAGTCCCCTATCTGTTGTACTATGATTCCAGTCCCTGGAACTCTCATTTCTTAATCTTTCAGTGGCATTATCTGACACAAAGACTCCATGTGCAACTGTAATACCCTTAACCAAGGGGAGGGACTTCTACTTCTGTTCTGGAAGAAAGGGGTACTTTCATATCTTACCCCTCAAAAGAGTGGTCATTAAATTTTCCAGAAAAGACGTGAGAACACTTTTTGGGGGGGGTGGGGAAGGGTGGCTGTCACACCTGGTGGTGCTCAGCGGACCATATGCAGTGCTGGTGATCTAAGCATGGTTGGCCACAAGTGACTGATTTCTGCACTATCCCCTCTGGCCCCACGCAAGAGCATTTTATTACCTCACTAAAATAAAATCTAAGGATTAGATGTGATCAAAAGATAAATGCCATTGTTCTGTCACCTTTTACTTAGGCTATGTGGTGTGCGCACGAGTGTGTGAGAGCATGCACAAGCTTTCTGCCACCAAGCTACAACCTGTGAGATAGAACTTCTAATTCTGCTGTGTCTACAGACAAGATTTTGTTTGTTTGTTTATTTGTTTTGGAGCCACACTCTGTGATGCTGAGGACTCTGAACTCAGGAATTACTCCTGGTAGTGCTCAGGGGGCCATATGGGGCGCCGGGGATCAAACTTGGATTGGCCGCATGCAAGGCAAACACCCTACCTTCTGTACGATCGCTTCAGCCCCAGACAAAATATTTTGGAATAGATCTCAGCTCATTCAAGTTTTGTGTTCCCTAAGAAACAGCAAAATCAGGGAGCCAGCGGAATAATACAGTGGCTAAGGCATTCGCACATAGCCTATTCAGGTTTGATCCATGATACCCCATATGGTGTAACCCGTTCAGTCACCACCCTCTGGTCCCTGTTATTGGTGGATGGGGTAGTAGGAGGGTGTTGGTGAGGACACAACCAGGGGTGGTCCAGAATCAATCCTATGGCACTCAGATATGTAATAGGCAGTGCCGGGGGTCAAACTGGAGTCAACTGCATGCAAGGAAAGTATCTTTTTTTGGGGGGGAGGGGCAGGGCAGCACACCCATATGTACTCAAGGCTCTGTGCTCTGGAATCATTTCTGGGTGGGCTCAGGGGGGCCATATGGAGTGCCGTGGAACTCACGTCAGTCACCTGAAGTAGGCTTCGCTGCATGCAAGGCAAGCACCTTAATTTAACCTCTACTATCTCTGGCCCCTCTCCCTAATCTTTCATCATTCGTTCATACTTATTTCTCTACTAATATCTTTTCTGGAGGCCAAAGTTAATTTCTTCTACTTTTTTAACCTGATGGGCTGGAGCAATAGCACAGCGGGTAGGGCGTTTGCCTTGCATGTGGCCGCTGACCCGGGTTCAATTCCTCCATACCTCTCAGAGAGCCCAGCAAGCTCCCCGTGACATACTTAATATGCCAAAAACAGTAACAACAAATCTCACAATGGAGACATTACTGGTGCCCGCTTGAGCAAATTGATGAACAACGGGAGGACAGTGCTACAGTGCTAATTTTTAACCTGATTTGTTTTAGGGTCTCTTCAAGCAATGTTCTGGGTCTAACTCCTAGCTCATGCTTACAGAAACCATGCAGTACTAGGAACTGAAACAGTACCAGGTTCAAATAACTGAACCAGAACCAGGGCTCCTGCGTGCAAAGAAAAAGCTCTAGCCCTTTGAGCTATCTCTTCACTCCACTGATACCTTCAACTTCAATATCAAATATCTAGTATTTTAGTAACCATTCAGCTTAGTTCTTTTCATCTATATATGTGTAAGTATAAATACCTTCACAATTTAAAAAAAAACTCGTAAGTGGGATAAAAGGAACAT